AAACACAGAGAAGAGACACATAGCCCTCACTCTGCGAGTTGCTCATGGATGGGAACACATTTATATTACGAGCTCTGGAAGCCGCCCTCTCTGCTGGGGACCCAGTGCTTCAGGCTCATGACTCTTGGCTGCACCTTAAGATTTAAAGATGAACTGCTGGGTAGTAAGGGTTGAGAAGGGCACTCTAGATGGAAGAAGCAGCTGGGGCAGAGGCCTGGAGGGGACTGGAGGGGTGGGGCTTGTGGGGATGGATGGACACTGAGGCTAGGAGGTCCCAACAGGACTCTCTGTTGTGCTAGGCTAAGAAACGTAGATTTAACCTCAAGGCAGTGGCGAGCCATGGAAGCTCCTAACAGGGAAAGGGACACCTGGCAGGAGTGGGTGCTGTAGAACACTGCTGGGTTCAGTGCTCCTCATGGACCCAGGGAAATGGTCCAGAGGACCCAAGGAGGCTACGAAGGAGACAGAATTGGAATCAAGACTTCTCAGCCTTCTACCTGCCCACGCATTTCCAAGGGAGCTTGAGCAAAGCAGATTCTGGTTCTGCAGGACTGAGGTGAGCTCAGCCTGTTTCTAACAAGCTCCATGGGGATGCCCATGCTGCCAGCCATGGCCCACAGATCAGCAGTAAAGACAGAGGGCAACCTCTTGACCCTGATGGGCAGCTCCAAGGATAAATCCTTCATCACACCTGCTGTCCAGCCACACACAGCATAGACCTGTCACCATGGCTGCTCAGGTCAGAGAACAGCTCAGAAGAGTGGAAACCATGCTTCTCCCTGCACAGGTTAGCCGAGTACACTGCAGAAAGACAAGATCATGACAGACGGCCACGTCATTGAGCCTGGGCCAGCTCTTCTAGTAGGTGTAACACAGTGGGGTCACCTGGAGAGCTCTGCTAACATCCAGGCCCACTTCCCAACTGCCCCCCAACTTTGTATCCTTTCTTCCCCCTCCCAAATAACTGAGTCCAATTGGTGTTGTTCATCAACTCCTCAGTATGGACCTATGGGGAGCCACACCAATAAACAAAACTGACTTCCCCTCCCCCAGAAGCCATAGGCTGTCTATACAGCTCCTCAGTTACGGGTGAGGGCTCGTGAACCCTTCCCACTCCATGCTAGAATGCTGACTGGTTTGCTCTTGTACAGGTAACGAGCTCCTGTGAGTTCATGCCTGCCAGTGTCCTGTCATGACAGAAGACACTTGCTCTCCATCCCTCTTGACCGCTGGCTCTATAAGATCTTTCTGTCCCCTTTCCACTATGGTCACTGAACCCTGGTGTGTGTTACAATTACAGCTGAGCACTCTAAGTCAGTGACTTTCAAAACTATCAACCAGAAATTCTGAAGTATGGTAGAGTTCTTGCCTGTCATACCTACAGACAGAAATTCAACACCTGGCGCCATCTAAACAAGCAGAGACTCCTGAAGCAGAGATCACCCCAGTTTTTATTCTAGCATGATTCCAACTGGAGCAAAGTTTCCAATAGAGCTTTCCCCAGGCTGTGACTCCATCCACACAGAACTTTCGAGCTCAGGTTTCTGTAGTCAGATATGCTTGTAGGCAATCCTACAGCCATTACATAGTTGGTTAGGGGGTCAGTCAGTATTCTCTCTTGGTGAAAGTCTTGGAGGTGTTGCAAACAGTTGAGGTAGAGGTAGAGACATAGCTTAGTGATAGACTTACCCAAAATATCTGAGGCCCAGGTTCAATCCCTAGTACTGAAAAAGAAGGACAGAAAGGCAGGGGGAAGCTGGTGGCTTTTACCAGGAACCCCAGTGCGGGAACTAATGATGGAAAGATGCTGAGTGAGCCCGGTGTGATGGCACACACTGTGCTCTCAGCAAGGTCAGGAGTTCAAGGTCAGTCTTGGCCATGCACCTAGCCTGGCCTATGTGAGACCCATGTAAACAAAGACAAAAAGGAAGGGGTAGGAAGGGAGAGACAGAAAACAGAATACCCAGACTAGGAAGGCCTTTCTGAGGAGGTGAAGCCCACCCTGGGAATGAAATGATAAGCAATGTGCTAGCCGGGTGCAGTGGTACACACCTGTAATCTCAGTACTGGGGAGCTAAGGCAAGAGGACCCCCTGAGCTCAATAGTGAAAGAGCAGCTTGGGCTCTAACAAAAAGCAATAGGCATGAGCCAGTGAAAAACCCTCTCAGAAGGAGGTGACAGTAAGTTCAAAAGCCCTAGTCTAGATGATTTAGGCTTCCACACTTAGGCCTAGGTTTTTTTCCAGGTGGCTGAAATCATAGGGCGCAGGGCCAGGGAGACTTCTGGCTAATGCCCCAGAGTAGGCTGCACACCACAGACTGATGGGAGCAGAACATTAGTTACCCAGGAGAAGACAACCATGAAAACGCCTGTCCTTTCTCCACCTTTAGGGCATCCGAAGAGGCCTTTGTGAAGGAATCCAAGGAAGAGACCCCAGGCACGGAGTGGGAGAAGGTGGCCCAGCTGTGTGACTTCAACCCCAAGAGCAGCAAGCAGTGCAAAGATGTGTCCCGCCTGCGCTCGGTGCTCATGTCCCTGAAGCAGACACCACTGTCCCGCTAGGTGCCTGCCATTAAGAATGGCCACAGAGCATGGGCCTTGCTGGGGCAGAGGAGCAGCTGCTTCAGCCAGGGTGGAACTTCCTCTGGCAGCTGCCACACACATCCTGTTCTGTTCCTCTGCTTCTCTGGGAGCTGGGAAGTGGGACCCTTACCCCTTTGAACCCCCACTCCCTCCTGGCCCCATGTTCCAGCCCCTCAAGACTCCTGAGTTCACTCAATTGTGACTGTCCCTCCTGATATATTTTTTCTTGGCTTAAAGGGTATGTTAACTCTTTTTACACTTATTTATTATTATCCTCTTTCTTTGGAAGCTGCAACTGGTGTCAGGGCTCGGTTTGTGCTTACAACTTTCCCAGCTTCATGCCCTCAAGAGGTGAGGATGTACTCTTGCAGACTCAGGAGCTGCCAACTGGAAGCAGGAACCCCAATCTCTGTGTGCTGTCTCCCCCAACAAGAGGAAAGACAAGCTCTCACAGAACACTTTTGCAACCTTGCCCTTTATGATTCTTTAACAAGCCTGAAGGTAGGGTCTCTGCTAAGAAAACTATGGCTCCCAGAGCAGAATCAGCTTGCAGTGTAGAAAGCAGGTGAGGCCAGTGACCTCTGTGGTGTCTGAGACTGAGCACATCAACTGCCAGACCTTCTTTCCTGGGAGTGACCGGGACCCTCTAAGATGTGGCAGGCCTCCTGCACCTCCTCTCCTCAGTTGTTCCCGCCTGTGGACCTGGGGTAAACAACAGTGACCACACCTCCTTCCCTTCAGCTGAGGCTGTAAACAGGACATTTAAGCCATTATTCTCTCCATGTATTTAAAAAGATCTGAGTAACTGCCAACAGTATTTGTGCCCTAAGACTGCTATAACAAAGTGCTAAAACCTGGGTGTCATAGAGCATCAGAAATTTGTTCTCACAGTTCTGGAGGCTAAATTCCCAAATCAGAGACCCATGAAGCCACTCCCTTTGTAGCTGCTAAGGCAAGATCTGTGCCTCTTTCTAAGTTCCAGCAGCTCAGGCATCCCTTGGCTTGCAGAAACAGCCCAACCCTCTGGTTCTGCCTACACCCTCATACGGCTGTCTTCATCCTCCTCCCATATATGCTTGTCCATATGGAACAATGGGCATAATTGTCCAAGTTTTGTTAAAAATATGGATACTAGTCTTACTGGACCAAAGTCTACCTTAAAGACTTTGTTGCCGGGCAATGGTGGCGCACGCCTTTAATCCCAGCACTCGGGAGGCAGAGGCAGGTGGATCTCTGTGAGTTCGAGACCAGCCTGGTCTACAAGAGCTAGTTCCAGGACAGGCTCCAAAGCCACAGAGAAACCCTGTCTCGAAAAACCAAAAAAAAAAAAAAAAAAGACTTTAATTATTAATGGCTATAAAGTTCCTATTGCTAAAATAATACCTAAAGAATTGAGAGTTGGAATCCAACTCTCCCGTGTATTTTAGGGGGTGGGCATCGTAACAGGAACACAGTGGACATGACCTTGAAAAGGGGTGCCATCTTCAGTTCTTTAGGCTCTGCCCTTGCCCTTGCATCTTGCACTGGGCTTCACAATGCAGTGTTCAACGCTGGCAATCTGCCTCCCAGCTAAGACCATGAAGGAGGTGCAAACGCCTGGCTCTAGTCATGGACCTTCCACTCAGATCTAAGTCATGTCAGGCACAAGAAATGTACCTTCACTTTCGTCCCATTTCCCAGCTTGAAGCAGGTGTTGAGAGGGTGAGAGTCACACATGAGAGGAGCTCAGCTCCTCAAGTCAACACAGTGCTGACCACAGACCCACAAATGCCTGCTGAGACTTTCGCGTCAAAAGCTGGGTGGTATAGATCAGCAGAGCCTGAGGGCCTCTGCAGAGACAGAACAGGAGTAAGAAGTAGACAAAGGATGGTGGTGGTGTGGGTATTGGACATCCCAACTCCAACAGGACTATGATAGGCCTCATCTAAAGGCTATAGAAACTTGAAGATTGCTGGCAAAGTTCCCCCTATTCCACCAAAAGGAACAAATTTTGGCCCACTGAACTAGAATCCTAAGGATGAACATTTGGGACACTCTACTTTTAACTAATGGCCAAGTGACTTGACAGTTACCAGGAAAGTTCGGGTGGCACTAGGATCTATGTTTCTCTCTCATGACTGGAGGTTGAACCTAGGGCCTCACAACCTGCTGTACAACTGAGCTGTATCCCCAGACCACTTAAAATTTTGATATTAGGTCTCACCAAGTTACTCCTCTAGCTGATCTTGAACTCTTGAAATTACAGGTGAGAGTCTTCTCCCTCAATCCGCAGAGTAGTTGAGGCTATAGGCACTATCAGGCCCCACTGATTTCTACAGGCCAATCCTACCAACAGCCTCCTGTTCCTTCCTAAAAACATGGACCAAAAATCAGGGCTTTGACCATAGGTATGAGACTAAGAATTCATCACATTCCCAGTGTATTAAGGCTTTATTAAGTAAGTAGTTAAGGGGACGCATCACAGATTTTTAGTGTGCAACCCAGCTGAAGTGAACCTGGGATTTCGGGGGAGAGGAAGATAGACATCAGTCACAAAAACCGGTCACTTCCTCATCCAAATGATGACAACAGAGTACAGTCAGAAACGGAGGGAATACGTCTGACAGGACTGTTTGTAGCTCCTGGGTTTTACAATGATTTCCATGGAGCTCTCAAGGCCCGGCCAGACACTCAGGGTCGAGACTTCATAGCAGATGCCGCTAACCCCAACAAGATGGCTACGACCGTGAAACCCTGGGCAGCGATCCGGGTGCGCATCATTATCTGGGAGCGGTGGCTCTGGCCGCGGTGGAAGCAGTAAAGGCCATAGGAGAGGGCAGCCGCCGTACCCAGACAGCCTGGGGAGAGGACAACACACACAGGGGGCAGCAGGTTGGGTCCTGCACGTTCTTTGAAGATGTAGCCCACCTCCACTCTCCCAGAGCCTCGTTTTGTAGACGACAACAGGAGGGCGAGAGGGGGTAGGTCTAGAGTTCTCTTCATCAAGCCCCGCAACACGCTCCGATCCGTTTCAGTTCTCCCCGCCCTACCCTTTCGTCACATCTTCCGCACACTCCCTTTCCCTCACCCAAGGCGTACCTGGTCCGCCCCTATTTCATTCCCCCCAGGAAATCTCTGACGCCTCGGTCTTCGGTTCCTAAAGCACACACTTACCTATGGGGACCATTGGGTTCTCACGGGTCTTGCGAATAAATTTCTCCTTGAAGCTCTCTGGGTTGCTGTAGACCGTGGGACTGAAGCCCTCGATGACTGGAGCCTGGGACGGATCGAAAGGCGCCTCTGAACTGACAGGACGGGGAGCCGCCATAGTCACCGGCACAGAAACAGGACAAAAATCCGGACTTCGAACCCCGCCTTCTAATGAGGTCACCACGAGGGCGGGGAAAGAACCTGCTGAGGGTAGTACGCAGGCGCTATTGCCAACTTTATTCTGGGAGTTGTAGTAAATCAATGTGGAGGCGCTACTAGAAAGACTACATTTCCCGAGAATCCCTGCGCGCTTGCTTGAGCGCAGAGCCTGTTAACACGCGGTTCTGGTAGTGTGGTCAAGAGTTAGAGCTGTTGCTTCTGAGTTTGAGCTCCTGGTGCGGCAGTCTGCGAGATGCCCAAGGCCAAGGGAAAGACTCGGAGGCAGAAGTTCGGTTACAATGTCAACCGAAAGCGTTTGAACCGGAATGCTCGTCGGAAGGCAGCTCCACGGATCGAGTGGTGAGGGGCCAGTTCGGAGGCAGGGGCCTCGGCTGGGATCGACGGCGAGGTGACAAGAGTCTCCATCTCTCTTTCTTTGCCGTTAGCTCTCACATTCGACATGCCTGGGACCACACCAAATCCGTGCGGCAGAACCTGGCGGAGATGGGGTTGGCCATGGACCCCAACAAGGCTGTTCCCCTCCGAAAGAGAAAGGTACTGATAAAGCAAGGTTCAGGAATGTTCCTCATCTCCACCCTAGCCCTTCCCTATTTTTCTTCCTTCCTTCATTGAGCTGAGTTTCAGAATTTGATCTCCCCGTACATCCTTCCCATAATTTCGACAAAGTCATTTGCTTGCACTAATTCTGGCCAAAGCCCCTTAACGACTCACACTTCCTCCTCAGTACACGTAGGGGCTTGGTGTGTAGTGTCATTCCTCCTCCGCCTACCATTTCTTCTCGGGCCTGTTTGGGAGTTCAGTGGAATTTTCTAGACTATGTCTTTTTTCTGTCCTTGACTGTCCAGAGCTTGAGACTGCCTTCCGTTATCCTTCACGTGAGGTATCTAGTTATTTCCCAACAAATCTATCAGGATCACCCTTTGAGCCTTTCAAAAATAGCACCCCACTTTGCCCAATATCCTCTTTCCTGCTTTAATTCACAGTAATTGTAAGCACGTAATGGTATGTTATTCATTTGCACATCTGTATATTCAATGTGCGTCTTCATCCCTTAACATAATCTTGAGTTTTGTTCTCTACTAAATTCTCAGGAAGCTAAGCTGTGACAGGTTAGTTAACCTAATAAATGGGCTTGCTGAGTCAATTTGGTGCATTGACTTTAGGCAAGTTTCTCTCTGTTCCTTCAGGCAAGTGAAAATGGCACAGCAGTTCTTTAAAGCAAACTTTAAGCTGTAACTAAGCGCTGTCAGGTAACTGACATGAAGAAGCTATCAGACATCGCTACCTGTGCAGTGTTTCACCGGGTTACCACACAGCAGAGTAGGAAAGGCACAGTCATAGAAAGATGAAGGGCTTGCTAAATTGCTTGAGTGTGGGCGTGAGCTTTCGGTGGGGCTTGGCGGGTCAGAGGTCAGTTTTCAGGAGTTGGTTCTCTTTCCATTTCGGGTTTTAGGGATTGAACTCTGGTGGGCCATCTTGATAGCCCTGCTTATGTTTCTCTTGATAACTTTGCTGGGACTTCAGGGGTTAGTCTGTTATCTAGTTCTGCCTGACCTCAGGCAGGGATTTTCTTACACTATAGTTGTGTTGTGGACAGTGTCCTTGCTTAGTCCATCAGACTTTCTCTGATCAAAGGTGCTTGTTTGTTGGTCTCACAGGCTTTGTTCTTACAGGTAAAGGGCATGGAGGTAGACGTGGAGGAGAGACCCAAGGACCTTGTACGGAAGCCCTACGTGGTAAATGGTGAGTGTGGGCTGTGTTCTAGGCCACCATCCTGCCTGTCGAAGGTGGAGAGGCACTCGGTCCCTTTACTACGGTGGGAGACGACGCTGTCTGATTGAGGGCTCGGAAATAGCACTATGTCATAGCTGAGACATTTTCCGGCTAAGATAGATGAGATTTAAATGTATGAACTCAGGTAAGACAGAGACATTAACAGAAGAGAAAATTGGGTATGAAAGGATGAAGAAGAAACCAATAAGTCTCAGGTTTGTTCCCAGTTTTACACGAACTTAAGATGAGCTGATTTGTAGAGAGTCTGCTGTTGTTTAATCTTTCCAGTGACAAATCTAAATTCCCTGTGAGTTTGACCCTGCAGGAAAGAAAGAATATTCTGGAATTCTTACCTACTTACCCTTGCCTATTGTGGGTTTATTTTTAACTTTGTATTTGGGAGTTGAACCCAGGGCCTCATAAATGCTAAGTATACATTCAACTTTTTTTTTTTTTTTTTGGAGCCTGTTTTGGAACTAGCTCTTGTATACCAGGCTGGCCTTGAACTCACAAATATCCGCCCGCCTCTGCCTCCCTAGTGCTGTACCACCACCACCCCAGGCTCAACCTTTTAACTATACCTCCATTGAGGTGTTTTTTTGTTTGTTTTTCTTACCATATCTTCTGATTTGAATCTCCTGATTTGAATTGACAGATGTTTGATATGAAATTACCTGAGTCTTATCTTTAGCTTATCTTTACAATTCACAGGAGAATTTTTTACACTGTTCAGGGGCTGGAGACATGACTCGGAGGTTAAGAGCACTAGCTGCTCTTCCAGAGGTTCTGAGTTCCAGCAACTACATGATGGCTCACAACCTTCTGCAATGAGATCTGGAGCCATTTTCTGGCCTGCAGGCATGCATGCAGACAGAACACTGCATAGTAAATAAGTCTTAAAAAAAAAATAGTTCATTTAAAAAAAATTTACACAGTTCATTGTGGGTGTGGGGAGAATTACTACACCTGACTGTATATACAAAGCTACATATACGTAATGTAGTAATAAAATTTATTTATTTTTCTCCAGACAGGGTCTGTGTTGCCCTGGTTGGCCTTGAACTCACAGAGATCCACCTTCATCTGTTTTCTAAGTTCTGGAATTAAAGACGGCGTCCTATAAGAATTTTTTTTTTTTTTAAGTTTTAAATTGTCGCTAAAAATGTTACATTTAATCCCAGCTCTTGGAAGGCAGAGGCAGGTGGATCTCTGTGAGTTCAAGGCCAGCCTGATCTACAACAAAAGCTAGCTCTGGGACAGGCCCCAAAGCTACAGAGAAACCCTGTCTCGAAAAAACAAAACAAAACAAACACATAAATTTACCTTCTTGGTCTTTTAAAAATGTACGGTTAAGCTGGGCAGTGGTGGCGCATGCCTTTAATCCTAGCACTTGGGAGGCAGAGGCAGGTGGATTTCTGAGTTCGAAGCCAACCTGGTTTACAGAGTGAGTTCCAGGACAGCCAGCGCTACACAGGAGACCCTGTCTTGAAAAACCAAAAAGTAAACAAACAAATACAATGTACAGTTCAGTTATGTTGAATGTATTCATACTGCTTTAAACCAGCTCTCCTGAACTTTGGTTTTGCAAAGCCGGGGTTGCCTTTGACAACCAGGTCAAAGATGATTTTGACTGTAAGAAATTTTAGTGCCTCACACTTAGATCAGATTGGACGACATTGTTTCTATAGTTTGCCCATTTGCCTCACATTTTTTTCCTACTTGCTGTGCTGAGATTGGATCCAGGGTCTTATTTGTGCTGGGAAAGCATGCTCCGCTACTATCTGCAGTGTGTCTGGCTTTTATTTGTGGCTTTTGTTTGCTTGGACAGAGTTTTGCTATATATGAGGCTAGCTATGAATTTGAGATTGTTTTGTTTTAGCCTCCTAAGTGATTGGCTCCGTGGTCCCTATTTTCCCTTCATATGGTGCAGCAAGGGATAAGGTTCAGCAATTCAGACCTTCCCATTTTAGACACTGGCGTAATACACCAGGAAGAGCTCTTCCGGTGATAGTAGCGCTGGAAGGGAGCCCAGCTTTGCATCTTTCTGCCCTGGGGCCTGGGACTGGTTAAGACTGGTGAGCTTAGTGTATTTCATTTTAAATCATAAATTGGGAATTGCTTTTCAGGGAGTTGCCACCCTGATGGACGAGCAGTGGTGGAAGGCTGACTTTGGGATTCTAGGGCCTGAAGAAGGGAGCTCTGGCTCTGATTTTGGGACTGTGCTGTTCTTGTGTCCTGGGGTTGGGTGGAGGGGTGTTTGGGCAGCTCAAGTAGTGCGGAAGGTAATGCCTTACTCCATTTCTGGCTTCTTTTACCCCAGACCTGGAAGCAGAAGCCAGCCTCCCAGAAAAGAAAGGAAATACCTTGTCTCGGGACCTCATTGAATATGTTCATTACATGGTGGAAAATCATGGGGAAGACTATAAGGTGAGGCCTCCTGGGAAGAACCACTTGGGCTTACTGGGAAAATACACTGGGCTGTTTCAGCCTGATCTGAGATGGAATAGAATGAAAGAGGAGTCTAGAGGAAAGCATCCCGGTATTTAAAGATTCTTATGTGTATGAGTGCTTTGCCCCTGTGTGTGTGTATTACATGCATGCCTGGTACCCGTGGAGGTCAGAAGAAGGTACTGGATCCTTTGTAACTAAAGTTGAAATTATGAGCTGCCATGTGAATGGGAACTCTTCACTGCTGAGCTTTTCCTTCTGCCTCCCAGCACACTGTGAGGTTACAGATGCACACCAGTGCATTTGATTTTTTATACAGGTTCTAGGGTGCGAACTTAACACCAGGCTTAGACATTGTGCTGGCTAGGTTCATGTCAACTTGACACAAGCTGGAGTCATTGGAGAGGAGGAAGCCTCAGCTGAGAAAATGTCTCTATATACTTAGGCTGTAGGCAAACCTATAGGTCATTCTCTTCTCTCTTTCTCTCTCTGTATCTCTCTCACACACTCTCTTTTGTTTTTTAGACAGGCTTTCTTTCTGTAGCCCTGGTTGTCCTAGAATTTCCTCTGTAGACCAGGCTGGCCTTGAACTTGCAGAGATCCATCTACCTCTGCCTCCCAAGTGCTGGGATTAAAGGCATGCACCACCACACCAGGATAGGGCTTTTCTTTTTTATTTTCTTTCCTTTTTGTTTTTTGTTTGTTTGTTTTGATTTGATTTGATTTTTAGAGACGGATTTCTCCGTGTAGCCCTAGCTGTTCTGGAACAAACCAGGTTGGCCCTGATCTCAGATCTGCCTGCCTTTGCCTCTCAAGTCCTGGGATTAAAGGTGCGTGCCACAACACCTGGATTGCATTTTCTTAGTGATTGAGTTGCGGAGGACCAGCCCACTGCTGCCCTCGGTTCTATAAGAAAGCGGGTTGAACAAGCCAGTAAGCAGCACTTCTGTGGCTTCTGCATCAGCTCCTGCCTCCAAAGACCATGACTGAGGATATATAAGCCAAGTATTCTCTTTCCTCCCCGAGTTGCTTTTTTTTTCTTTCTTTCTTTCTTTTTTTTTTTTTTGTTAGCTGTTGCTTCATTTTGCAAATTCATTTGATTGAATTCCAGCCTTTTGTACAAAAGCACGTGTTAGGAATTTCCCTGATTTTTTAAAAAAGATCTGGTTACCCAGCCTGCTAGCACACATTTGTTTGTTTTTTGAGACAGGGTTTTGCTGTGTAACAGTCTTGGTTATCCTGGAGCTTGCTCTGTAGACCAGGTTGGCCTCAAACTCAGAGACCTGTCTGCCTCTGCCTCTGCCTCTCAAGTGTTGGGATTAAAGACGTGTGCCAGAACAGCCACGGCTGTTAGAGACCCTGTCTCAAAAATAAATAGATAAGGGCTGGAGAGATGGCTCAGTGGTTAAGAGCATTGCCTGTTCTTCCAAAGGTCCTGAGTTCAATTCCCAGCAACCACATGGTGGCTCACAACCATCTGTAATGAGGTCTGGTGCCCTCTTCTGGCCTGCAGACATACACACAGAATATTGTATACATGATAAATAAATATAAGAATTTTAAAAAAAAAATAAAAATAAATAAATAGATAAATGAATGAATGAATGAATGAATGAATGATCTGGTTATGCTGGATCTGAACTTACATGGAAATAATTATGATGGTCCCAGTTTTTTTAAATTAATTAATTAATTCATTCATTCATTATGTATGCAGTGTTCTGTGTGCGTGTACACCTGCACTGCAGGCCAGAAGGGGGCACCGGATATTATTATAGGTTGTGAGCCACCGTGTGGTTGCTGTGAGTTGAATTCAGGACTGCTGGAAAAGCAGCCAGTGCTCTTAACCTCTGAGCCATCTCTCCAGCCCCTGGACCCAGTTTCTTAAAGGCCCACTGCTCTTTCAGGCTTGTCTGGTCCCTTCCCTAAGGAGGGTATCCTTTTCCCAGCCTTTTAATACAGAAAGACATGTCTCTGACTGTTTTTGGTTTAATTTTAGAGAGGGTCTATGTAGCCCTGGCTGGCCTGGAACTCAAAATGTAGACCTAGAAATCTGTCTTCCACTGGGCAGTGGTGGCGAATGCCTTTAATCCTAGCACTCGGGAGGCAGAGGCAGGCCGGGTCTCTGTGAGTTTAAGGCCACCTGGTCTACAAGAGCTAGTTCCAGGGCAAGCTCCAAAACTATAGAGAAACCCTGTCTCGAACACCCTTCCCCCCCCCAAAAAAAAGGAGGAGGAAATCTGTCTTCCTCTGTGCCCCCCCTTTTCTCTTTATTATTTGATGTGTGTGAGTGTTTTACCTGCATGGATGTATGTGCACCACATGTATGTCTGGTGCCTATGAAAGTCAGAGAGAGCACTGGATGGGTCCTCTCTACGAGCAGCCAGTGCTCTTAACTACTGCACCAACTCTCCAGCCCTCTAATGACTTTTTTTAAAAAATATTTATTTATTTATTTATTATGGATACAATATTCTGTTTGCATATATGCCTACAGGCTAGAAGAGGGCACCAGACCCCATTACAGATGGTTGTGAGCCACCATGTGGTTGCTGGGAATCGAAATCAGGTCCTTTGGAAGAGCACGCAATGCTCTTAACCGCTGAGCCATCTCTCCAGCCCCTCTAATGACTTTTGAGGTGAGAAATTTGGACCTCAAGGAACGGAGTGGCAGGCTGGAGAGATGGCTCAGAGGTTAAGATCACTGACTGCATTCCAAAGGTCCTGAGTTCAATTCCCAGCAACCACATGATGGCTCACAACATCTGTAATGAGATCTGATGCCCTCTTCTGGCCTGCAGGTGTCCATGCAGGCAGAACACTGTACACATAATAAAATAATAAAACATTAAAAAAGAAAAAAGGATAGGAGTGGCATGCACAATTTAGGCAAAACTAGGATTTAGATTTGGCCTTCCTCATGTTGTCTTTCTTTCTTTATAGGCTATGGCCCGGGATGAAAAGAATTACTATCAAGATACCCCAAAACAGATTCGGAATAAGATCAATGTCTATAAGCGTTTTTACCCAACAGAGTGGCAATCCTTCGTTGATTCTTTGCAGAATAAGAAGATGGAGGTTGACTGAGTGGTGTGCATCCCCAGACAAAGAGTGTATTGTTTCAGACGATGCTGGCAAGGTGCCATAGAATCAAGTTTTACACACATACTCACTCTCTCCTTCATTAGAAGAAACTGTTTTTCTTTTTTATTTCTTTTCTCTTTTTTATTTTATTTTTGAGGGGGGTATCTCTCTAATAGCCTTAGATGTCCTGGAACTTGGCTTTATAGACCAGGCTGGCTTCAGACCCACAGAGCTCCACCTACCTCTGCCCTGAGTTCTGGGATTAAAGGGGAAGGTGTGCACCCCCACACCTGACTAGAGAAGGAACTCTTTAGAGGCTATGGTTTATACTTTCTTGGGGGCTCACAGAAAAGCCAGGACTGGCTCTTGTGTCCAGAGGTGATGCTTTATTTGAATGTGATCTGTACATAATAAAAGCATTTTACCTGTGTGATGGGGTTTTTGTTGTTTTGAGACAGGGTTTCTGTGTAGCACTGGCTGGGATTAAAGGCGTGAAATGGTTTTGTGTTTCCTATGCCCAGCTAAACTCTGTTCCAGGGAAAACTAACTTTATTAGGGCAGATTGCTCTTCAAGCTTGACAAGCACTGCAGTCATGGGTGCTTATGGGCACTGGCTTCCTCTTGAGTGCTCTCAGCCTTGGTTTCCTGGGAACTTTCCTGGAAGCCTGGGCTGCCTGTAGAAGGGTAAGGAGCAGGTCCTGTTTGTTCACCTTTGATTGCTTTTGTTGGCCATGGCTTAAAGAAAATATCAGAGAGCCTGGCAGTGGTGGTGCACGCCTTTAATCCCAGCACTCGGGAGGCAGAGGCAGGCAGATCTCTGTGAGTTTGAGGCCAGCCCACCTTCTGGGACTGGCAGATCACTAGGTACCACTCCAGTGTGCCACCCACTGGGCTTTCCGTGATGTGTCCATCCTCTGGTGCCAGGACTGCTGTATGCTTTGGCCTGAGAAGGTGATGCCTGTTTTGCAACAGGATCATGGGAAAGGGGTGAGGTGGGCATTTTAAGACCCAACTGCCCCTAACTATGAATCATGTGAAAACCTTTTAAATTGCCAGATGCTCTTGGGAGCACCTAGTCTGTAACATGCTCGGAAAGCATATCCTTCATACATTGCCTATGACATTTGGAAGATGTATTTTTTTAATAATTTATATTTTATGTATATGAATGTTCTACATCTACACCTGCACACCAGAAGAAGGCTTCAGATCCTATTTTAAATGGTTGTGAGCAACAATATGGTTGCTGGGAATTGAACTCCGGACCTCTGAAGAGCAACCAGTGCTCTTAACCTCTGAGCCATCTCTCCAGCCTCCTGAATGCTAGGATTAAAGGCACCACCACTGCCTGGCTAAGATGCACTTTTATCTTTGTTATAGGGAAGACAAAGTGGGGGTGGGGTGTGACATCAAATCTGTTCTGGAGCCGGGCGGTGGTGGCGCACACCTTTAATTCCAGCACTTGGGAGGCAGAGGCAGGCGGATCTCTGTGAGTTCGAGACCACCCTGGTCTACAAGAGCTAGTTCCAGGACAGGCTCCAAAACCACAGAGAAACCCTGTCTCGAAAAAGCAAAAAAAAAAAAATCTGTTCTGAAGGCAGCAGCCCATCCTTCCCACAGTATTGAGGGCCCTAGAATCTCATTAGTCCTTAGGATCTAGAGTATACAAGAAGCTCCTGTCTTTTGGTTTTGCATCTTCTGGCCTCTACAGAATTCAGATTTTGTGTCATTGACTATAGGGTCTCCTTAACTGTATGTAGTTTGGGTGCCAGCTTCCAGAAGCCACCTGTGCTATGTTCCTTGTTCCCAGGGCGTGTAAGCTTCCTGTGTCCTTTTAGCTGTTTCTAACACCCTCACTCTGGTCCCTTCAGGTAGATTCCTTTCCAAGGGTTAGAAGGCTTTGGGTCACTCACTGTTCCAAAGGTAAGGGGTAAGGGACTGGAACTCTAAGCACTCAGCAGACTCCTCCCTCAGGATGAGGACTCATTGAATATACCCATTTTGGCATTGTATACCTCAGAAAGCTGACACTCCTGTTTATGCAGTTGCATCTGGGTACATGGGGTGGACAGACTCCACACATTGAGGAACTGCACCCCTGTCCCTTGATGGTCATCTTCCAGGTGTAACAGTGGGGGAGGTTGAAGAGTCCCTCTCCATAGCACTTAGAAAGGACTCTGCCCTCTGAGGCTGGAAGGTAGTGTCTGCTCTGCCTGAATCTGGTCTGAGGTCTGGACCCATGGCAGGAGGATGCCATAGACAGTCCACAGATGGCTTCTGATGCTGGCCAATTCTTCCCAAACTATTAAGTACAGAATGCCCAGAAAGTGGTTACCTGGTTTTTTCCCTAGTACTGAGGATTTGAACCAAGTATGTGCTAAGCAAGGACTCTACCAAACTTAGGTCATCAGCAGGTTTCCATGGCAAACTACCCACCGTAGCATCTCACAGGCCTTTTACCTTGAGTCAAGGTCTCAGCTAATTGTCCAGCTGTCCTTGAACTCACTATAAATGAGGCAGACTGATGCCATGTAGCTGGGATCACACACCAATAGGCCTGGTCTCAGGTAAATCTGCTTCAATAGACACAGTGAAACTTTATTCTGAAATTGATCCCTCCACCTGGGGGAATATGACAATTTAACACAATGATACTCATTAGACAAAGGACTTGAAAGTCAAGAAAAAGGGTCCCTCTCATCAAGTCTGGTTCCAAGGTAAGCTTTAAGCACTGGAGAAGAAGGTGGGATTCTTAAAACAATGACAGTTTCTTACCTTCCTAATGATAAGATGAAGAGTTGTCAACAAAGTTTCAAATACTGGAAAATCCAAGTCATTCCTTAAGTATTTAATACAAAAGCAGAAAGATCACTTCTGGTGAGATTGCGGTAATTCCGTTCTCATGGGCAGGAGGAGTCCAAGGGCACAGTGGGCCCCTCTTCTGATGACTGTGCTCACTTCAACTTGGAAGCTTTCCACTTCCCAGGCTGTATGTTGGGCAACTAGCAAACAGCACACAGCCTATTTTCAAAAAGCAAACTGGAAGCCAGGCATGATGGCCCAATGTTTCCTGCAATTCCAGCAGGAAGGAGGAAGGACAACTGTCATGAATTCAAGGCCACCCTGGGCTAGAGTAATACCTCATCTCACTCAGCAGTCCTGGCAAAGCTCCTTTGCTTGTGCCTAATGAAGACTGGCTGTGCACCGCTTGATCACCAGTCACGGAATGTTCATTGCAGCTTTTGCTGGCGAATAAATGGTCCCAGAAGGCTTGATGCACCCAGGGCCACTCTGTTGGCTCTTCTGCTGGTCCTGTCCTGTGTCCTGGGCTACAAGGCAGAATCTAAGTACTAGATTCCCTTCAAGTATTTATCTCCAATTATGGTCTCAAGGCCAGGCTGCGGGAGGGGGAAGCTATAGCTCTGTCTCCACTGACACTCATAGGTTACCTCAATGTCCGTCATGATTCCAGATAGTTCTCAAAGCTTCAAATTTTTTTTTGACAATCTAAGGTTTCAATTACAGCACCTAGAAACAGAACTTTGAACTTTGGCCTATTCCTTTGATAAATACATAAATAAATAAATAAAATGCTCCTCCCCCCAACTTCAGGCTTGTTCCAGTACTCAGGTTCCTTCCTTCTGCAGACTTATGTAAACATGGGCATTGGCACAGTTAGTGCAAAAGCAGCAGGCGGTCTCCAGACCTGGGAAAACCGTCCTTCACCTGTGTGGTGAACTGCACTTTGTGTGGGCAATAAAGGCTGGCAGGCCAGGCCTTAAGAGCAGGGAGGTGGTCAGAGCATTCTATGCTAAAGTCTTCAGGTTGATCCTCATTTGGCATTGCCAAGGCTGGCATTTAGGAAAAACTAGAAAGTCACCTCCTCCCTTTAAAAATGATGGTCCTGGGGCCAGAAAGGCAGAAACACAAGGCCACAGACGAAGCAAGGATATACTGTGCTCCACCCAGACCCTTCCCACATGGAAAACGTATGACATCACCCAGAGTGAACAGTCAAACGGGAGACCTGAAGGCTCAGGAGTACCTGTGATACCCACACTGGTTCTTCAACCAGTGGGACCTGCAGGGAGAGAGCACAAGTCCATGGAGCATTGCACTGTGTAGGAAGGCAAGGAGAGATGGAGCTACACTAACTACGGTCTCAGGTGAGGCAATCACCGTCTTCCCTCTGCCTTACACCCTCTTGCCCCAGGTCCACCTCATCAGGAAGGCTTCTGCGTGGTTCTGGCCTTGCTCTCGAGGGGACAAAGAAGGTGCTGCTATGATGATCCTGCCCAAGGCTTAGGCCGGCAATGAAGATGCAGGAAGAAGCAGAACTGTGGTCTCCAACGCTGGGCAGCAAGCAGGTGGCTCCAGCTTAGGAGAGAAGCTCCAAGAGCAGTTTCCAGATGCGCACAGTGCCGGGTTCCTGGAAGCCAGATCCTGCAGGGGCAATGCTGGCTGCCAAGAGGAAAACCTCCCTCTGGTTGTTGCTAGCAAGCAGGCCCAGCTCCTGCTGCAGCTCCACCATACTCATGGCCCCGCTCAGGTCCTGCAGTGAACATAAGCCAGTGACACATGGCTGTCAGACAATGCTTGCAGTGTGACCCCACCCTTGTCAACTATGAAAGACAGAAATGTTCAGCTACTACGCTGGGAAAAGCAGAATCCTATATCCCATGAGGTACCTCTAGACCCTACAGAACAAACTCAGTGCCCTCCTCCATCCTGACTTTCCTTTGTGGCTCCCTCTTTTCACGACACTTTTCACTAGTGTGGTAAGAAACAGCCCTTCCTACTGTTAGGCACCATGAAGGCATCTGCCTACCAAGTTTCTGATTGACAACCCACTGAAGTGATGAGGAAATTGGTTCAGTGAAGTCACTTAGCTCCAGTAACAGAGATAATGGCAGAGCTAGGTTCCAAATTCATGTTGATGGCCAAACTTTTTGAACTTTTTGGAATCCCTACTCCCCCTCCTCACACACACACTTTTTTTTTATAGACAAGATTTCTCTGTGTAGCCCTGACTGTCCCAGAACTCACTCTGTAAATCAGGCTGGCCTTGAACTCAGTGATCTCCACGCCTCTGTCTCCTGAGTGCTGGGACTCCAGGCGTGTATCACCAGTACCCACTACACATATCTACTATGTAAGACCATAGAGAGGGGTAAGTTCCAGACAGTCTAGCTTGGGTGGAGGTAAGGGAAAAGGCTATGGTTGGCGATGGTCTCTATAAGTTTCATCACTGGCTCAAGATTCTCGGAGCAATCGTACACAGGAGGCCCTCCCTCTCCTGCGGTTCGAAATTGCTCCCACAGGCTCGTATATTTGAATGCTTGGAGCGAGGCTAGCAGAACGGTTTGGGAAGGATGAGGAGGTGTGCTCTGAAGGAGAAGTGTGACGATGATGGTCTTCAAGGCTTCAGAAGTGAAACTGTAAGCAAGCCCCAGTACACTCTTAAGTCACCTTGATCATGGTGTCACTTCACAGACCCAGGAAAGGAATCTAAGACACCTCCAGTTGGTTCAAAATGCTAGAATTTTTTTTTTGAAAGAAAATAAAGTATTTCTAAGGCTCCAAGACACCATTAATAGTGGCAGTAGGGCTGGGCTTGGTGGCACACGCCTTTAATCCCAGCACTCAGGAGACAGGCTGGTGGATCTCCATAGTTTGAGACCAACCTGGTCTACATATCAAGCTCCAGGACTGCCAAGGCTATCTCAAAAAAGTGAAAACATACAAAAAGGTAGAGCAGAACAGGCATAAATGGGAACTGTCCCAGGTAGGTCAGGAAAAAATGGTAGTCAGATTTAAAATAATTATCAAGAGTCCTCTGATAGGCAGGGCAAATCTGACGTCAAAGAGACAAGTTAGAAACGTTGGCACAAGCCTCAAGGCACTGATTGTGGCGGTCGTCCTGGAGTTGAGGATGCCACATAAAGTCTGTCTGTCTGTCTGTGATCCTGAGGGCTGCTGAACCTGAGACAGCCCAATAAACCCAGGAAAAGTGTCAAGGACAAATCAGTTTGCAGAGGGGTTGTGGAGGCTGGGACTTCAGAACCTAGGGCCTCGTGCATACTAAACAAGTAACCTACTACTGAGTTCCATTCCAGCGAAACAACAGACTCTGAGGAAGATTGTTAGTGACAGCAGGGCCTGTAATGGGGTATAGCCAGACTGAAGAGGGGTGATGGCTGCCAGGTGTCCACACTGAGCCCCAACACAATGCATTCATATTATTACTTAATTCATATAATTACTTAATATATTGCTTGTTACTTTTCAGCTTAGTGTAGGAGCAGGATGGTTCTAGAAACAGGCAGGCATTCCAGCTCCACCGCCCTGTATGTCCCTATGGAGATTACCATCCTGCACCTCCACCCCACCCCCAGCAGCAGGTGTAGTGGCGCACAACTACAATTCCACTACTCAGGAAGAGACAGGCTTATGAATCCCAGGCCAGCCTGGGCTGCACAGTACACCTATCTGAGTGCTCAAGACCCTGTCTTAAAATCAAAATCTTCAAAACTACACCTGCCATATAGTAAGCATTTAATAACTGTTCCTTCACCTCTCCTGGGTTAGAGAAGAGGGAGACGAGAGAAGACACCAGTTAGGGTGGAAAGATGACAGGGAAGGGGGGTAGACACCAGTTAGGGTGGAAACATGATGGGGAAGAGGGGCAGGCTTTCTCTGGACATATGCACCCCCATCATGCCCAGGAATGTACGAGAATTCCCTCTGGCCTCAGCCCACCTCTCATAATCTCACCTGCTTGTTGGCCACCACCACAACAGGCAGATCAGGGTCCTTGTCCAGCAGTTTCTGTAGTTCTTGCCGAGCCCAGGGCAACCGCAGCCGATCAGTTGAGTCCACCATGAACACCAGCACGTCCACCTCATTCACAAACTCCTTCCAGTAGAAGCGCAGGTTCTGGCTGCCACCAACTGAAGAGAGGCCAAAGGACAGGTCAGAGCCCAGAGCTCCCTGTGGCCTGGCCAGACCCCCACCCCATCTCCAGCTCCTAAGGTTCCACTAGCCAGGGGCAAAGAAAGCACCATAGTCTAGAGCCAGGCAGCCCTCTTAAGAGAGGTCACTGCACTGCCAGACTCTTCTTACTGAGTGAAGAAGTTTCAGCAGACCCCACAGGGACTGTCTGTGACAGCCACACAGCACTAGACAAGTGATAGTCTTAGGCCACCTCGCCTCTTTACCAGGTCCTAGCTTCCTCCCTGTTAGTGATAACTGAGATCAGAAGTCGGGGTCCCAATGCCAGAAAAGCCAGCGCAATGCCACTCTCAACTCCATCCCCACGCACTCTTGTTGCTCCTTCCTCTTCCTCTGGAAACACTGTATGGAGTCATACTGAACAAGGTTACGGACATAGTGCCTGCACCTGGAGCTGCCCTTCTGTTCCTTTTTGCCCCTCTGCTCAGTTCCCCTTGGTTACCCTGCATCACCCCGTTCTGGTTCTGGTTCTATTAACTGTCCACTCTAAATCCCCCCAAAGCCCCAGCACAATGCCTTGGCACACAGCAGGCACTCATCAAGTATTTACTGAGTGCCTACCAGGTGCCAAGCACTGATCTGGGTGCTGGGGATGCAGACACACGGGCTGGAGTCCTGCTCTCAAGGGACCCCCTCCCTGACCCAATGCCAAGCACTCACTGATCTGAGTGCTGGGGATGCAGAAATGAGCAAGCTGGAGTCCTGCTCTCAAGGGACCCCCTCCCTGACCGAATGGACCAGGCAATTACAAAAGGCATATTCTAGAAAGCAAGGAATCAGAACACAGGGAAGTGGCTAGGGGCTGTGGATGGTCTTGGACTGGGTGGTCTGGGAATGTCTCTTCAAAGAGGCTGGATGTGAAGTGAGTAGAGCCGTGGAAGAAGCAAAAGAAAGCATTCCAGTCACAGCAAAGAACAAATTCCATCTATCTGAGAAAGAGAAAGCAATGTGGTAAGGGACCTCGAGAGAGCAAGAGGAGAAGGGACAGAAGCTGGCCCTTTAAAGGTCTAGAATCTGTTTCTCAAAGGTACTAGCAGCTGACTGTGGACAGAAGTAGGAAGATCTATAAGGAAGCAGTTGTAGTCCTGGTGGGGGAGGCGAAAGCGGCTTGGACCAGGCAGCAACAGAGGGAGTAGGAGAGAGACAGTCTATCCAAGCACACAGCTGACAGAACCAATACCCCAGACTTCACAGTGAGTTCAGCAAAGTGTCACCAGTATTGAATTTGTCCCCCTACCAACTCCGCTCAAACCATGCACTCTCAGTTGGACCCAGGCCAGAATGCTGAGACCATGTGAGGGATGAGAGCTCTAGGACTTAATTGGACATTTGGGATTTTTTGCTGATGTTGAATTTTTTGAAACTGTGGCAATCTTCCTGCCATGGCCTCCTGAGTGCTGGAATTAGAGGTGTGACCCACCTTGCCTGACAGCAATCTGGGTTCGACTCCTAGATGAGGGAAGCCCTGAGCCTGGACTAAACACAGGCACATGGAAATATCTTTTCATATGGATGGGGAAAAGAAATGCTATTTCTGTCAGATAATACCCTCACTCAACACATGTCCTTGGCACAAGAAAAGACAGAGGGGCTGGGGAGATGGCTCAGTGGTTAAGAGCACTGGCTGCTCTTCCAGAGGTCCTGAGCTCGATTCCCAGTAACCACATGGTGGCTCACACCATCTATGGTGTGATCTGATGCCCTCTATCTGAGGCATACATTCAGATAGAGCACTCGTATATATAAAATAAATAAAATCTTTTTTAAAAAAAGAGAAAAAAAAATCAAAATCAAAAACAAACAAAAAATAAAAGCAAGAAGAAACAGAGAAAACTTGATGGGAGGTCCAAAACCTCAAGTAAGCATCAATGTTGTCTGCTACAACCAGGGAGAAGAGGTATGGCCAGGTTTGGCCATACCACAGTGCCTAAGACCAGAAGAATGAAGTCCCCTCAGGCCCAGAGTTAGGTTCTCAAAGCTCAATTTTATCACCCAGTACTTAATAAACACATCTAGGCCTCAAGGTTTTAGTCCTGTGGCTGAAAGTGCCCCCCTGCTTCCTCAAAGACTGGGATAGACCCAGGCTGACAAGAACTGCTACCTTCTCCATATTCTGGAAGCCCTTCCAACATCCCAAGAGGTTAGGACTGAGGATAGGCTCCTCAGTTCCCTTCTGATTACTCACTCAGTAAGTCCTCCCAGATACCTGTGACAGTCTAAGCCTTTGGTCAGAGTGGAGGACATCAGTCTTTGACCAGGATGCTCGCAGCTCCATCAGGGACAGAGGGTGACGTGACAAACAGGGCAGCAGAAGGGGTGCAGAACCAGGAAGGAGTCAGGGAAAGCGTCAAAGGAGTCACTCACAAACTACAACTGAGAACTGGTCATGGTGGCAGGGACCTGTAACCCCAACACTCACAAGGCAGAGAGAGAGAGAGAGAGAGAGAGAGAGAGAGAGAGAGAGAGAGTTCAAAAGTTCATGAGATCATCTCAAAACACTCAGGAGGCAGAGACAGGTAGATTGCTGTGAGTTCGAGGGCAGCTTCCAGGAAAGCCCTACAGAGTGAGTTTCAGGAAAGCCAGGGCTAATACAGAGAAATCTTGTCTCAAAAAATCAAAACCAACCAAAGAATGTCTAACAATAGTTATTAAGCATTCCAACAACAACAAAACTAAAACAAACAAACAAACAAACAAAAAACCCTAAAGAATGGAAAAAAGGGAACCACAGTTTAAAGAAAGAGTAGTAGCGGTTAATCAAGCGTTCCAGTGCATACCAAGAAGAGAAGGTAAGAAACTAGTGCCCTTCCTAAAGGCCTAGAGGAGGGCCTTCTGCATTAGGGCACCGGGAAGCTGGGCACCTGTCATGAGTCACCCGTTCCTACAAGTATCTACCAAGCAGATTAACTGGTTATAGTTTTATGGTGTCGTCTGGGGTATGTTATCAGCAATGACTGTCAAGCGCTTGGCATATGAACCCTTAGCTGTCTGTCTGTGTAAGGCATGTGTGGTGAAGGGTAGGAGGACCATTTGGAGAAACCGGATAGGGAAGAACCCTAAATGCCAGAATGTTCTGTATCTTGTGTCCTGGAGACGAGCAGAAAGGATTTCCTAAAGCGGAATTCCTGTTTAGATATGCGTTTTATAGACTCCTCCAAAGAATCTAGGCCCGGGCAGCAGTGAAGGGGTCCCTCGCTCACTCTCTAACAGGTCCACCTCGAAATTCTTGGTGGGCAGCCGCACAGAGTTGAAGCCCCAGGTGGGGACATGGCCTTCCAGCGGTGGCTTCCCAGACAGCATGCGCAGGAACGTGCTTTTCCCGGAGCCATCTAACCCCAGCACCAGCACTTCGCGCTGCTCCAGTTCCTCCAAAGCCGGCTCCTCTTCCTCATCCTCGGGCTGCGGGACAGACATCAAGGCTGCAGTCTCCAACATCCCTCCGGTTCCCTCCTTCCCTAGGGACAACGAAGGGGCGGCGGTACCCACGCACGCCTTCCGTGCATCCCAGGACAGGCAGGTGTACTCTGGAACAGCGGGGCAGGAGCTGCCTTTCGAGTCCTGAACTGAAAAACCTCACTTTTCTGTTTGACTCCCAGCGATCTCGGGCACATTCTTCCCCATCGCAGATCCTTGGCTTCCTCAGTCTGTTATCCCAAGCCTATCCCAAGCCACTCCCAAGACCTCAGCGTCAGGCACACCCGGCTTGACGGCTCTACCCAGCTGGCTCCTGCCGCGCCCTCGGGGATCCCGAACCCGACGCCGGTCTGGCGTGGCCCAGGCCCTAGCACGAGCTCTCCGCGCTCCCAGAACGCGCAGGCTTGCCACACTCACCTCCCATTCGTCCCACTGAGGGAGGCGGGCGGTATCCGCGCCCCAACAGGCCTCTCCCCGGTCCCAGCGCCGCTCCTGGCTGCGGCCGAAGTAAGCTTTCCAAAGAATAAAGAGCACTGAGCCCAGTACGGCCGCGGCGCCACCCAGAGCCAGCACCAACGGGCCCAGTGGCCGCGGCGCCATTTGGCCAGGTGGAGTCGCTGGGATCGGCGAAAACCGACCAGACCAGCCAGCCGTGGAATATGGTGCTGTGGCCGCGCCCACCCGCCCGACCCCGCCACACTACAAGCCCCACAATGCACCGCTTTATGCGACGGCCACGCGCTTCTTGCGGCGGGGATAGGGGGGCTCGGTGGGGCTGGCCTTCCGGGTAGGGGTCGCATGGTCTGGTCTTTCAGTTAGTGGTTTCGATCTTGGGTGGATTTTCCGCTCCGTTTGCCCAGTGTGGGAGGCCCTAGTCTGTGCGGACCGTTGCGACCCCTCAGAACTTCAGAGAAAGGAACATTGAGACTTAGGAGGTGTTAAGGACGCACCGTAGTACAGTGGTCTAATTTTGCATTCAAACCCAAGTTATTAGCAATCACTTAGGTATTTCTCAGAATCACAAAGAGAAAAATCGAAGCTATTCATATGGGATCATACACCAGTGGGGTGGCAGAAGGGAAAAGAACTGGAGTTCCCTATTCGAAGCAGCCTCTAACCCTCCTTTGACTGCCTCCCAGAGACCAAAGCGGTGATGAAGTATGTGGAGTCAGAAAGTTTAGAGCAGCCACTTCCAGAGACTGCGAGATCTCCAGGTTCCCCGTTAGAAAGAGAAACAGGGGCGGGGCTGGAGATGGCTCAGTGGTTAAGAGCCCTGGCTACTATTCCAGATCAGAGAAACTGGGTTCATTTCCCGGCACCCACAAGGCAGTTCATAACTGCCTGTAATTCCAGTTTTGGGAATCTATCACCTTCATACCAATGCACATGAAGTAAAGTTAAATAAGAATTTTTAAAAAGGGAGGAACAGAAAAATGATTCAAGCAACAGCAGTCCCTTGGTCCTTCACTGTGGCTGCAGGATATGGAAAAGAGCCATTGACTCCCAGTGTCCAGGTGTGCCCCCTCCTTACAGTACAACTTCTCTGTGTCCCAGACTGTCCTAGTTGGATCCCCTTTCCTTTTGGCTATGTATCTATGCTGCTCCCCTTCTACCTTTTTTATTTTTAATTTATTATTTCTTATATGCTTTAGTGTGAAGGCGTCAGATCCCCGCTTACAGACAGATAGGTGTGAGCTGCCATGTGGGTGCTGAGAATTGAACCTGGAACCTCTGGAAGAGTGACCAGAGCTCTTAATCACTGAGTCATCTTTCCAGCCCTGCTCCTTTTCTATCTTTTATTTTTCAAAAACATTTCTATAGGGCTTAGAGAGATGACTTACTGGATAAGAGTGTAGGCTGCTCTTCAGAGGACCTGAGTTCTGTTCTTAGGACCCACAGTTGCTTACAACTGTAACTCCAGTTTTAGGGGATCCAACACCCTTATCTGTCTTCTGTGAACACCATGGACACACGTGCTCATGCCCAGACAAACAAGCAGGGAAAACACCTATATAAAACAAACAGCCAGGCGGTGGTGGCACATGCCTTTAATCCCAGCACTTTGGGAGGCAGAGGCAGGCGGATCTCTGTGAGTTCAAGCCAGCCTGGTCTACAAGAACTAGTTCCAGGACAGGCTCCAAAGCTACAGATAAACCCTATCTCGAAAAACCAAACAAAACAAAGCAAAGCAAAGAAAAACAAACAAAAACAACCCATCTCCATATCAACACCTTTGTGGGAGAGCAGTTCATGTAGCTTATTTGAGATTGATGTCTGGATGCTGTAGAATAGTCCTTTTGTACACTGTGAATATGTATTTCTCCCCTTGGTTTAATAAAGAACCAACTGGCCAGTAGTGAAGCAGGAAGAGGTTAAGCAGGAGAGGCAGACCAAAAGAATGCTGGGAAGTGTTAAATGGAGACTGCGCGTTTGTTTTCGGACTGCTCAGACCCGAATAATCACACAGAAACTATATTAATTACAACACTGTTTGGCCAATGACTCTAGTCTAGCATATTCCTAGATAGCTCTTTCTTTTTTAATTTTATAATGTATACAGTGTTCTGTCTGCATGCATGCCCACCAGAAGAGGGCACCAGATCTCATTACAGATGGTTGTGAGCCACCATGTAGTTGCTGGGGATTGAACTCAGGACCTCTAGAAGAGCAGCCAGTACTCTTAACTTCTGAGCCATCTCTTAGCCCTCCTAGCTAGCTCTTACACCTTAAACCTTAAATTATCCCATTTCTATCAGTCTTTGTACTGCCACAAGGCTGTGGCCTACCTGTATGGTTCCTAAGGGTCTACAATGTGTCTTTCACCTTTGGCCGCTACATGGCATCTCCTTGACTCCGCCTATTCTTTCTATATCTCTGTTCAGATTTCCCACCTGGCTTTGTTCTGCTAAGCCATTGGCTGAAACAGCTTTATTGATCAACCAATAAAAGCAACACATATACAGAAGAACATCCCACACCAGGGAAGAAAAAAGACAGAGTTGCCAGCAAGACACAAAGGAAGCAGGAGATGATCGTGCCATGCCGAAAAGAGGTTCCACCATGAGATAAAGTGTAGATTAAAAATATGGGTTAATTTACGTCTAAGAGCTAGTTAGTAACAAGCCTAAACTATTAACCGAGCATTTAAAATTAATAATAAATCTCTGTGTGATTATTTGGGAACTGGCTGGTAGGACAGAAAACTGCCTACTTCTGGGGGTAGCAGAAAGAAATAAGAGTATAAAAAGGTTTTACTCACAGTGATTCACGGCCTTCCTGTGACCCTCTAATACAGTTCCTCATGTTGTGGTGACTCCCAACCATAAAAGTATTTTTGTTGCTACTTCACAACTGCAATTTTGCTACTATTATGAATTGTAATGTAAATATTTGATATAGGACCCCTCTCGTGACCCACAGGTTGAGAACCACTGCTTTACTGTTTGCCTGACAGGAAAGAAGATATTTACTTCTTTTTTTTTTAGGTTTAGAGTGTGAGTGTTTGCCTACATGCATGTATGCTACCTGAGTGTCTGATACCTCCCGAGGTCAGAAGGGGATGGTGTAGCTCCTGGAGCTGGAGTTAATGGATCATTGTGTTGGGTTCTGGGAACTGAATCTGAGTTCTCTGCAAGGTACCCTAAAGTGCTGAACTGCCTCTCCAGCCCTCAGGGAAGAAGGCATTTCAATACATCCTTCCCTTTGGCTATTAGACCATTGACACAATGGATCCCAAGAGATTGGAATTTACCCCACTCTCCAGGAATTGAAGCAGAAGATGGGGAAGTTAAGGCGGTTAAAGTCTGGCCCCAGTAAGACCGGACTCCAGCAAGCTGTCCAGGTTCTCTTCACTTGGACTGGAAATAGCCCACAGGCCAGGCAGTGGTGGCACTTGGGAGGCAGAGGCAGGTGGGTCTCAGTGAGTTCAAGGCCAGCCTGGTCTACCAAACAAGGTCCAGGACAGCTAGGATTGTTACACAGAGAAACCCTGTCTTGAAAACTAAAAAAAGAAAGTAGCCCATGGATCAAAGCCCCTCTTCTCGATGACCGTTAGGCAGTCATGGGAGAGCGTTGGTCTGGGTCAGGGTGGGATCATCATTTTGTACACCAGGAAAAGACAAGTTATCTTTTTACCTCTTATTCACTATTGTTTATTTGTTCTGTAGTCGTTTTAAAACACCTAACCCTTGCCACTTGAACCATGCCCCCTCATGAAACCCCTTCTCCTTTGATGAAAGTTTCTCTTTTTTTAAAAAATAAAAATTATGGGGGTAGGAAAGATGACTGAGCAGTTAAGAGCACTAGTTGCTCTTCCAGAGGACCCAGGTTCAATTTCTAGCACCCCCATGGCAGTTCATAACTGCCTGTAACTCCAGTTTCAGGGATCCAACACACAGACATACATGTAGGCAAAACATGAATGCATATGAAATAAAAATAAATATTTTTTTAAATTATCACATTTATTTTTAAATTTTATTTTATGTGTATGTATGTTTTGTTGACATGCATATCTCTATATCACATGCATGTCTGGTGTCTGCAAAAAGCAGAACAGGGTATGGAAACTGGAGTGACAGAGACCTGTGAGCTGCCATGTGCATGCGTCACTGGATACTGAACCCACGTCCTCTGGAAAAGGACTTCTAACTCTGAGCCATCTTCTCTAGTCTCTATTTCTCTTTCTAATAGGTGATGTTAAAGCACTCACCTTTGACTCATTCCTCTTCTACAGGCCAATATCCTGGAGTCAGCAGCTTACAGCTGTAATCACTGCAGCCTCCCCTCCCCTGGAACCCAGGCTCATGTTCAGAGAAGGAAAGGTTGAAACTCGGTGCTAAAAGCTTGTAACCTTTCAGATGCCTCAGAGGAGATACTGTAGCCAAAATGAAGGTTCACTGATGGGTGGGACTGTACCATGACCAGACTGTTTTCCCTTTTCTCTTTGTTTTTTATTTTTTATTTTTATTTTTTTTTCCTTTTTCGAGACAGGGTTTCTCTGTGGCTTTGGAGCCTGTCCTGGAACTAGCTCTGTAGACCAGGCTGGTCTCGAACTCACAGAGATCCGCCTGCCTCTGCCTCTCGAGTGCTGGGATTAAAGGCGTGCGCCACCGCCGCCCGGCTCTCTTTGTTTTTTAGAGTCAAGGTCTTACTCTAAAGCCTTGATTGGTCTGCAGCTTGCTCTGTAGACCAGGTTCTTCTCAAACTCACAAAGATATTCCTGCCTCTGCCTCGTTGGTACTGGGATTAAAGACATGCACCATCAAGCCTGCCAGCTTGCCTATTATTTAAACAAACATCTTTCCAGGATCTGAAGATGCACTCCAGGGGGTCATTATAAAAACCTGGACAGGGCTCTTCCAGAGGTCCTGAGTTCAATTCCCAGCAACCACATGGTGGCTTACAGCCATCTATAATGAGCTCTGATGCCCTCTTCTGGAATGTAGGCAGACTTGGAAACTAACACTATATACAAAATAAATAAATAAATATTAAAAAAATAAAGACCTGGAGTAGCTGGACGGTGGTGCACACCTTTAATACCAGCGCTTGGGAGGCAGGAGGATCTCTGTGAGTTTGAGGCCAGCCTTATCTACAAGAGCTAGTTCTAAGATAGGCAGGCTCCAAAGCTACAGAGAAACCCTGTCTCAAAAAACAAAGAAAGGAAGGAAGGAAGGAAGACCTGGAGTTATGAAGGTTTGTAAGCTGCCATCTCAGGACCAGAATCTGAGCTGAAGCCAGACCCCAGCACTGGCTGCCCTTCCAGAGGACCCAGATTCGATTCCCAGTACCCCCATGGCACCTCACAACTGCTTGTACTCCAGTTCCAGGGGATCCAGTGCCCCCTATGGCCTCTTGGGACACCAGAGACTCATGTGCTACACATACATACATACATGCAGACACTCACACATACAAATAAAATAAAAATAAAGCTGGGTGTGATGGTGCATTTCTCTAACCCAGCAGCTGGGAGTCAAAGCCGGCAGATCTCTGAGTTGGACGCCAGCTTAGTCTACACAGAGAGTTCTAGGCCAGCCAGGGCTACATAGTAAGACACTGTCTCAGAAAAATGTTTGTAAAAATTTTAAAAAATTATGTCTATGTGTATATGGATATGTGCGCATGAATGCAGGTACCTGCAATATCCAGATGAGGACATCAGATTCTCTGGAGCTAGAGTTTGCAGGTGGTAATCAGCCTGATGTGGGTGCTGGGAACCAAACTCGGTCCTCTGAGCAAGAGCGGTATACTCTGAGCTGCTTTATCTCCAGTCTCTTTGAAGTTTCTATTAAAATCTAAAGTTCATGTCAGAGCCCCAGAGATGACCCTGGTGCTCAGACTTTGGTAAGTGGCTACACTAAGCAAGCTTTCCACATCTTACTACTGTCTCTTTCAACTGTGTTTGGGTGAGTGACTGAGCGTAGATTATTGGGGTCGTGAAAGCCAGGACTTTTGCTTTAAATTTTCGTGGCAGTGTCTTTTTTTTTTTTTAATTCTCAGTATTCTGACTGCATGTACACCTGTAGGCCAGAAGAGGGCACCAGATGGTTGTGAGCCACCATGTGGTTTCTGGGAATTGAATTTAGGACCTTTGGAAGAGCAGGCTATGCTCTTAACTACTGAGCCATCTCTCCAGCACCTTGCTTTGAATTTTCTTTTGCAGTATGAACTAAATGGAACCAACACTAACTTGAGGCTTTCAGCCAGGCGATGGTGGCGCACGCCTTTAATCCCAGCACTCGGGAGGCAGAGGCAGGCGGATCTCTGTGAGTTCGAGACCAGCCTGGTCTACAGAGCTAGTTCCAGGACAGGCTCCAAAGCCACAGTGAAACCCTGTCTCGAAAAACAAAACAAAACAAAATAAATAAATAAATAAATAAACTTGAGGCTTTCAGTATATGTGAGCACCAACTTATAAACCAATTTGGTACCATATACAGGACATGGCAAACTTGAGCACACATGTAGACAGTGCTTAAACACCTGCAGACGACATGAAGTTGGACCAAGAGATTTTTGTAGCCTTTCATTTAGTTTTCATTTGTTAATGTTAAGTTATTTCTGTTAATCTGATTATTTTCTCCATAGCATTAAGTAATACTTATTTTAAAATCTGCATATCCAAAGATCTGACTATTAGAGATACAGTAGATTTTAGGACATTTTAAAGTTAAAAAAAGTTTTATTTTTTAAATGTGTGTGGGTGTTTTTCCTGAATGTACGCCGTTTGCATGCCGAGGCCATAGAAGGCATTGGATTCCTTGATTGGGAGTTACAGACAGTTGTGAGCTGCCATGTGGGTGCTGGGAATTGAACCTGGGTCCTCTGGAAGGACTCTGAATCCCCGAGCCTCTCCCCAGTTTCCATTTTCACATTGTAAATTGTGATAGAATGAAAAAAGGAAAAGTCACATCTGCTCCTAGGTCTGGTGGAGAGGGTTGAGTGTAGATCAAAGGGAGCGCATAGGTAGAGGCAGGGATGTCTGGGAGAGTCAGGCTGAGCTGGGCCATGTGGGGAGAAGGGGAGGGGAAATGAGAAAGGAGAGAGGGGAACCAGGTGTAGCAGTTAGGAGGCCAAAGGTAAAAAAAGGGTAGGTAACTAAAATGTCTGGACTCTAAAGAAAAGAGTCTCTGTGGGAAGGGCAGCCCAGCCCCTGGGTTAGAGAGCTCTGGGTAGAGACCAGCCACACCCTCTAACAGGTAGGGACTGAGGGATGCTGGGAGAACCTAGAGGCTTGGTCCACTGTGTTGTGTTAAAGAGGCACCTTGGGCTCTTGTTTGAAACTTAAGAGATGTGTACTCCTCCCTAGCAGTAGAAGGGGTAAGAGTTAAGACATTTACAAAAGTTAAGAAAACTTGGCATATTTTTTTTTTTTTTTAAAGTCATTCTGTAACCCAATTGTGCTATCCATGAGCCAAGTAAAGAATCGACAGAAGACTTTGATTTCTGGTGCACTCAAGGTCCTAACAGAAGGCAGGCAAAGTCAAATCCTGAACTCTGCACTTAAGATTCTGCTCCTTTCTGCCGGCCTGGCGGTGGTGGCACAGGCCTTTAATCCAGCAGGTGGATCTCAGTGAGTTCATAGGCCAGCCTGGGCTACAAAGGGGCTTCCAGGCCAGTCAGGCCAGGCCAGACAGGACTTAAACGGATAAACTCTGTCTCACACAGAGAAGCCCTGTCTTGAAAAACTAACCAACCAGCCAACCAATCAACCAACCAAACAAAAAGATGGCCCTCCTTTGAACACCTGAGGTGATTGCAAACCTTGGACTTGGAGTAGAATTGAAGGTAGGTGTTTTCAACCTTTTCTCAGCAGAAGAGTTATGTTTTTTTTCTTGACATCTGTATGGCTGCCTCTCCAGCTCCATTTTCCTCAGTTATTCTCACCTGCGCTGGGGAGGCTAGGCTGTGGTATGCTCCTGTATTTGGTCAGTTCTAGTGTGGAGACTGCCCGTTTCAGATACTTCTGAAAGACAGTTTGCTCACTCCATTGCTTGTTAACTGAAGTGATTAACTCTATTGGATCCATTGTGTGTATGTGTGTAGTTTATGGACAGACCTCCACAAGAAAGAGAGGGCAGGAAATGGTGACAGGGTCACAAACCCAGGGAAGTCCGTTGTGAACTTTCTGGCTTTGATTTCAAGATATATTTACTATACCGTCTCCATCTTTTTTAAAAGATTGATTTTATTTTTATATGTATTACGTGTGCGTGTAGTGTCCTTGGAAACCAGAAAAGGGCGGCAGATCTCGTGAAGCTGCAGTGAGATCCCGAAAGTCGGTGCTAGAACAGTCTCAGGTCCTCTACAAGTGTGGGACTTGCTCTTTAACTGCTGAACCATCTCCACCTGTCTTCATTCTTTTCCCCTCCCTCCACTCACCCCACTTCCTGCCACGCTCCTGTCTCAGCCTCCAAGTGTTTGGGTTACAAGCGCAGAGGAAGTGCGGCAACAGGCGACCCTCGCTCCGGGAACCCCATGGGGTTTGCCTTAAGATTCCAACCTACACGGAAGGTGAAGGTGGTCATGGTGATGATCCCAGATCGTGGACTACAGCTCCCAGCAAGCCGCGCCAACCGCCGAATCAAGTCTCGCGCGACGTGCTGCGGTATCTGGCTGGGCTGTGCTTTGGCTGCCGGCCGGCGGCAGTGCTTAGTCGGGAGAGTGAATTGCGCGCTCACGATGGCTCGGCTTTGCTCAGCTCCTCAGCCTCTTGGGCCATTTGGAGCCTCGGAGCCTCTTTAGTGCCGGAGTTCGGGCCGCAGGCGGCTGGCGAGCAGGTGACGGGCCGCGACCTGGCGCTGCTGGAGGGGGCTTGAGCCCCGGGGCGCCGCGGCCTGGGGGCCGGGTGGGGGCCTCGAGCCCCTCTGAGATCTCCAGTGAGGCTCCGTGCACCCGCGCTCCGTGCATCCGCGGGCTTGGCCTCGAGGGGTGGGACCGTGGAAGGATCCGGCCGGGCTTTATACATCCCGGAGGCTTTGTTTTGTACCTTCTGAAGGAAAGACTTGGGCTTGGGGTCGCTGTGAGAGAGGTGAAGGGCGTGTGTCTGGCTTGCCGATGCCCTCGGGGCTGCGGTGAGGGGCCCCAGTGAACTTGAAGAAAAATTCGGGTCAGTAATGCCTGCTGTGCAGTGCGGCGCAAGGGTTTTAAGGATAGTTTTGTTAAGAGGCGGTTACTGTTAGCCGGCGTTAGTAAGAGTTGTGTTGGTCTTCGCTGCTGCATAGCCCATTTCTGTCGAGGGGAGATGCTATGTAATACGGCTTGTGATGGGAATGAACGAATGTACAGGGCATCGTTTGGTGGGCTTGGGAGCGCTGTACCAACCCTGGTTGTTTATTGTTATTAGAGCCTCTGGATGGAGTCTTCCTCGGAAGCTTTGCTAATTTGCAGCAGCTGGGCAATGCTCCTCATTACCATCTGTCTGTCCGCATAGTTCAGCTTCATTTCATTGTGGTAAGGCGTCTTCACTGTGTCTTGTCTTTACTTTCTCCGTTGTTAAGATGAGCCAGGGGATGAACCGTTGAACTTTATCCTTTGGGGTGTGTTTGTCACACATTGGTTCTAGTGTATGTAAGTTTCAGCCTTATTAACAAGCCATAAATCGCTGAGAAGAGCAGCCCTGGAGTGATCATCCGCTGTTCAGCTTAAGAAAATGCCCTTTGTTATTTTTATTAGGTGGCAGGGACTCCGCTCCGAATTCTGTATAGAAAAAGCTCCTGGATCCCAGTCTTTCCATGGCTTCGAGACAACCAGAAGTGCCTGGTAAACAGAGTTCTTATTTGGTTAAGTCTGTTTTGCCTTTATTGATCTAAACTTATTTTCTCCAAATCATATGTTAACAGTTCTCCCATTTGCCACTAGGGAAGTAGTCAGATTGTCATCATTTTAATATTATCTCATTATCCTCCTAGCCACGCTCAGATCTTTACTTAGAGCCACTGCCCTTAAGTGTATGACAATACATTATACCAAAGGAGAAGAATTAACAGTATGTTTGTAAGGTGTGTCAGTGTGAATAAATTACCCTATTTTGAGGGTGGTTAGTGTAGGATGGAGGTCTGGGCAAAAGATAGAATCACTGTTAAATCTAACTCAGTTGTAAAAATGTTTGTGTCAACACTTAGTGTGTTCTATTGGTTTGTGTTCTGCAGTACTGAAATCATTGGTTCCTCTTTGGACTGTTACCAGAAAGGAAGGCGATTTGTTTTTTGTTTTTTCGAGACAGGGTTTCTCTGTGGCTTTGGAGCCTGTCCTGGAACTAGCTCTGTAGATCAGGCTGGTCTCGAACTCACAGAGATCCGCCTGCCTCTGCCTCCCGAGTGCTGGGATTAAAGGCGTGCACCACCATCGCCGGGTTTAAGGAAGGCGATTTGTAAATCAGGCTGAATCACTGAGTCATTCTCAGAAGTGTAGACTGTGTTGCCTGCCCATCTAATGTGAAGATTAAACAGTTTTTTTCTTTATTTGTTCTTTGGAGACTGGGTCTCTCTCTGTGGTTTGTACTTCTGGCTGTTTTGGAACTCTACTTGCTTGTTTGTTTTTCGAGACAGGATTTCTCTGTAGCTTAGTGGCCTGTCCTGGAACTAGCTCTTGTAGACCAGACTGACCTTGAGCTCGCAGAGATCCTCCTGCCTCACCTCCCAAGTGCTGGGATTAAAGGTATGAGCCACCACCACACCATCTTAAATAAAACATATTTTGCAAATTGAGTTAAAAGTGGCTGCTAAATCTGCATTTACTGCTCAAAAAGTGTTTGTTTGTTTGTTTTGAGACAGTCTCACTTTGTAGACCTGGCTATCCTGAAACCCCAGAGATGCTCCTGCCTCTGCCTCCTGAGTGTAGGATTAAATGCATGTGTACCATGCTTGGTTCTTTGTAGGCACATGTTTCTTAGGAGAGGTTAGCTAACATTATCGTCATGGTTTTTATGAAGCCACTGGGAACAGTCTTTTTTTTTTTGAACCCCGGTCTCCCGCGTGACAGGTGGGGATACTCACCACTATACAAACGAGGATGGGAACAGTCTTGAACATGGTTATGAAATTGCTCCCCAGTAGGTAGGTTAATGGAAGCGTCTCAATGTGTCTTAGAATCTCTTGTCTCAGCTAGGCGCACGCCTTTAATCCCAGCACTTGGGAGGCAGAGACTGGAGAATCTCTGTGAGTTCGAGGCCAGCTCTGGTCTATAATAGAGCTAGTTCCAGGCCAGGCTCCAAAGCTACTGAGAAACCAACCCTGTCTTGAAAAACAAAAACAAAAATCTCTTGTTTCTACCATTATGTGTGTCTTCCATTCATATTGCATTGCCATAAACTCATTGTAACCATGCAGAACTGTGGTGTCACACTCATTGGGTTAGTGCTTTGTAGCATGGACGCATGGAGTGGTGGGCACAAGGTGGGAGCCCTGACTTGACTGTCTACTGCACACTAAGCTGTGTGATTGCTTGTGCTCTGTACCAGTTTCCTGGTCTCTGGGACATGGGAAGAGCATTTGTTTAGTGATGATTGGATACAAGGAGGGATATTAGTGCCAGGTAATTTCTATTTGTCTATTTTAGTTGAGATACAATGCACATCCTGTAAATTCACCACTTACAGTGGGTAATGTAATGGCTGGTGTGTTCTTAAGGTTTGCATCTATCAAATTAACCTACTTACAGAGTATTTTCCTTCTCTCAGAAAGACTTTGCTCCCATTAGGAGTTACACCTCATTGCCCTCTCTCCCTGGCTCCTGGCAACCTCTTGGGTTTGTTAGTAGTTATTAATATTGGAAATAGTCACATGGTAGCTGTAGGTCTCCTTGCTGTCTAAGTGAACTTTCTGGGGTTTGGGACTTGCTGCCAGGCAGGCTGCTGTCTTAAGGAATATGATTGTATAACAGGAAAGTATCACCTTGAAGGCAGGTTCTGGATCAGTAAACCAAAGTGAACCTTCTTGCTCTCTGTTGTGGCACAGCTGAGAGTGCCCTTGAAGCATGGTGCTGGCGTCACAGCTCTACATTCCAGCAGGCCTGTGGACAGGGCTGGCAGGATCAGGCTGGTAGTGCTGATGAGAGCGGCTGTCAGTCATTTCTTTGGAAATGTTCAGTCATCAGAATACTAGAAACTGGAGGTGGTGCCAAGCTGTGAACTACTGCTTGTAGTTCTCTTTGTGGGGAGACAAAAGGCATGGGGTTTGTCGTAGACTTGGTCAGACCTCAGCCAGCTATTTTCTCTATGAACTAAGGCAGATCAGTTCACGCTAGGGTTTAGTTTCCTCATCAGATGAGACAGAGACAGGTAGAGTGAGGGGGAAAAGAAGAGAAGATACCTCAGCCACTTTATGTCCCTTAGTCTTGTATGTCTGCGAGTTTAGTGTAGAAGTTTTGAAATGAGATAGATTTGAGTTTTGACTGGAAATCATGCTTTGAAATTGAGACTTTGCACAGGTAAATTTAAACTGAGTTTAAGGTTCTTTAGTCTTTAAAAGTGGATTAGGTCTTGGTGTAGTGGTGCATGCCTGTAGTCCCAGCGCTTGGGAAGAACTGAGGCAGGAGGACTGACAGAATTTGAGGCCAGCTGTGCAAGTTATATAGTGAGTACCAGCCAGCCAGGACTACATAGCAAGACCCTATGAAAAAGGAGGAAAGAAAAGAGGATAATATTGAGTGGCTGTGTGGAGGGAGACTCCAGAGTGTAGTGGGTAAAGAAGGCAGTTAGCACTGCTATTACCCTTCCCTTGAATGGATTGATAGCTGCCACAGACAAGCTGTCCCTAAATAAATTTCATAGCTTCCTTGTCTATAGATTATCTTTTTTTTAAAAATATTTATTCATTTATTATGTATACAATATTCTGTCTCTGTGTATGCCTGCAGGCCAGAAGAGGGCACCAGACCTTATTACAGATGGTTGTGAGCCACCATGTGGTTGCTGGGAATTGAACTCAGGACCTTTGGAAGAGAAGGCAATGCTCTTAACCTCTGAGCCATCTCTCCAGCCCTCTACAGATTATCTTAAAGCCACTAGTATGTTGAGTTGATATCCCATATTGACAGGTATCTCTGTTCTTAGCTCTTGCGTCCAGTGGGCCTCTAGGCAAGATGTCCCTGCCCATCGGGGTGTGCCGCCGGGCATTCAGCTATGATGATGCCCTAGAGGACCCTGCGCCCATGACTCCTCCTCCATCGGACATGGGCAGCATCCCCTGGAAGCCAGTGATTCCAGAACGCAAGTATCAGCATCTTGACAAGGTACCTTACCCTGCTGACGACTTCTGAACTCTCACCCCTTTGTTCTCCTGCTCCAGAAGCCTTCAGTGAGTCTCTGTCCCCATAAGGTCGGGCAGCAGTTGTTCCCTTTGTGGATCTTTTACACTTCACGCTTTTTTAAAAATTCAAAACTTGAGCCGGGCGATGGTGACGCACGCCTTTAATCCCAGCACTCGGGAGGCAGAGGCAGGCGGATCTCTGAGACCAGCCTGGTCTACAGAGCTAGTTCCAGGACAGGCTCCAAAGCCACAGAGAAACCCTGTCTCGAAAAACCAAAAAAAAAAAAAAAAAAATTCAAAACTTGAATGTAGTATTGTCTGTATGAGAGTCTTCTGGACTCTGCTTTCCCAACTAGAAAGGCAACTCCAGAACCTTTGAATACCTGAGTTCTGATGAATTCTGCTTACCTCTTTGGAGCTTCTCTGTTATCTAGCCAGAGCATTATTGGAATATTTGCATACATACAATGAGCTAGTGGGGGAATAGGACCCGAGTCTAAATATGCTTAATTTATGTTGTATACACTTTCCACTCATAGCCTGATTACTCTTAGGTAGTCATTTTTTATGTACAAAATGAAGTTTTACACTGTGTTATCGCAGCATTCTAAAGGCTTCAGACTTTGGGGCACTCTGAGTGTTTAGGGTTTTGGATAGTGATGCTCAGCCTGTATTCTATTGCTGCATTAAGCTGAAGGTTTGGCAGAGTCCAAAAAAATCCTTTAAAAGTTGTTCTTTTGTTTGTTTGATTTTGGTTTTTCGAGACAGGGTTTCTCTGTAGCTTTGGGACCTGTCCTAGAACTAGCTCTTGTAGACCAGGCTGCCCTCGAACTCACAGAGATCGCCTGCCTCTGCCTCTGCCTCTGCCTCTGGAGTGCTGGGATTAAAGGCGTGCGCCACCACCACCCGGCTCTAAAACTTGGTTTTGTGATTGCCATAAGCACAGTCTCTTGAACGCCTGCTGTACTGTTGCTTTTCCTTTTCTGTTTCCCTTGTTACACTTGCAGAACAGGGACTTCTTTCTAAGAAGCATTTCCCACTGCTCTGTGGAGAGCTCTGTAGTATCAGTTGTCTGTGGGAATCTGATCCAGGTGGCTGTTGAAGAGAAAATGTTCTAAAGACTGGGAAGCCAGCCGGGTGGTGCTGGCACACACCTTTAATCCCAGCACACTGAGTCAGGTGAATCTCTGTGAGTTTGAGGCCAGTCTGGTCTACAGAGAGAGTTCCAAGATAGCCAGGGCTACACTGAGAAACCCTGTCTTGAAAAACAAAAGCCCCAAACGAAAATAAAGACAGTCGTAAGAACAGTGGCAACCTGTGTACAGACGGTCTTGAGTCTGAGGCCAGCATGAGCTCCATACAATGGTCCCCACCCAAAGCAAAGACCTCAGGTAACAACTCCAATAAAAATCTACACAAAAACAAACTGTAGCTGTTTCCAATGCTGGTACAGGAGGATTGCCTGCTTGGACTACACAGTAAATTCAAGGCAAGTCCAGGCAACTTAATGAGGTCTTGTCTCAAAATAGATGTTAAAAAATAGGCAGGGATGTACTTGGTGGTAGAGTGCTTGCTGAGGGTCAGCCCTCAGCCTGGGGGTGTGCAGGGGAGACTATTGTGTGAGCCTTTGTGCAGTGGTCCTGCGGCAGTACTTGCTGGCCCAGCCTCCTTTCCTGTTGCTCTGATAAAATGTTCTGGCAGAGGCAGCTTCAGGGAGAAGGGCTCATAAAGCTCCCAGTTCAAGTATGGTTCATCCTGTGGGCAAGGGAAGGTGGAGGAGCTTGAAGGAGTGAGCTACATCTCATTCAGAGTCAGGGGATAGAGAGGGAATGTATGCTGATGCTCTATTCGTTTCCCCAGCTTATCCAGCCCAGGAATCCCTGCCCAGGGAATGGTGCCATCTCTAATAAAGATTGGTCTTCCCACATTAATTAAGAGAATCAAGATAACCTCTCACAGACACTCACAAAGGCTAATGCTCATCTAGATGATTCTTCCTAGGTGTGCTCAAAGGCCTCTCTCTTGGTGGTGTTAGGTTCTGTTAACACTGTTCACATTAACCATCGCACTTGGGAGTTTGTTAGAAACCTAATTTTTACTTAAAAATCTTATTATTTTAGAACCCAGGGCGTCAGACATGCTGGGCTAGAGACAAATTCCTTTTTCTTTTGATACAGGGTCTCACTCTGTAGTCCAGGTTGACTTTGAACTCACAGCAGTCTTTAACCTTCAGAGTGCTGGGACTACAGATGGGTGTCACCATACTTTGTTTATGTGGTCCTCGAGATGGAGCCCTTGTGTCTCACCTGACAGCCTAGACCTGCCAAGTAGCCTGAAATGTATTTAGCCAGTACTCAGGTGACTGATGCGTGGTCAAGCCTGAGGGAATATTCTGCTCAGGCTGAATAAGGCTCAGTGGTTGGCATATGGTCAGTGCTTTGTAAGAAGTGTCTCTTCTATTTTGTTTCTGTTCTCCCTGTTTGTCCTTTCTTTCCTCCGTCCCGCATTAATTTTCCCTCTGTTTTGGTAGGTATTCCATCCTTGCCTTGACCTCACTGTGTAGCCCAGACTAGAGTTGAACCCACACCAGTCCTCCTGCCTCAGCCCCTCCAGCCCTGGGATTACATGTGTGTACCACAAGACCAATGTTTTATCTGTAGTCTTATGGGCAGACAGTCTGGAAAGTTAGGTCTCAGGGCTCCAAATTCTGCCTCTCCTTGTGTGATTCCAGGCTCTTCCCCTAAGGTCTTTTCCTGTTGTCACTGGACTAGTAGAGGCTTCAAATCTTTCTTCTCTTACAGGTTACATGTTCTTGTAACTCTTCTCTTAAGAAGTAAGTTTAGGCTGGGCGGTGGTGGCACATGCCTTTAATCCCAACACTTGGGAGGCAGAGGCAGGCAGATCTCTGTGAGCTCGAGGCCAACCCAGTCTTCAGAGTGAGTCAGGGCTAAACTGAAAAACCCTGTCTTGAAAAACCAAAAAAAAAAAAAAAAAAAAAAAGGAAAGACAAAGAAAAGAAGTAGTTTAGGTGTGACTCCTGCTCATGTGCCTCCTTACCTTTCTTGAACAGACAGAGGAAGGAGCGGCCAGTGTCTCTTCCCTTGCTGTGACTTCATCAACAGCCACTGACAGTTCAGACAAGGCCCCTGTGGTGAAGGCCAAAGCTACCCATATCATCATGAATTCCCTTATCACAAGTAAGCACCCTTGGGTCTCAGCAGAGGAACTGAGGGAGGGAGTGCTTGCGCCTCAGCTGCAGCTGGTTCTCAGACCTGCTTTCGTGGGGCCCCACATTCGCCTGGCTGCTGAACCTCATCAAGGAGGAAGATTTCTGCCTGTTAAGCATCTCATTGGCTTCATCCTGCTGTTGCTTGATACAGCCTCATTTTCCTGGACTGACCAGTATGATCACTTTACTAGATATGACACCCCACTTTCTGAAATAGGGAATCTAGCTGGCAGGTCGATGTTAAGGTTGAATATTAGCAGGAGCTTTGAATCCACTGCTGTTACTGGCCTGGATGTGTTGCTAGAGAAGGTGGCACACTGGAGGACAGCTCTCTGGCCTTGCACTGCTATACACGTTTATTTGGTTTTGAGACAGAATCTTGCTGTGTGCTCTCACTGGCTTTAAACTCAAAGCAGTGCTCGTGCCTCAGAGTTCTTATGGCTAGTATTGCTCATATACTACTGTACCCAGCTACTTTTTAAAAAATTTACACCCGGGTGGTGGTGGCGCACGCCTTTAATCCCAGCACTTGGGAGGCAGAGGCAGGCGAATCTCTGTGAGTTCGAGACCAGCCTGGTCTACAGAGCTAGTTCCAGGACAGGAACCAAAGCCACAGAGAAACCCTGTCTTGAAAAACCAAAAAAAAAAAAAAAAAAAAAAAAAAATTTACATATGCATTTAAAAATCATTTATATTTTCACAAACAAATTTTGATAATGCTGATCAAGGCCTTGAACATGATGGTCCACCAGGAGGGAGACCAGGTTTGGCGCCTCAGTTTCTTTAATTTTTAGAATGTGTTATTGATGGTCCTAATGAGGCTTAATGAGAGCTTTTTATCTTTTTAAGCTTTTTTTTTTACATTTTTTAAATTTATGTATATAGTATGTGTGTGTGAGAGTGGAGGTGTGAGAGACCAGAAGGCGACATCAGATCCTCTAGAGCTAGGGTTACAGTTGTGAGCCACCCAGTATGGGTGCTGAGATCTGAGCTCGGGTCCTCTGGAAGAGGGGTAAATACTTTTTAACCACTGAGCCCTCTCTCCAGCTCCTCTTCTTAAACTTCTGTCACAGTTGCCTAAGCTTCTTCCTTCTCAAGGGCTGTCCTAGTTGGTATGGGGAGTTAATTATTCAGTGCACGGCTCTGCATGTCAGCAGTAATACCCGCCCCAGGGCTGAGGTGCACAGAACTTCTCCTTGGTTGGCCTGTATTTTCCTCTCCAGGAGGGGATCAGTGTGTCTTGGTCACTTCTGGAAAGTTGACTCAGAAAGTCAGAGTCCAGACCCCCTTTGTTTCTCTGTGATTGCACCACCGGAACAGCAGCTACTACTTGTGTTCTGTAGCTTGACCATTCTGGCGTTAGGAGGGCACAGCTGTTGTGGCTTCCGAGGCTACCAGACATGCTCATGGTACACAGATATACTTGCAGGCAGCACACCTGTTACATAAAAAGGAAGTGGAGTGTGTAGATCCCAAAGTCTGTTGGTGTGGGGACTGTTCAGAGCTGCCATGCTCGTGTTTAGTGTGAAAACTTTGTACCTTAAGAAAAAAATCTGTCTTAAACACACACAAACAAAAAAGAAAAGAAAAAAATCATCTCTTCTTGTTTATTCCATAGTTAGTGACTTGTGAAATAACAAATAATAAACCAAGCTAAAAGAACATCGTTAGCTAGGGCAGGAACAGCAACAGGCAGATCATGTGTAAGAAATGTGGGGTCTGTAGACCTTGGCTAGTTTAAGGCAGGTGGCTGTACTGTGAATCTGACTGGTACCTTGGGGACAGCTGGCAGGAATGTGACCTGCTTCTCTTTGACAAATTTTCTGTGCAAGTGCTAAGTCTCTTAGGAGCTTAGTGATTTGAGAATTCTTACTGTGTCTGGATGCCAGGGCCTCCTGGCCTGTTGTTGAATGTGAGGGTGTTATGGAGTCTAAGTGAGAGGAGGTGAGGCATTCAGCATCCCTGTCCGGCAGCTTGCTTTTTAGTATGCTGTGAGGGAAGGCTGCACCTGAAGGTCAGAATTGCCGTGCCAGGGCCTGTCTGGGGGCACCCTTACTCTCACGAGGCAGTGTGGCCTCTTCTGGGAAGAACAGCAGAGAGTACTGTTGTCCTGGTTAGGAGCTGAGCGTGACTGTTCTCTCTTTTCAGAACAGACCCAGGAGAGCATCCAGCGTTTTGAGCAGCAAGCAGGACTGAGAGATGCTGGCTACACACCCCACAAGGGCCTCACTACTGAGGAGACCAAGTACCTCCGAGTGGCAGAAGCACTCCATGTAAGCAACCAGTGTTGTTCATGGCTTGAAACATGGCTATGGTTTAGAAGTTTACAGCTCAGTTGTTCGGCAACTAAGAGTGACAAGATAATGGGCAAAGGGACCAGGACTGCCCTGCTAAGGTGCACTCCTGCTGAAGGCCTGCACTCCTGCAGATACTTTGTCTGTAAAGTGTTCACATGGATCTTTAGAGAGGTCTCTTCGTACTGAATGGTGTTCTGTGACTTATGCATTCACATCATCTTGACATTGATCCTTGGAGGTAGATACTATATTGTTTTGTAAATAAAGAAGATACTGGAGAGAGAAATCAGTCAGTAAGGTGCTTGCTATGAAGCATGAGGATCAATCCCTAGAAACCATGTATAAAGCTGGATATGATGGATGATCCATGCTGGCTGCCTCAGTGCTAGGGAGATAAAGATAGGTGTATTCCTGGAGTTTGCTGGCCAGCCTACTCTACTCAGCTCCAGATTGCAGTGAGAGATATCTCAAAGAACACAGTGGTGCCAGACAGTGTGCATGGTTTTACTCCCAGCACTTGGAGGCAGATGTAGTCAGGCCTCTGTGAATTCAAGCCTGGTTTACATAGCGAGTTCCAAGACAGCCAGAGCTTACATAGTGGGACCCTGTCTCAAAATAACCCAAACCAACAAGGTAGGTGGCTTTTGAATAGTGACACAAGTTGATCTCCATATGCACTCCTACCCCGTGTGCACACCTTCTCTCCCACAGTTTATATACACACATGCAGGCACTCGTGCACATAAAAATAAGGAAAGAAAGAAAGAAAGCAGGGCAGTAGTCGCGCATGCCTTTAATCCCAGCATTCAGGAGAGAGAGGCAGGCAAGCAGATCTTTGAGTTTGAGGCCAGCCCGATCTACAAAGGGAGTTCCAGATCAGCTTGGGCTATTGGGCTGTTATACAGATAAACCCTATACAAAAAACCAAAACCAAAACAAAACAAAAAACCCAAAGAAACGAAAAAACATATATATATGCTTTTATTTATTTATTTTAAAGAAAAAGCTGGGTGGTGGTGGCATACGCCTTTAATCCCAGAACTCAGGAGGCAGAGGCAGGCAGATCTCTGAGTTTGAGGACAGCCAGGGCTACTCAGAGAAACCTGTCTGGAAGAAAACAAAGCACAAAACAAAACCGAAGTAGCCATGGCAAGTTCCTGTGGGCATAGGAAGAACATAAAAAACACAGTGTTGTGGGGGGGGGGGGGGAATGGGGGAGCTATGTGGTGAGTGGATAGGCTGCATTGTGGAATGAACATTCCGATGAATCTACAGGCTAAGTTTAAAAGCCACTGCTATGAGAAATTAGTCTTGAACTGGTGTCCATCTGAGCTTAGACAGGACTGATGCTTCTTGGGGAGTGTTCAGTTTTTACCATTCATCTTGCCAACTTACACAGATGTGTTGAGAAAGTGAGCTTAGGTCTAGCAGAGGCATAGCCCTCATGGAGGACAGACATACTACTATGGAGCTTCAACTTAGACATAGAGCTCTGACTCTCCCAGCTAGTGTACTGGGCACTATTTTAACAATGGTGTGGAGGTGGTTGGTTACGGGAGAGGAAGGAGAATGAGGTAGGTTTCTTAGCATTTCACTACAGAGGACAGGCAGACAGCAAGTCCGAGTCTTAGCTTTGAAAGTCTGAGCAGTGCGGGGGTTATACTGAAGTACAGGAGCAGAATTGAAGGCCAGACCTAAGGGCATCTCTTCCCTTAAATGACTTGGCTTTTTTGGACACGTAAGTGGTAGTGCACAGCTTGTAGCATGAGTGTAAGGTGCTGTGGAGCACAGTTCCATCGAAACATGAAGTCCATACGGTGTGGGAAAGACAGAATCTCTCCTGCCTGAAGTTAGGATGTGCATCGGAGTGCATACACTGACTGCGTGGCTCTGTGTCTGCTCTCCTCTGAAAGTCTCTTCTCACCGTCTGAACAGAAACTAAAGCTGCAGAGTGGAGAGACAACAAAGGATGAGAAGCAGCCTGCATCGACCCAGTCCACCCCAAGCAGCACCCCTCACTCCTCCCCTAAGCAGAAATCCAGGTGAGTCCTTCCTTTAGGGAAGCCAGTGCTGAGGTGGTAGTGGCCTCCAGCCTGTGGAAGACACTTCTCATGATATAGGAAAAGGACATTCAGAAATACATATTTACTTCTCCGTTCCAGAGGCTGGTTCCCCTCTGGCACTTCCACAGCTTTACCTGGCCCGAATCCTCAAACCATGGATCCTGGGAATGGAAATGACAAGAACTCAGTAGACAAGTGGAGCCTCTTTGGACCATGGCCCCTGCAGAGGTCTGACTCTGGTAAGAGCTCCTTCAGAAAGAGCAGCGAGGCCCTGGCTGGTGTATGGGCTAGGGGCTATAATCATTTGCTTTTCCTTAGCAGGTTTTGCCATCCAGGCTTACAAAGGTGCCCAGAAACCTTCTCCTATGGAGCTAATGCGTGCCCAAGCCACACGAGTAGGTGAAGATCCAGCAACCTTCAAGCCGCCTAAGATGGATATCCCAGTGGTAGAAGGGAAGAAACAACCACCTCGGATCCATAATCTCAAACCCCGTGACCTGAATGTGCTCACACCTACTGGCTTCTAGAATGCTTTCTGTCCAGGGTCTGTGGTTTTCCCTGGGCTCTGACATAGGAGTTACATAGTTAACTGGAGGCCTGAGTGACATTGTGCAGATTGTCCTTGTGTGCAACCATTTTGCACTGCTTTTAGGTTGGTAGAATATGTCAGTGGTGCTGAGTGACCTCACCTTTTTTTAATCACTTATCCTAGGGAAGGACTTTGACCCTTGCTCTCCTAGATAAATAAGTGCTGGTGTGCTGGATTCCTTTTCCTTGATCAACATGGGCAGTTACAAATCATGATAGAGGTGCCCACCAACTCATCTGGACAGCCATGGCTTCCTGACATGCTTTTTTAGCCTTGTGAGTGGGCCTGGACTTGTCTGAGAGACCACACTTGGCAGGGCCACAAGTTCTTTGTCTTGATTAGTCCGGTGTACACTTTGTCCTCCTAGGCCCCCGTAGTTGAAGGCCTGCTTACTTGCTGTGTCACAGAACAAACACTAGTCTCACATGGCCTCTTTTGCACTTTAACAGGAAATTAATTGAACTGAGTCTACTGGTTTCATACTGATGATTTCCCCCTCCACCCCATTGGAGATTGAATCTAGGGTCTTGCTCTACCAAGTTAAGTTTCACCCTAGTTCCTGGATCTTAAGCTTTTCTTAGTTATGTGTGTTTTGTTTTATGAGACAGGGTCTCGCTATGTAGGCTTGGCTAGGCTGGAACTCACTCATTAGACTCAAAGAGAAGATCTACTGCCCCTGCCTCCCTGTGCTTGGATTAAAGGCATTCACCACCACAGCCAGCTAAAACTTTTGTTAGAGATGATAAGTACAATTGGATTATAGTCTTCAGGTTCACCTGAATTTGGTGTCACCTTATTCTGGTAACTTTGAGACCATTTTCCATTAAGTTAGCCTCATCTGTTCGGTAACGCATCTTACTGAGGAGAGGAAGCAAGAAAACTGCTTTTCTCTCTTCTCATTGTCCACAGGTCTGCTGGTCTTGGACACTGTCACAGCTGCTTGCTAGATCATTTTAGATAGTAGTCTGTTTACATAATAACCTTCTCACAGGGAAGCTCTGGAGTCTCAGATTGTTGTAAAAATTAATTTATTTGTGTTATCTTGTATTGACAATAAAAATCTTTACTACTTTCTCAAACCCAGGTCTCTCATGTCCATTCTGCCTGCCCAGTAGTGGAGCCGGAGCTTTGTAAACTTGGTGCCTTTTGATATAACTTTTGACATCAGATGTTTCATTAACAGGCTCTAATTTTGTTTCTTTGCCTGCTTTGTTATATTAGCTTTAATTAACTGGCCACAGAGTAATATTCATAGGCAATATGAAAAGTCTAATTAGAATGTGCTGTATTCAGGAAACACTCTTTCCAGAAACAGGCAGTTAGTACCTTGACTGATGTAACACTGATGAAGATTGTTCAGCAGAAGGGGGTCTTCACATCTTGAATGGAAATGTTGGACATATAGTGCATATTGTATTGCCTATTTCAAAAGCATACATAAATAATTTAATAAAAAATATATACACCTTGTATATTTAAGCCATATTTGAATAGGCTAGGATAAGGATTATAAAAAAAGATACTGAGGAGTTATAAAGTTATTACAGCCTACTGATAGGTTTGGTCCTATGATATTCCTAACTACTGTTTGTACTTCAGAGCTTCTAAGTAGCTGGCCACAATCAGGAGGTATTCTTGGTACTCAGTGCTTAGAAGTCTGGCTGCCTCAGTGCTGTGGGGCAGGCTCTGTGTCGGGGTTTAAGTCCGCAGCATAGAAGAGCAGCAGCTTCAGCAAGTGCACTTTGTCTTGGAGCTGGGGGACTAGAGGTTCTCCCAGCATGTGGATTAGGCGGCTGCGGAAGGCCTCGATCTGCTTCTCCACATCCACCACAGTGATGTCATCTCCTTGCTGGGGCTTGGGCTTGATTCTTTTGATGATCAAGTCTTTCCGATCAATCACTGAACTCCGTAGGTGCTCTGTAAGAGGGAAGGAGTCAAACATCTTTTTGTTCCTTGGGATTCAAAAGTTAAAGCCTAACTTGGTAAGTAAGGCCTGGTGCTTGGCTACTAGGAAACAAAAGGTCATGTGAGTTACCGTGGGAACCCCAGTTCTTAAAGGTTTGTGTTCTTGCCTCAACACTGATGTAAAAAAAAATGTTGCTGGGCAAGGCAGTCATGACTAAATAGACCCTGTCTCAAAAAAGGAAAAAAGAAAAAAGAGCTTCTAAAAGGTATATTATTGTGTGTGTATGCCATGTGTGTGCAGCTGCCCACAGAGGCCAGAGGAGAACATCAGATTGAACTGGTGTTTCAAGACAGCTATGAGCTGCCTGACGGGGTGCTGGGAACTGAACTGCAGTTCTCTGGAAGAGCAGGAAATGGTCTTACCTGTTGAGCAATCTTTTTATTTATTTATTTATTATGTATACAATATTCTGTCTGTGTGTATGTCTGCAGTCCAGAAGAGGGCACCAGACCTCATTCCAGATGGTTGTGAGCCACCATGTGGTTGCCGGGAATTGAACTCAGGACCTTTGGAAGAGCAGGCAATGCTCTTAACCACTGAGCCATCCCTCCAGCCCCTGTTGAGCAATCTTGCCAAGAAACTATATACAATCAAAATCAAAAGTATTTTAGTTTCTTTGATTTAAACAACTCTACTAAAACCTATAATAACCACTTAGGGAGAAATTCATGTGGATTAATTTTTTTTACTACTTAGTGTATGTATGTGGGTGTGCCTTTCACTGAGGGTGCTAAAACATGTACACACTATACAACTGTGTACTGCGGCCCGACAGTGCACCCTTTGACACATCTAGTTGTAAGGACTGGGGTAAAGTGGAAAGTGCTTATCTAGCATGCAGGATTCTTCAGTTTACTCTCTAGCACCACAACCCCAGACCGCTGTAGTTACAAGAGTATGCAACAGAAAAGACCCTGTCTGCCCCCAACCAGGCAGACAAGCAGGCTGAAAGATTTACTACTTTTTCTCATACAAGAATAATCCATCCTGGGCTGGAGAGATGGCTCAGTGGTTAAGAGCATTGCCTGCTCTTCCAAAGGTCCTGAGTTCAATTCCCAGCAACCACATGGTGGCTCACAACCATCTGTAATAGGGTCTGGCGCCCTCTTCTGGCCTTCGGCATACACACAAATAGACTATTGTATAAATAATAAATAAATATTTAAAAAAAAAAAAAAGAATAATCCATCCTAAGTTACGTATCACCAGCATTGTAGAGAAGTGAACCTAGACACCCATGTGTAGCTCACCCTATAATCCAGGTCTTAGGAGGCCACGGCAGGAGGATAGCCATGAGTTAACCAGCCTGGGCTAGAGAAAGAGACTTTAATTTAGTGCTAGTATTTTAAAATGTCCTGCACAGCACTTTTGGTTCCAGGCTGAGCAGGTTTATGAGTTCTCTTTCTACATAACAATCACCAAGTTAAAGTCAACCTCAACATAGGCATGGGCAAGTAAAATTTCCTCATTACTCTGAGAATAATCTAATGACAGGATGATCAATAATGCAGCATGTATTTCCTGATATCGAGAACATTTACTATTGTAACCTGGTGTAATCAACAAAAAGAAGCTATCAACACATACACTCTTCAGATTGCCCAGTCCTGGGACTGAACCGTGGCCTTGCATGTGCTAGGCCAGCGCTTTATTGCTTATCCTCAGCCCTCCAATACCACCTCTTTCTAATTCAGAATCTTGCTGGGGATCAAACGTTATACTTAACATTCATATGCTTTAGCTGCTCTTTAGTTGGGAACAGTACTTTTGATAGGGAAAGGTCATTCGTTAAAAATGGTCTCTGTTCCAGCAAGTCAATTTGACACTTCAATCATTGGGGAGGAGGGACTCTGAATTGAGAAAATGTTTCTGTAAGATTGGTCTGTAGGGCATTTTCTTGAGTGATCAGTGTGAGTGATACCATCCCTGGAGGTGGTCCTGGGTGTTGTAAGAAAGCAAGCTCAAGCTGGGTATAGTGGTGCACACCTTTAATCCAGCACTCGGGAGGCAGAGGCAGGTGGATCTGTAAATCCGAGGCCGGCCTGGTCTACAGAGCAAGTTCAGGACAGCTAGGGATGTTACAAAGAGAAACACGGGCAGGAAGCTGAGGTAGGGGAAGCATGTCAGTAAGCAGCAGCACTCCTCCATGGCCTCTGCTCCAGTTCCTGTTTCCCAGTTCCCCTGGATGCTGGGCTGTGATAGGAGGTGTAAATGAAATGAGCCCTTGCCTCTCCAAGCTGCTATTGGTCATAGAGTTCTATCCCAGCAATAGAAACCTTGATCAGGGCAGCCATCAGTCTGGGTTTGTGGGGTCCTTCCTTGAGATCAGAACAAGGTCACAGGCTGTGGGAAGAACAGCATGAGGCTGTGTTCTCCATCCAATGTGTCCAGGGGAAATGCCCCATTTCTCCTGTGATGTTACTGTTTTCTGTCAGGTGTGGTGGTGTATTCCTGTAAATCTAGCGCCTAGGAGCCTGAGGCAGGAAAACTAAATTCAGTTCAAGCTGGGATACACAGGTTCCAGACCGTGTTGAAATACAAAAACAAAGCCGGGCAATGGTGGTGCATACCTTTAATTCCAGCACTTAGGGAGGCAGAGGCAGGTGGATCTTTGTGAGCTTGGGGACAGCCTGATGTACAGAGCGAGTTCCAGAACAGGCTCCAAAGCTACACAGAGAAACCCTGTCTCAAAACGAAACAAAATACCCCCCCCCCCAAACAAAGTCCGAAAGAAAAAAAAAATCTATGTACTTAGTACTTTGATTTAAACAATTTTAGTGACAAGGTCTCCTATATCACAGGCTGGCCTTAACTTGCTAAGCAGCCAAGGGTGACCTTGAATTTCCGGTTCTGCCTCCATCTGACTGCTAGTTGATGCTGTGCTAGGACTGAACCCAGGATTCCATGAATGCTTGGAAAGCACTCAACCAACTGAGCCATAGTCCCAAACTTCCTAATTATTTATTAACTTGCCAGTTCTTCAGCTTTACCAGGGTTCTCATTAATTAATCCCTGCCTACTAAAATCATTCTCACTTGATGAAGTTATTCGACTATGATCCTTGCTAACATGTGCAGTCTGCATGTTACCCAGTCTAACTTTCCCAGCAACTCTGAATGGCACTGTTTCATAGACTTTAAGATTCCCTCTCTGCAGTACTGGGATCGAACCCAGGGACTCACACATTCAAAGCAAATGCTCTAACCCTGAGCTACAACCCGATCCATTTTAAGGCCACTCACATCTTGTTGCAGACATGCTCTGTATTTGTGCTTTACTGACAGCTGTTTGTAATGTTGCTAGTCTGTGAACAACTGACTCAACAAATGTGCTCTGAGAAGCCAGGGTTCTCATGATATGATGGTTTTTGCTTACCTACACAACTTCCTCACTGGGAGGACCACTGTATTACCACCAGCTGTAAAAAAGTAAGGACGTTTCCTAATCACCACAGTGATCCAGCTGTGCTCTCTATAGTTATAAACAAGGAATAGTGCTTTAAATTTTTATTTTGTTATTATTATTATTATTATTTTGAGACAGGGTTTCCCTGTAGCTTTGGAGCTTGTCCTGGAACTAGCTCTTGTAGACCAGGCTGGCCTTGAACTCACATAAAGGTGTGTGCCGCCGTCGCCTGGCTATTATTGGTTTTTTGAGATAGGGTTTCACTGTGTAGCCCTGGCTGTCTTAGAACAACTCACTCTGTAGACCAGGCTGGCCTCTAGTTCACAGAGATCCATCCGCCTTTGCCTCCTGCGTGCTGAATTAAAGGAGTGTGTCACCACCACCCGGCTTCTTGCTTCTGTTTTTAAAACGTTTTAAAAATTGCTTATTTTTATTATATGTGTGGGTGTTTTTGTTTGCACCTCTGTCTGTTGACCACATATGTGCTGTTCCTAGAGGACAGAAGAGAGCATCGGGTTACCACGTGGGTTCTGGGAATCAAACCTGGGCCCTCTATAGGAGCAACAAGTGCTCGTAATCATTAAGCCATCTTTCCAGCTTATATAATAATAATAATAATAATAATAATAATAATAATAATAATAATTTTTTGGTTTTTCGAGACAGGGTTTCTCTGTAGCTTTGGTGCCTGTCCCAGAACTAGCTCTTTATTATTTTTGAGACACATTTTTACTATGTAGCCTTCAATTCTTCATCCTTCTGCCTCAGCTTCCTGGGTGCTGGAATTAGAGGCCAGCGTAACCACACCGGCCTAGAACAATGCATTACTTAGGTGAACAAGTGAGAATTATCTGACAAGCTGTCCTTTTTGATAATGTCCACTGTGAGACTTCTCACAGGGCCTGCTTGTGAGAAAGTGCCCCTTACCTCTCAGCACATGCTGATAACTGGACAACAGGAACTGCAGATGCTCAACCAGCTCATCCCATGTCTGCCACTGGGTTTTATCTGACTGCAGAGATAGTAAAAGCAGCAGGTAATGAATGCTTGCCCAGTTAGAGGTCCCAGTTACAGCATAGTTTCCAAAGCTCTTCCATGATGGCCAAACAGCAGGAAGGAAAGATGCTCTGGGCGAGGAGCTGAAGCAGAAAGGCAAGTACCTGACACTTGAGCAGCGATGTTGAGTTGTTCAGAAAGTAGAGGGCCTGGGCCAGAGACAAGGGGAGGCGGGTGGGCGTCTCACAGCTGTGGAGAAAGATGATCTCTAACACCTTGCAGCGCAGAAGGTGGCTTTCCATAGTAGTGAAGAACATCTCCCTGTATGGAGAAGAGGGAGTTAGGCAGAAGTACACTCAAAGACTCTACGGTTTGCCCTGGATGCTCCGACATGTAATGGAGGTCTACAAAAACACAGGCTGCAGACAGAAATGGATTTGTTGATGAAGTAATAACTTACAGGACGAGGGAACAGCCTGACATCTGAAAAAGACAGAGGCAGGTATCCTGGTGCACATCCAGGGAGGAGGCAGGAGGATCATGAGCTTGAGGCCTGTGCTTCAGAATGCTGTCTGCCACTGAGACGGACCCCAGACTTTAAGTTTCTGAGTTTTTCATCAGAGATGATATATTCAAGAGAAACAGAATATCTTTAGCTTTTTTTTTTTTTTTTGTTTTTTGTTTTTTGTTTTTCCGAGACAGGGTTTCTCTGTAGCTTTGGAGCCTGTCCGAGCACTAGCTCTTGTAGACCAGGCTGGCCTCGAACTCACAGAGATCCACCTGCCTCTGTCTCCCGAGTGCTGGGATTAAAGGCGTGCGCCACCACTGCCCGGCGAAACAGAATATCTTTAAAAGACATAAAGTACTTAGTAATTAGGAACTGTATTAAAAAATGGTGAAATAAAACAAAATCAAGATAAATAAAACAATGTAGCAAGCCTGGCATGGTTGTGCGCACCTTTAAACCTAGCACTTGAGTCAGAGTCAGGAGGATTTCTGTGAGTTCGAGGCCAGCCTGGTCTACAAAGTTAGTTACAGGACAGCCAGGGCTGTTACACACAGAAACCCTGTCTTAAGCCCTCATCCCACTCCCTAAAAATCAACAACAATGTAGGTAGGTTGATTCTCTTGCCTCAGGCTTGAGTGCTGAGATCACAGGCTTCAAACAACCAGGTCCAACTCTCATTTACTAGAAGTTTCCTTATATATTTAGCTACATAATGTTCCATCATGTTCAGGTATCATAATAAGTATTCATATCCCTTGTATGGATGTTTGGGTTGTTTCCAATATTTTACAATTGTAAACATCATTGTAGTGAATATCCTCATGCACATGTTTCATTATTATCCCAGCACTCAGGAGGCAAAGGCCAGCAGATCTCTGAGTTCGAGGAGAGCCTGATCTCTAGGAATACACAGAGAAACCAAAACCAAACTAAACCAAACCAAACAAACAAACAAACAAGCAAAAAAGGTAAACTCTGGCATGCACACGTGGTTCTGTCAGACACTGCCAAATACTCCTACATTTCTAAGGTTTGCATCATTTTTGCATTCTCATCAGGAATTAATAAACACCTGTTTTCTTGAAACCTTCTTTTTTGAGACGGGGTTTCTCTGTGTAACAGTCCTAGCTGTTCTGGAAGTCTCTTTGTAGACCAGGCAGGCCTCGAACTCAAGAGATCCGCCTGCCTCTGCCTCTAAAATGCTGGGATTAAAGGTGTGTGCCACCACCGCCTGGCTTTTCAAAACCTCTTTAATAGAGAATATTATTGATCCTATTTCTTTTCTCTATTTGGATATGAAATGGTATCTCATTTTACTTTCTAAAAACGACGACGTTGAACATCATAGGCGAAGACAATTACTGACTGTTATGTGCTACCAACAAGCCACTGGAAAATGACAGGTCAGGCATTTGTCAGGACTCACGAATACCACCTATGTAAAGCTGCATAGTTATAAAAATAACTGCAAATTATACCAGAATTAATAATGAATAAAAGTAAAAGGTACTTAATGTATCTGCTAGTATAATTTGGGTGGGTGGCTAATTTACCCCTTCTGAGAAAATTAGTGTTAGTGGTGATTCAATCAAATCAATATGGTAGGGACATTCAGATTCTCTTGATAGCGTTTACTTCTTCCCAAGGAATTATGCTTTGACTGCACTTCGATTGTTTGGGAACCTACTCCTTTCTTCTCAAAGACATAGATAGTCCCCTACTCCTTTCTTCTCAAAGACATAGATAGTCCCCTACTCCTTTCTTCTCAAAGACACAGATAGTCCCCTACTCCTTTCTTCTCAAAGACACAGATAGTCCCCCTACTCCTTTCTTCTCAAAGACACAGATAGTCCCCCTACTCCTTTCTTCTCAAAGACACAGATAGTCCCCCTACTCCTTTCTTCTCAAAGACACAGATAGTCCCCCTACTCCTTTCTTCTCAAAGACATAGATAGTCCCCCTACTCCTTTCTTCTCAAAGACACAGATAGTCCCCCTACTCCTTTCTTCTCAAAGACACAGATAGTCCCCCTACTCCTTTCTTCTCAAAGACATAGATAGTCCCCCTACTCCTTTCTTCTCAAAGACACAGATAGTCCCCTACTCCTTTCTTCTCAAAGACATAGATAGTCCCCTACTCCTTTCTTCTCAAAGACATAGATAGTCCCCTACTCCTTTCTTCTCAAAGACACAGATAGTCCCCTACTCCTTTCTTCTCAAAGACATAGATAGTCCCCCTACTCCTTTCTTCTCAAAGACATAGATAGTCCCCCTACTCCTTTCTTCTCAAAGACACAGATAGTCCCCTACTCCTTTCTTCTCAAAGACACAGATAGTCCCCTACTCCTTTCTTCTCAAAGACACAGATAGTCCCCCTACTCCTTTCTTCTCAAAGACACAGATAGTCCCCTACTCCTTTCTTCTCAAAGACACAGATAGTCCCCCTACTCCTTTCTTCTCAAAGACACAGATAGTCCCCTACTCCTTTCTTCTCAAAGACACAGATAGTCCCCTACTCCTTTCTTCTCAAAGACACAGATAGTCCCCCTACTCCTTTCTTCTCAAAGACACAGATAGTCCCCTACTCCTTTCTTCTCAAAGACACAGATAGTCCCCCTACTCCTTTCTTCTCAAAGACACAGATAGTCCCCTACTCCTTTCTTCTCAAAGACACAGATAGTCCCCTACTCCTTTCTTCTCAAAGACACAGATAGTCCCCCTACTCCTTTCTTCTCAAAGACACAGATAGTCCCCTACTCCTTTCTTCTCAAAGACACAGATAGTCCCCCTACTCCTTTCTTCTCAAAGACACAGATAGTCCCCTACTCCTTTCTTCTCAAAGACACAGATAGTCCCCTACTCCTTTCTTCTCAAAGACACAGATAGTCCCCTACTCCTTTCTTCTCAAAGACACAGATAGATAGTCCCCTACTCCTTTCTTCTCAAAGACACAGATAGTCCCCCTACTCCTTTCTTCTCAAAGACATAGATAGTCCCCTACTCCTTTCTTCTCAAAGACATAGATAGTCCCCCTACTCCTTTCTTCTCAAAGACACAGATAGTCCCCTACTCCTTTCTTCTCAAAGACACAGATAGTCCCCCTACTCCTTTCTTCTCAAAGACACAGATAGTCCCCTACTCCTTTCTTCTCAAAGACACAGATAGTCCCCTACTCCTTTCTTCTCAAAGACACAGATAGTCCCCCTACTCCTTTCTTCTCAAAGACACAGATAGTCCCCTACTCCTTTCTTCTCAAAGACACAGATAGTCCCCCTACTCCTTTCTTCTCAAAGACACAGATAGTCCCCTACTCCTTTCTTCTCAAAGACACAGATAGTCCCCTACTCCTTTCTTCTCAAAGACACAGATAGTCCCCTACTCCTTTCTTCTCAAAGACACAGATAGATAGTCCCCTACTCCTTTCTTCTCAAAGACACAGATAGTCCCCCTACTCCTTTCTTCTCAAAGACATAGATAGTCCCCTACTCCTTTCTTCTCAAAGACATAGATAGTCCCCCTACTCCTTTCTTCTCAAAGACACAGATAGTCCCCCTACTCCTTTCTTCTCAAAGACATAGATAGTCCCCTACTCCTTTCTTCTCAAAGACATAGATAGTCCCCCTACTCCTTTCTTCTCAAAGACACAGATAGTCCCCCTACTCCTTTCTTCTCAAAGACATAGATAGTCCCCCTACTCCTTTCTTCTCAAAGACACAGATAGTCCCCTACTCCTTTCTTCTCAAAGACATAGATAGTCCCCCTACTCCTTTCTTCTCAAAGACATAGATAGTCCCCCTACTCCTTTCTTCTCAAAGACACAGATAGTCCCCTACTCCTTTCTTCTCAAAGACACAGATAGTCCCCCTACTCCTTTCTTCTCAAAGACATAGATAGTCCCCCTACTCCTTTCTTCTCAAAGACATAGATAGTCCCCCTACTCCTTTCTTCTCAAAGACACAGATAGTCCCCCTACTCCTTTCTTCTCAAAGACACAGATAGTCCCCCTACTCCTTTCTTCTCAAAGACACAGATAGTCCCCCTACTCCTTTCTTCTCAAAGACACAGATAGTCCCCCTACTCCTTTCTTCTCAAAGACACAGATAGTCCCCCTACTCCTTTCTTCTCAAAGACACAGATAGTCCCCCTACTCCTTTCTTCTCAAAGACACAGATAGTCCCCCTACTCCTTTCTTCTCAAAGACACAGATAGTCCCCCTACTCCTTTCTTCTCAAAGACATAGATAGTCCCCCTACTCCTTTCTTCTCAAAGACATAGATAGTCCCCCTACTCCTTTCTTCTCAAAGACATAGATAGTCCCCCTACTCCTTTCTTCTCAAAGACATAGATAGTCCCCCTACTCCTTTCTTCTCAAAGACATAGATAGTCCCCCTACTCCTTTCTTCTCAAAGACATAGATAGTCCCCCTACTCCTTTCTTCTCAAAGACACAGATAGTCCCCTACTCCTTTCTTCTCAAAGACACAGATAGTCCCCTACTCCTTTCATCTCAAAGACACAGATAGTCCTCCTACTCCTTTCTTCTCAAAGACATAGATAGTCCCCCTACTCCTTTCATCTCAAAGACACAGATAGTCCCCCTACTCCTTTCTTCTCAAAGACACAGATAGTCCCCCTACTCCTTTCTTCTCAAAGACACAGATAGTCCCCCTACTCCTTTCATCTCAAAGACACAGATAGTCCCCTTACTCCTTTCTTCTCAAAGACATAGATAGTCCTCCTACTCCTTTCTTCTCAAAGACATAGATAGTCCCCCTACTCCTTTCTTCTCAAAGACATAGATAGTCCCCCTACTCCTTTCTTCTCAAAGACATAGATAGTCCCCCTACTCCTTTCTTCTCAAAGACATAGATAGTCCCCCTACTCCTTTCTTCTCAAAGACACAGATAGTCCCCCTACTCCTTTCTTCTCAAAGACACAGATAGTCCCCCTACTCCTTTCTTCTCAAAGACATAGATAGTCCCCCTACTCCTTTCATCTCAAAGACACAGATAGTCCCCCTACTCCTTTCTTCTCAAAGACATAGATAGTCCCCTAATCCTTTCTTCTCAAAGACATAGATAGTCCCCTACTCCTTTCTTCCTTTTTCAATTAGTTTGTGATTTTTCTCTCTGTAAATTCTGTTTCTGGCAGGCAGAAATAAAAAAGCTAGTAAAAAGTTACCTTTTAGTTCTCTTTTTAATGGAGAAATCAACCAAAACCAAAACAAACTGATTAAACCAGACCCACCTTTGACTCCTCTCAGGGATGTCCAGCACAAACCCAAACATCATCTCAGCTATTTTATTGGAGCTGCAGGTAGGAGTCCTGTCCACCTCTACAGCAATGGACAACATCCTCTGAAGCTGACACACAATCCTGGATCCAGAGCACAGGATAGAAACAAGTGAGCGGAAAGACTTGGTGACAGGCTTTCTGAAACTGGAGGTCCCCACCAACGTATACCAAGACCAGATGGCTGGGTGTGGAGGTGCAATCAGAAAGCAGAAGTGGGCAGGCCTCTATGAGTTCAAAGCCAGCCTGGTCTACATAGTGAATTTCAGGCCAGTCAGAGTTACATGGTGAGATTCTGTGGCAAACAAAACAAAACAAACAAGCAAACAGCAACAACACAACAAAAGAACAGAGACTATTTAGAGGGTCAGCTAAAACCCCCAGGCCAAGGAGAGTAATAAATTATTAGCTTGCTCTCATTGAGCAATTCATCTACCTGAATCCTTTTGCCAGATCATATGTGAACCTTTCAGAATTTGAGGGTGAACTACATAAGCAAAATGCTTTCAAATTAAAACCAGAATCACACAATCCCAAGGGTCTAGAGAACTTTAAAGACACTAACTTCCTGGTTTTGTAAATGAAGAAACAGGTCCAAAATGACTAACTTTATTTTAATCTCTTTGTTATAGGAGAAGACAGGCATCTGCCATTTTTTTAAGATTTATTTATTTATTATGTATACAGTATTCTCAGTATTCTGTCTGCATGTACACCTGCATGCCAGAAGAGGGCACCAGATGGTTGTGAGTCACCACACAGTTGCTGGGAATTGAACTCAGGATCTTTGGAAGAGCAGGCAGTGCTCTTAACCACTGAGCCATCTCTCCAGTCCCTGCCATTTAATTTTTTAAAAATGTAAACTACTTAATTACTTTTATGTTTGAATATTTTTCGGGTAATTATGACTATGCACTACGTGCATGTCTGGTGTCCTCAAAGGTCAAGAGGGCTCTAGATCCCGTGCAACTAAAGTTACAAATGGTTGTGAGCCACCATGTAGGTGCTGGGAATTGAACCTGGGTCCTCAGGAAGAACAGCCAGTGCTCTTAACTGCTGAGTCACTTCATTTCTGTAGCCCTACCATGTAATTTTTCTATTCTTAGTTTTTTTCTTTCTTTCTTTCTTCTTTTTTTTTTTTTTTTTTTTTTTTTGGTTTTTCGAGATAGGGTTTCTCTGTAGCTTTGGTGCCTGTCCTGGAAATAGCTCTTGTAGACCAGGCAGGCCTCGAACTCACAGAGATCCACCTGCCTCTGCCTCCCGAGTGCTGGGATTAAAGGCGTGTGCCACCACCGCCCGGCTATTCCTAGTTTCTTTACAGCACAGCAGTTCTTACTAAAACAAGTTTCAGAATGTTCACGGATGGACCTCTCTCCCATCAGACACAAATATGAGAGAGAGGCAGAGACAGCTGGAAAGCTGGGCAACACTACAGAAGGGAAAGTCAGGTTCGACAGCAGCCATTTAAACACATCTTATTTGATGGAAAGGCATTATTTTCAGAAACAACCGCAGCCAGGGACAAACAATGGACAGGGTGGGCAGGTTCCGGCTCTGCAATGATGCATTTGTAAGTCACTGTGTTGTCTGTGTCCACAGCTAACCAACATGAGGACCATTTGTTAGAGTTTGGAGAAAACAACAGGGCATCTGGCCAGGGGGTATGAGATGGGTCAGAGTTAGAACTCAAAGGGCAGGAAGGCTAATCGAGGTAAGCCTTTGAGCAGCGACATTGGATGGGGGTGTCCCCAAAGGGGGCAGCTGCCCAGAATATCGGACAAAGTAGGCTCAGGACTTCAGTTAGGGAGCTGGAAAGAGGGGAAGTGACACTCTGAAAGGGAACTAACTGGAAGGTTAGCAGTGAGGGCCTGTAAGGAGGAGTCCTCCTTGTCTGCTGGTAGAATCCAGGTCCTAGAGCACACGACATAGGGATTCTACCATAATTATATTCCAAGTCTAGACTAAGTCTTTAATGAGAATCAGGCTGTTACAAGAGCTGGTAATCTGGGGCAAGCTGATCTTTGAGACTGGTCCTATTCTTTAAATATCAAATCCTTGCAGCCCTGGAAGACAACTTTGTGCTTGCTCCTTACAGCTGGTTGGTGTTCCTGGTCAGGTTAGGCTGGGGAGACAGATGGCCACTGCTAGCTTTCAAGACTCCTGTTCCTGAAGAGGTCTGAGTTCCACCTGGGGGTTGTGTTAATTCATTTTCAGTCACCGTTTTGACCAGCCACTTGATGACATCTCTGGAATACAGAAAAGTAAGAAAGGAAAGGTTTGCACTGCTGTTTTACCTATAGTGTCCAGACCTGCATACTTACGCTGGGCTCCCAAACCAGGAGACTCCTCCAAACAGAGTCAAGGACCTCTAGGTTATTTTTTAAATTTTTTATTCTTTGTTTTTCGATCCAGGGTTTCTCTGTGTAGCTCTGGCTGTCCTCAAATTCACAAATATCCACCTGCCCCTGCATCCAGAATGCTGGGATTAACGGCGTGCACCACCATTGCCTGGTTATTTTCAATATTTAAATAAGTCTAATGAAAATCACACATTTAGCTGCAGTCTGGTTATAAAAGCAAGCTGAAATATAAACATTTTTCTTTTTTCTTTTGTGGTACTGGAGACTGAGCCTAGGGCCTTGTGCATGCATGCATGTTAGCCAAGTATTCTATCCCTAGGCTGTCCCTCTAGCCCTCAACATGTTTCCAGAAGCTATGTATTAGTTACATTTCACCATAGTGTGGCAAATCCCTGACAGAAATACCTTAAGGGAGGAAGGATTTAGTTCAGCTCACAGTTTTAGAGGGTTCTGTCAATGGCACTTGGACTTGTGCTGTCATGGAGAACACCCTGGGAGGGAAGCATGGAGCAGAGGCTGTTCTTCACTTCTTAGTGGATAAAAATCAGAGAAAAGAGGCTGTAGGAAGTGGCCAGTATGAGCTGTAATGCCCAGGACAGCTGCACCCTGTGACCTACTTCCTCCAAGTAGGCCAACACCTCTAAATACTATCAGTGTATTGTGAATTCATAAAGGAACTGACACATTCATTAGGGCAGAACCCCAAGATCTAACCATCTCTGGAAATATCATCACACACCACTGAGGTGTGCTTTACTAATCCAGTCAACTGGACAGACAAAAGTGGCTACGTAAGTTATAATTACAGAAAAGCTCTTCTGGGGCAAAGATGACTTTCTGAGCAACAATACTACCTAACTAGGTAGAAATCAGGACTAGATGGCCATGTAGGTTTTCACCAGCTCTCCACTATCATGTACCATCTATGAAGGTAAGAACTAGGGCTGGAGGATGTGCAGTGCAGACACTATATAGGGCTTAGACTCTATCAGTAAGGCAAAAACATTGTTAAGATGTATTTTGTTGTTTTTCGAGACAGGGTTTCTCTGTATAGCCCCAGCTGTTCTGAAACACTCTTTGTAGACCAGGCTGTACCTGAACTCATGGAGATCTGCCTGCCTCTACCTTCCACTTGCTTAAAGGCGTGCACCACCACCAACTAGTCCTAAAATTTATTTTGATGATTACTGACTATTTAAATAACCTATATAAAAAAGTTGTATTGAGCTGGGTGGTGGTAGGACACACCTTTAATCCTGGCACTTGGGACGCAGAGGCAGAAGGATCTCTTTGAGTTCAAAGCCAGCCTGATCTACAGAGTAAGTTCCAGGACAGCCAAGACTACACTGAGAAACTCTGTCTTGAAAACTCAAAAAACAAAACAAAAAAATTTATTGAATACACACACTTAATTGTTTCCCTCCTAAAACCACAGTAATACTAGAGAAAATAAAATTGTAAATACTGATTTGGGTGGGACACAAACCTTTAATCCCAGCCCTTGGGAGACAGAGGCAGGATGATCTTATGAGTTTGAAGGCAGCCTGGGCTACACAGTGAGTTTCAGGCAGCCAGGGCTACATAGAGACCATGTTTCCAAAACAATTCCACTCCTCTGCCAAAGGCAACTAACTTGAGGAAAACAGATGTTATGCACAAAATCAGAGAAAATTATCAAATCAGATGTTTGGGCTCTAGCCCCTTTCTTTTGTTTTTGTTTTTCTATAAATTATTACTGATGAAATTTAGACAGCTCTTTATTTTTTACCTTATGTGTATGTTTATTTTACCTATATGTATGTCTGTATATCATGTATATGCCTGGTGCCCATGGAAACTAGAAGGTGGTGTCCTATCTTCTAGAACTGGAGTTACTTATGGTTTGGAATTGCCATGTGGATATTGGGAACCGAACCTAGGTCCTCTAGAAGACTAGCCAATGCTCTTAACCATTGAGTCACATCTCCAGTACTGCTTCTGATTTCTAAAGATTTATTTATTTATGGTTATAAGTGCTCTATTTGCATGTATGCCTGCATGATAGAAGAAAGCATCAGATCCTACTACTGTCAGCCACAATTCCCACAACCTAGGAATTGAACCCAGATCCTCTAGAAGAGCAGCCAGTGTTTTTAACCACTGAGCCATCTCTCCAGCCCTGCTTCTGATTTCTAGACACTTCTGACAGCTAGAAGACAATTTCTTCAAAGTTCTGCACAAAATTTATTTCTAAATATCTAAAATAATTAGCCTACTTATTAGTCAATACATGAGAAAAAAGAAGAGATTTTTCAGACATGTGAGATCTCAGAATTTTACTTTACAAATAATCTTCAGAACAAGGGAGTAATCCCCGCTACTTAGCCACATAGTTCAGTTCTTTTGATTTCCACAGTTTTTGGTATTTATCCCTTTTCCAATATTTAGCAATGAGGACAATCTCATTCTCTTGTATTCTCTGGGTTCATCGTCAATGACTGAAAACACCCAGCAGATCAGTGTGTCAGGAGAGCACTTTTCTAGTGGTCCGATCTATTGATGAATCCAGATCTAAGTGGACTGTTGAGAGATGGCAAAACTGGAAGGGGAGGCCCTAGCTGGAAAAGTGATCACTGGGGTCTGCATGCTGCGCTGGCCCCTTCCTTTACTCCTTTGCTTCCTGGCTGCCACGAGCTGAATAGCTCTGCTCCTGCCATGACAGACTGAAAACCTCCAAAACTGTGAACTTAAATAAGTCTTCTTTCCTTGAACTGTCTTTTCCACACAGTTGTAAGCGATGAACTGACGAGCACACTGGCCTTTACTCGTTACACACCTACAGTCCCGACTCTCGGCATACTAGAGCTCTAACAGCTGATTATTACCTGACGTTGTGAGGCTGTTTGTCACATGAAAGAACGGTGTTTGCGATGGATTGCTGTAGGTGCTGCCGCTGCTTCCTCAAGGTCTGCTGGAAGTCATCTTCCAGGGTCTGCACTACGTAACGCAGAAAGAGGACTCGTCCAGGCAGAGTTTGGCCCTGAGGAAGAGCAAATAAGCAGTCATGCTTGTTTCTCAGTCCCTTGAATAACAGGAAACCATGGGCTGTCATAACCAAAAGTCCAATGAAAGGCCATGAGCCAGTAGGTTTGCCTGTATCAAAGAGAGATTGGTGGGAGACAGCAGGTATTCTGAGTCTATAGAATCCACCATAGATTCTACCATACTCTACCAACTGTTTTCCAAAGTGGCCGTACCATCTGTGTTCTCACAGTAATGACAGACTCACTTATTCTTCACCTTCTTGCCTAAAAATGTGTGCAAAAGAGATACTATATTAAATTCTATCTTAGCCCCTTTAAATTAGTGTTACAGTTTGAATGTGTGTCCTCTACAGGCTTATGTTCCAAAGAGGACAGCTCAGCTGGTGCTAAGTCACTGAGAGTATGCCTTTAAAGGATACGTCTTGATCCAGCCCCCTTTCTCCCTGCTTTGTGAATGCTGTAACTGATGACTTATCTCCACTGCCACAACTTTCTACTGGACTGTCTGACTCACTAGTTTGGAACAGAGCCAGCCAGCCATGGTTGGAATCTCTGAAACCAAGAGCCCAAATAAATCTGTCCTTTAAAATTCTTTCAAGTAGTGGTCACTGTGAGGAAAATTCTGATACAAGGATCAGCTTACCCATAGTCATGCACAAGGATACAAAAGTTGGTCATTCTGCAAAACTGAGAACCAGGGGGGGATACACTCTTCAGAGGAATGTCCTAGAATGTCTCTAGTATCCAACTTCCTCCAATCAGTACCAATTTCCTCTAATGTCATCAACCATGAACCCGCCAATGGAGTAAAAGCCCTCATTCAGTCACCCCCCCCCCTTTTTTTTCCCTTCTGAGACAGGGTCTCTGCGTAATCCTGGCTGTCATGGAACTCACTCTGTACACCAGGCTAGCCTTGAACTCAGAGATCCACCTGCCTTTGCTACTATCCCCTGACAAGTACTGGCACTAAAGGTGTGCACCACCTCTGCCCTCTATTCAGTCACCTTTTTAAGGGTTAAATCTACAAGCTGGGAACAAAGCCTTTAACACATGAGTATTTATAGGACCACTGGAGGTGGTATATATATTTTATCATTTTTGATCATACAGTTGTTTAATCTCTAATGATCCCCCCCTCCCTCCCTCCTTCTCTCTGGCTTTCTCTGTATAACTGTGTAACAGCCCTGGCTGTCCTAGAACTCCCTTTGTAGAGCAGAATGGCCTTAAACTCTTCCACCTGAGTGCTAGAATTAAAGGTGTGTGCCACCACTCCCAGCTCCTTTATCTTAAAGTTTTCAAATGTTCTGTTAATTCACTAGTGTGGGATTTTTCCAGCTTTTTTATGTAAGCATTTAGTGCTATAAACTTGCCTCTTAACACTGCTTTCATTGTGTCCCATAAATTTGGGCATGCTGTGTGGTCATTTTCATTGAATTTTAGGAAGTCTTTAATTTCCCCCTTTATTTCTTCCTTGACCCATTGATGATTCAGGTGAGCATTGTTTAATTTCCATTTGTTTGTGGGTTTTCTGGAATTAGTATTGCTGTTGACTTCTAGTTTTAAAGCATGGTGATCTAATAAGGTACATTGGATTATTCCAATTTTTTTATATTTGTTGAGGTTTGTTTTGTTACCGAGTATGTGGTCAATTTTTGAGAAGGTTCCATGAGGTGCTGAGAAGAAGGTATATTCTTTTCTGTTTGGATGGACTATTCTATAAATGTCTGTTAAGTCCATTTGAGTCATAACATCTGTTAGTTCTCTTATTTCTCTGTTCATTTTTTGTCTGATTGACCTGTTCAGTGGTGAGAGGAGAGTGTTGAAGTCTCCCACTATTAGTGTGTGGGGTTTAATATTTGATTTAAGCTTTAGAAGTGTTTCTTTGACATATGAGGGTGCCCTTGTATTTGGGGCATAGATGTTCAGTATTGAAATTTCCTCTTGATGGATTTTTCCTGTGACTAATATGAAAATGTCCTTCTTTTGTCTCTTTTGACTGATTTTAGCTTGAAGTCTATTTTGTTAGATGTTAGGATAGATACACCCACTTGTTTCTTAGGTCCATTTGATTGGTAGATTTCTTCCCAACCTTTTACTCTGAGGCGATGTCTGTCTTTAAGGTTTGAGATGCATTTCTTGTTTGCAGACGAGGGATGGATTCTGTTTTCGTATCCAATCTGTTAGCCTGTGCCTTTTTATGGGTGAGTTGAGTCCATTTACATTAAGGGATATTAATGACCAGTGATTGCTATCTCCTGTTAATTTAGTTTTCATCGTTGGTGATGTTAATTTGTGCATTTTTTTCTTCTTCAGGATCTTACCTTTTTTACTCATCTTTTCCTCTAATAGGTGTGGTTGGGGCTGTCTGAGATTCTGTTGAATAATTTTCTAGGTGCCAGTGAATCCAAAGGTCAGATGGTTGTTCCTCAGGGTACAGTCAGTGTCACAGTTCTAGTTACCCTATTGGTTATTCTTGTTCCTGGAGGTAGCTCAGTGCTCCTGTGCTTTGGTCTGCTCCCTTGGAGTTTGCTGTCTGAGGCCTACTTTGGCCTAGGCTGCTGGCTTTGATCTGTTTCTGTAAATCTTGATCTGGATCTCCTCCTGCAGAAGTCCCTGGCTTGGAGTTGGACTTGTTCTGGTAGAGATCGCTGACTCTAGATCTGGTCGCTGGGTCAATCCTGATCTGCCTGTGTCCTGGGACTGGGTTTGCTCCTGGCTTCTGCTCCTGGTGGAGCTTGTTCTGTGTCTCAGGTAACTGGTTCAGTCCCACTCCAGTTCTGCTGGAGGTCGCAGACTCTGAGTCAGGTCGTTGGTTCAATCTTGGTCTGCCAGTGTCCCAGGACTGGGTTGGCTTCCAGGGCTGGATTTGCTCCTGGCTTCTGCTTTCCCAGCTCCTTTAATGATCTCCTATGTTTATTTCCTTTTCCATCTCTTATTTATTTAAATATTTTGTTCTTTCCCTTAACTCTAGCTAACAGCTTTATTTATTTTTAGTTTTTGGAGAATGAACTCTTGGGTTGTGATCTTTTTTGAGAGTTACATATTTGAAGAAAGTAGCTTTTCTACTATGTACAGATTGGATTTATTTAAGGTAAGACATTTAGCAATTAGCATGGCTTGAAATTCTGGACCTGTCCCCTTTCCAGTAATACCCGCTTTAGGCATGTACATGTACTGCCCCTATTCTGTTTTCTTTTGTATATGTGGGTGCACGCACTTGCAGGGAGGGCAGAGGAAGACATCAGGTGCCTTGCTCTATCACTTTGTCTTATCCCCATGGTCTCTCTCTCACTAACTTAGAAGCAGGCTGATGGCATACAAGCTCAAGAAAATCCTCTTGTTTCTGCCCCCACAGTGCCAGGGGTTACAGATATGTATAGCCACACCCATCTTTTTACATGGATGCAGGGGATTTGAACTCAGGTACTCACGCTTGCACAGAAGATGCTGAGCTATCTTCCCAGCCTCCTGCATGATAGTTAAGCTTTTTGGGCTGGGTGGTGGTGGCACATGCCTTTGATCTAAGCATTTAAGAGGTAAAAGCAGACACATTTCTGAGTTTGAGGTCAGTCTGGTCTATGGAACGAATTCCAGGACAGCCAATGGAATACAGAGAAACCTTGTCTCAACCAAACCAAACCAAACCAAACCAAACCAAACCAAACCAAAACTTATTGTTTAAATATTAATTATATTTACATGAGTGTATATGCATGTGCACATGTTCATGTAATATACACATGTGTGGAAGGCAGAGGACAACTTATGAAAGTCAGTTCTCTCCTTCTGCCATGTGAGTCCAGCAGATTAAACCCAGGCTGGTAGGCTTGACACCTAGTTTCTTTACCTGGTGAGCCATCATGCTGGTCCTCATATATCATACTTTTATTTCTTTTAAAGATTTATTTATTATATATACAGTGTTCTGCCTGAATGTATGCCTGCAGACCAGGAGGACACAAGATCTCATTACAGATGGTTGTGAGTCACTGTGTGGTTGCTGGGAATTGAATTCTGGATCTTTGGAAAAGTAGCCACATGAGTCAACTCTCCAGTCCCTATACCATGCTTTTAAATGTATATTTAGCATGCCATGATCTGCATGTGGCAGTTAAAGGTCAGAGGATAACTTAAGAATCCCATCTCTCCTTCCATTTTGTTGAAACAGGTTCTCTCTTTCTTGCTTTTCAAGACAGGGTTTGTGTTCCTGGCTGTCCTGGAACTCTCTTTGTAGACTATGCTGGCCTTGAACTCACAGGAATCCACCTGCCTCTACCTCCTGAGAGCTGGGATTAAAGGTGTGCGCCACCACGCCCAGCCTGTAACTAGTTTGTCTGCTTTACTGTTTATTCCAGCACACCTACCTAACCTGCCATCTCTTGGGGGATGCTGTCTCCAACTCACTACGCTCACTATAAGAGTGCTGGGATTACATATTTGTAAACCATAGTGAGTTTTCTAACATAGGCTCTGGGGATCAAACCCAGGATGTCACAATTTTACCTACTGAACTATCTTGCTAGCCTTCATGTACTTTTGTTTTCTTTCTAGACAGGGTTTCTCTGTGTAACAGTCCTGGCTGTCCTAGAACTTGCTCTGTAGACCAGGCAGGCCTTGAACTCGCAGAGATCTGCCTGCCTCTACCTCCTGAGTGCTGGGATTAAAGATGTGCACCACCACTGCCTGGCTATGTACTGTACTTTTAACTGTCTTATTTTCCCAAGTGGCTTGATTCTCAGACCTCTCTTGCTTCCCCTGGTGTCTGTCTATTGAACTGTAGACACTATTGGTAGTTTCAACCGGACATTATGGCCTGTTTTCAAACCATTCTATTGTTTTTGCCCATGTTCTGATGCAGGCAGGTCAAAAGTTAATCTCTTGAGCAGCTCCCCGACAAACTGACACACTTGGGGTATGGCAAGTCTGTCTCTAAGAAGGAGCTGGGGAATAAGTGGTTTCTTTCTGGACATAGCTTGTTACATTAAGAAAGGGGTGGGCTGGAGAGATGTCTCGCAGTTAAGAGCACTGACTATTCTTCCAGAGGACCCTGATTCAATTCCCAGCACCCACATGGCAGCTCACAACTGTCTGTAACTCCAGTTTCAGGGAACCCGACACCTCACACGGACATACACACCAATGCACATAAAATAAAAATAAATAAAAAAAAGAAAGGGGTAAATACCTGAGCATGGTCAACAGTACAAAGTCGCTCCCTCTACTGATGGAGCACCCTCATGCTCCATGGTCAGGAGTCAGACTGCTCTGCAGCTACTCTGGAGTTCTCACAAGTCTTGTGATCTATTTGTCGTCTGGTAGTTTGAGTAAGATGTCTCCCATAATTCTCAGGCATTGGAATATTTGGTCCCCCATTGGTGGTTGTTTGGGAAGGATTAGGAAGCGTGGCCTTGAAAGAGGTGTGTCACTGGGGTGGACTCTGGTTTCAAAAGTCTCCTACTGTTCCTATCCTGCTTTTAGATCAAGATGTGAGCTATCAGATGTTCCTGCTGTCATGACTTTGCTCGGTCATCCTGGACTCTAACCCCCTAGAACCATAAGTCACTTCTACTTTACAAGAGTTTTGATGTAGTCATGTCTTAAGCTTTGTTGTACATATGTGACTGAGTTCATTATCACCAGGAAAGTTTTTCCTCAAACTGTGTGCTTAAATATGCCTAAAATAAACTTCCAGGAGTCAGACTCTCAACGTTTGAAATAACACTGGAGTTGTGCTGAACCAAATTTCCTTCTTGCCTCCCATGAATCCACATTCTGCTGGTTTTGGTTGTAGGCAGAGACCCCTCCACCACTCTGACTGGCTATGACTACGTGGTGTTTTTGGATAAATGTGGGCGACTTTGGGGCTTTGAACTAAAAGTGACTAAATGCTCTAAGAGTTTAATGGGCCAAGTTAGTAGGAGCCTGGAAGACAGTGCAGAGAGCTGTGTGGACTTTGGAGGCCCATTCAGAGGTTTTGGAGGGGAACAATATTTGCAATTGGGCTGGAAACTGTTCTTGTGATATTCTGGCAAAGAACATGGTTGCTTTTTGACTTTGTCCTAAGAATTGACCTGAGGCTAAATTGTGAAGTATTAGAAGATTAGTTTCCTTGGAAGATGACAGTCCAATATTCACCCTGTGTCGTGGTTATTAGTAATCACTCTCTCAAGTCTATAATGAGGAAAGAAAGTGGAACAGGAAGAAATATAAAATGTACAGTTTGACAAGAATAGCATCCAGGAAATTTAAATATTGGAGCTAGCTTTGTGCTGAAAGATATGAGGAGATTAAGAAAGCCTGACCACACTGGAGCAAATGGAGGGACACCTTCACAGAGATCTCACCCAACTAAGCTTCCAGCTTCTGAAAGGAAAAGACAGGAGAAATTTTCTGCTCCTAAAAACTGCTGCAAAGCCAGGTGGTAGTGCATGCCTTTAATCCCAGCACTTGGGAGGCAGAGGCAGAGGCAGAGTCTCTGTGAGTTCAAGGCCAGCCTGGTCTACAAAGCAAGTTCCAGGACAGGTTCCAAAGCTATAGAGAAACCTTGTCCTGACAAACCAAAAACAAAACAAAACAAAAACCAAAAATCAAACAAACAAACAAAACCTGCTGCAAATATGATTCGAGGGGGGCAGGATCTATCCCAAGCAAGCAGCCAAGCTTGGCAGTATTGTCCATGTAGTTCTGGCTTTACAGTCATGCAGGGTATATGAGTAATGGGGCTGTGCAATCTTCCTCCACAGTGAAGGAGAGCTGCTGAGAGCAGGTTTGTGGGAGGAGAGTCCCTGCACAAAAGGCCTGAGAGGTTATTGCACAAAGCATTGAAGACCCCAAAATACTGGAGATGCCAGAGCCATTAGACATCTCCTAAGGGAACTGCATACAGGGAGTAGGACCAGCTCAAGAGAGAGAGAGAGAGGAGAGAGAGAGGAGAGAGAGAGAGAGAGGTATGTTGCAGGCTGATGTGGGAGTGTCATATCAATCTGTTGCTTTCATTGGTTAATTAATAAAGAAACTGCTTGGCCTGATAGGTTAGAACATAGGTGAGTGGAATAAACAGAACAGAATGCTGGGAGGAAGAGGAAGTGAGGCAGACGCGATGAAATAAGCTGCCAGGTCAGACATGCTGAATCTTTCCTGGTAAGACTGGTGCTACACAGATTACTAAATATGGGCTAGGCAAGATAAGTCACCACCTCGTGGTGCTACATACATTAATAGAAATGGGCCAAACAGTGTTTATATGAATACAGTTTGTGTGTTGTTATTTTGGGGCATAAGCTAGCCAGGCAGCCGGGAGCTGGGTGGCAGGAACGCAGCCCACAGCTCCTTCAACAGCAGGCAGCAAAGCCAGAAGAGTGGAGTCATTTAGCCCTTTGACATTAGACATGGAGATACAGGATTTGGAGTTTGCTCTACTGTGTTTCCCTGTGGTCCAGCACTTCCTCCCCTTGCCCCATTTCCTCTCTTTTGGAATGGTAATGTGTATTCTGTGCCATTGTAGAGGGAAGTGTATAATGTGTGTTTTGAGTTTATATAGGGTTACAGTTAAGAGACTACCTTGAGTCTCATAAGAGACTTTAGACTTTTAAACAGTGTTGAGTCTGAAAGACTATCGGGCTTTTGAAGTTGGACTGAACATATTTTGCATTATGATATGGCCACAACACTATGGGCCAGGAAGTAGACTGTGGTGGTTTTAATGAGATTGGTCCTCATAGGTTCATATATTTGACACTTGGTCCCCAGTTAGTGCAACTGTTTGGGAAGGATTACGATGTGTGGCCTTGTTGAAGGAGGTGTCTCACTGCAGGTGGTCCTATGGTTTCAAAAGCCCCCTTCAGTGCCAGTGTGTGTTCTTTGGTTCCTGTTTGTGGATCTAGATGAGAGTTCTCAGCTGTTGCTCCAGTGCTATGCTCCTTGCCATGATGGTGATGGGCTCTTATCCTTGGAGACTGTATGCCATAAATAAACCCTTCCATCTTTTATTTTATTGGTTTTTCAAGACAAGGTTTCTCTGTATAACAGCACTGGCTGTCCTGGAATTCACTTTGTAGACCAGGCTGGCCTTGAACTCAGAGACCACCTGCCCCGCTTCCCAAAAGGCAGGTGCCCTTGCTCTAAACTCTTCTTCTTTTTTGGGGGGGGAGGGGGTTTCGAGACAGGGTTTCTCTGTAGCTTTTGTTCCAGAATGCAGAAGTTGACAGCTCCATGTAATGACTCTCAGCAGGCACTCACTCACCATCCACACTGAACTCACTCTTCCCTCTCAGTATGTAATCTCCCTTGCATTTCTGAGTGAAGACTTCTTTGGGCTCCAGTGCAAAGATTTCCCTTCCACACGTGCTCTAGCTCATGACTGTCTCTGCCTAGCTTTGTTACTCATCACTCTGATGTTTTCCTTAGACCTTTTGAATCTTCATTCCACGTACTGTCCCTCTCTGTTTTCATAGCTATGCATTTGCGAGCACTTTAACAGTTACTAATCTGCAGCATTGGGGATTGGATTCAGGATCTCATGCATGGCAGGTAAGTGCTTGTTCCACCATTGAGCTGTTTCACCAACCCTTTTACTAATATTTTCAGTTTCATCTCAAGGAGAGAAGACATAATATACTAATATCCAAGTTGAGAAACCACATTTTTTTTTTAACAGTAATCTTTTGGTACAGTAGGGTTGTCAACAGGAAATAATGGCTCAAGGGTAAAGGCACTGTTCCAAGTCTGACTGTCTACAGGAAATAATGGCTTGGCAGTAAAGACACCTGGTCCCAAGCCTGACAACATGAGTTCAGTCTCCAGGACCCACAGGACGGAAGGAGAACTCCTAGAAGTTATTTTTTTGACTTTCAAATACACAACCATACTCACACCCACACACAAATAAATGTAATTTAAAAATTCCTCTGCAAAAGATATATCTTCGTAATTTATGTTACCTCTTCCTCCATGACGTAGGTGAGCAGTTTCCAGTCCCATTCCACTGTCTTGGCATTGGCTGGATGCAACCTGAAAGTCAGGTGACATCAGTCAGAATTCTAGAAAATTTAGTGGCAGAAGGGATAGGGTCTGTAAGGTGACAGGCAACTACGCATCTTCTTACCCTCAGCAGCTGACCTACCCCAGTACCACACCATGTCAGTCTGGCCAGCTCATAGTCATTGAGCTTTATGTACTGGGACAGCATGAAGCTGTTGATTTATTGTGTTAACTACAATATTCTATCGTTTGGTTCACTGTGACTGTCTCAAAAAGTGACTCATATCTCATGATAAGCGAATTATAATAGAACTCAGTTTCAGAATTGTGTAATTACGAAGTTGATTTTCTAACTTAAAGTACTATAAAAATCTGAAGCTGAAGACTACAGCGTAGATCCCTAAAGCCAAAACTAAGGCAGATTTGAAAACTGGGTACCAGTAGCCTTTTATGAAACAGTGTCAAATAATATCTTATTCCCAGGTTTCTAGTGAAAACAAGTCATTAAATTCTTTTACCAGCAATTGAAGCCAGTTTTGATTGGGTTTCCTATCATTTGCAATCAACATTATTAAGAAACTTCCCTAGGTCAGCTGAATAACGCTTAGACAGGAGAAGCTGTGCCCTGAGTCTACATTCCCTAGAAGATTTGGTCAACCAGTGGTAATGATTCATACTGTTGGATTTTCATGAGAAGCATGTAGGCCTCCTTGAGGACATCCACAGTCTCAGAGCCACTGAGCAGGATTTTCTGGATGATGTGAGCCACAATTTCTCTGGGTGGGTAATGCTGGGGTGAAACAAAGTCCATTAAAAACTGCACAGTCCCCAAAGGAAAGTTTTCTTCAATAGTGTTTGCCACCATTCTTAGTCTTCGATGAGGGATGGGTTCTAATTTCTGACCCTTGCTCTGTAGAGACAAAGAGATAGACAGACATCAGGATGGGTTCTACACTTCCTGAAAGCAAGAGGTTCTGCAACAGATTGAGAACAGCAAAGGTTTCTATGCATTTCAAATATTGTACTAGAGACAAGAAAACTCTAAATATAAATCTTTTAACGATGGATGTAGGGAAGCTAAAAGACACGAATTCTAAATTCTCCATACAAGATGACTTCATCTATATTAAAATGTAACAGAAAGCTAAATGTGGTGTGGCATGCCTTTAATCCCAGCACTTGGGAGGCAGAGGCACTTTGATCTCTGAGCCCAAGGCCAACCTGCTCTACGAGTTCCAGGACAGCCAGGACTACAGAGAAACCCTGTCTCAAAAAAACAAACAATAAGAACAACAGAAAAGTAACAGAATGGCAAATATCAAAGCAAGAGATGCCAAGAACAGTCAGAGATGGGTTTTAAGTTTCTAATCTTCCTGCCTCCACCTTCCAAGTGCTAGGATTATGGGGCAGTGACAAAAGTATAGTAGAGCCGGGCGGTGGTGGCGCATGCCTTTAATCTCAGCACTCGAGAGGCAGAGGCAGGCAGATCTCTGTGAGTTCGAGGCCAGCCTGGTCTAGTTCTAGTTCCAGCTAGTTCCAGGACAGGAACCAAAAAGCTACGGAGAAACCCTGTCTCGGAAAAAAAAAAAAGGCAATTTGATGGAGGAAGGTCATTGGCTAATAAAGGAACTGCCTTGGCCCATTTTATTGGTTAGGACATAGGTAGGTGGAGTAAACAGAACAAAACGCTGGGAGGAAGAGGAAGTGAGGTCAGACTCGACCTCTGTCCTCTCGGGAGCAGACGCCTGAGAGAGACGCCATGCTCCTGGCTCCTGGGCAGACGCACGCTAAGAAGCTCCGACCCAGGATGGACATAGGCTAGAATCTTCCCGGTAAGCGCACCTAGGGGCGCAACACAGATGATTAGAAATGGGCTAAATTAATATGTGAGAATTAGCCTAGAAGAGGTTAGATAGAAATGGGCCAAACGGTGTTTAAAAGAATACAGTGTCCGTGTAATTATTTCGGGGCATAAGCTAGCCGGGCAGGCGGCTGGGGTGTTGGGGACACAGCCCCGCTGCCGCCCCTATTACTACAGCAATTGGGAAGGGAATACATGGAATTATCCATAATAAATATTGTCTGATAGCACTATGGGTGACTTTAAACACATTCATTTTTATTTTTTTTATTTTTATTTTTTGTGGTTTTTCGAGACAGGGTTTCTCTGTGGTTTTGGAGCCTGTCCCGGAACTAGCTCTTGTAGACCAGGCTGGTCTCGAACTCACAGAGATCCGCCTGCCTCTGCCTCCCAAGTGCTGGGATTAAAGGCGTGCGCCACCACTGCCCGGCCTTCATTTTTATTTTTTTTTTTTTTTTTTTTTTTTGTTTTTTTTTTTTTTTTTTTTTTTTTTAAATATTTATTTATTTGTTATGCATACAATATTCTGTCTGTGTGCAGGCCTGAAGAGGGCACCAGACCTCATTACAGATGGTTGTGAGCCACCATGTGGTTGCTGGGAATTGAACTCAGGACCTTTGGAAGAGCAGGCAATGCTCTTAACCGCTGAGCCATCTCTCCAGCCCCTTCATTTTTATTTTTATGAGTGCATGTGTGTCTGGGTGTGGAGTACCCTGGAGCTGAAGTTCAGGAGGCTCTGACCCACCCTATGTGGGTGCTGGGAACTGAATCTTGTTCCTCTGGAAAAGCAGTGGACACTACTAAGCACTGAGCTATTTTCCAGTCCTGCTTCGTTGACTTTTAAAAGTTACATTTTATTTATTATCTTTTGTGTGTGTGTATGAGCACAAGTGTACACGGCAGTGCAGATGTGGGGTCAGAGAACAATGTGGAGGAGTCAACTCTCTGCTTCTACCAGTGGATTCAGTCTACAGGACACAAGTTGCCAGGCTTGGCGCAAGTGCCTTTATCTACTGAGCCATTTTGCCAGCCTACCTACCTTTTGATTTAGTTTTTGTTGTTGTTGTTTTTGAGGCTCGGTTTCTCTGTGTAGCCCTGGTTGTCCTCGAGCTCAGAGATCCTCCTGCCTCTGCCTCCAGAGTGCTGGGATTAAAGGCATGCACCACTACTGAGTACTTTAGACATACCTTAAAGCTGAGGGTTTGGTTTTGGATAACAAAAAGGTTTCATGCTATGAGACTGTCACAACATTTTTGTCCATATATGTCTAATTTAGTTCCCATAGGTCAATGAAGATATATGAGAAATGATATCCACATTAAAGTTTTAAAATTGAATTCTACTCCCAAATACAAGAGGTGACTTCAGACATGGAAGTGACAAGAGTCTTTTCTCTGTGATATGTATTGTATGGTATCAGGAAGAGAAGAAGAAAGGGAATGGAAGACAAGAATTTGATGAAGGGCAACGACGAGTCAGACTAACAGGTATTTTACACACATCATCTCATTTAGCGGCCCTAGGAGGTGTGTTTTTACCCCTCCTTTACAGACAGGGGAGGCTAAGGCTCACAAGGAAAGTGATGTGTACAGTGCTGGGTTTTAAAGAGTGAGCTGAGATTGGAACACAGCTCTAACTCCACTTTCAAGTGGGGGAAGATAAAAAATTTTATTTCTAGCTAGATGGTGGTGGCATAAGCCTTTAATCCCAGCACTTGGGGGGGCAGAGGCAGGCATATCTCAGAGAATTCAAGGCTAACCTAGTCTACCAAGCAAGTTCCAGGACAGCCAGAACTGCTACACAGACACAAATAGACAGACAGACACACACCATTTCTATTTGGCCCATTCTCTAATGTGTGGACTCTAGTCATAGTAACTTTATCAAGGGCCTATGGGAGCAGACATAATCCCCAAGGGAGTGAGTATACTAACTTACCTCCCGTGTGTCTTTATCTGGTATTAATGTCTGGAAGAAGAGATGATGTACTGGAGGTCGTAAAAAGTATTTCAGTCTATGCAGGCAAGGTTTATTGTATACCCCAACTTGTGGTACTTGTCCTTGAATCTGGGCAGACCCAGGGTTGGCAAACTGTGGCAATGATTTCTCTTTTCTGGCTAAGTTGTCTGTGAAAGGGAGCCCAGGAACTTTTTTTAAGGAAAATTCAGACTGTGGAGACAGTGGACTGGCAGAGCCACTTGGAGAGGACGGAGCTGAGATATCCATAGGAGTGTCACGATTCTGCACATCATCTGGGGAAGATTTTGGCTTGTCTCTTGCTAAGTCCAGTAACCCTTGTGGTGAGTGTGACACATCTCCTGGTAAGTGTGGTGTATCTACAACTGATGGTAGCACACCCTCTGGGGACTGCATCACATCTGGTGACTGTGGCACACCTTCTGGGGACCGCATTACATCTGGTGACTGTGGCACACCTGGGGACTGCATCACACCTCCTGATGACTGTGGCACACCTGGGGACTGCATCATATCTACTGATGACTGCATCACACCTCCTGGTGATTGCATCATACCTCCTGGTGACTGTGTTACACCTCCTGATGACTGTGTTACACCTGATAACTGTGTCACACCTCTTGATGACTGCATCACAACTCCTGGTGACTGCATCACACCTCCTGGTGACTGTGTTACACCTCCTGATGATTGTGTTATACCTCTTAGCGACTGCATCACACCTCCCGATGACTGTGTTACACCTGATGACTGTGTCACACCTCCTGGTGACTGCATCACACCTCCTGATGATTGTGTTACACCTGATGACTGTGTCATACCTCCTGGTGACTGTATCACACCTCCTGATGATTGTGTTATACCTCTTAGTGACTGCATCACACCTCCTGAAGGCTGTGTTACACCTGATGACCGTATCAAACCTCCTGGTAACTGCATCACATCTCCTGATGACTGTTTCACATATCTTGGTAACTGCCCCACTTTTGGTGACTGTGGCACATCTTCCAGCAGTGGTGGCAAATCTTGCAGTGACCGCAGCACAACTTGTAGTGACAGTGGCACATCCTGAAGTGACCATGGCATGTCTTGTAGTTGTGTCACACTGTGTGGATATGACAGGTTTTGAGGTCGGCCTGGAACATCTTGAGGTAGGCCCAGAGTGTCTTGGGGTGGGTAAAGTGGGTGTTGAGGATGCCACGATAAATTCTGATGTGTGCTTGGCATACTCTGCTGAGGGCATGGCACTTCTTGAGGTGGATGAGGCAAAGCTTGGAGTTGGCACTGCACAGTTTGTGATGGGCATGACAAAGCTTGTGGTGGACCCGACAAGGCTTGTGGTGGACATGAGGAAGCTCGTGTTGGACAGGGTGAAGCTCTTAGTGGGCATGCTAAGGCTTGCAGTGGGCATAGCAAGCCTTGTGGTTGGCAAGGCACATCCTGTTGTGGGCATGGCAAAGTGGCCCTCTGATTGCTGCTGCTACTGTTATTGCTTGTTGAGGAGAAGGAGCTAACGTCTGAAGAGAGCTGTAGGCTTGTCAAGAAGCTGAGGTCACCTTTGTACGTGATCGAACTACAGTTTGGCTCTGGTGGATAAACAGAGTCCTGGCTAATAGATGTAGGGGGTCGAGAACCTTCAAATATGTTTTCTTCCAACAAATCCAGATCTACAGGATCATTGTGGACGATTCTGTGTGTCGCAGGCTGAGAGTCTCTGTCTCTATGGGCTTCTGTTACCTCTTTGCCTGAAAGACTGACACTTGTCTGAAGACAGGGTGGCTCCTTCTGAGAGGAAGCTACAGGTTCCAAAGTCAAATCAAAAGTGGCAATAGGTCTATTTTCTTCCTCACTTCTTGTCAGATCAATCACACAAAGTCCATTACGGTCTTTTGCCCTTGTTCTGGTCTCTCTAGTTAAGTCAATGAAGTCCTGTTAAAGATGGGAGAAGAGAAGAGTGAAAGAAGGGCACATTAACTTTATTTGAGAAGACTGAGGTTTTAGCTTTTAACGATGAACATCACTTTACTTTTTCATCTCATTGGTATTTCTATATATACCTGCAGTGCTAGTGATTGAACCTAGGGCCTGGTGCATACTGGGTAAATAATTTCCCTCTGAGCTATATCTCAAGCTTTCTATGCATCTTCTATAACATAAATATTAGTTTTATTTTCTTTAGTTAACATTTTGCTAATGTGTTGTGGAATACTATTTTCACTAGGCAAAGGTGTGTTACATTTGTTTATGCTACAGAATATTACTTTAACTGTAATATTCAAACAGAAAGCAACCTTTACTTGAAGAACAAATTTCCAGGATAATCTGTAAAAGAAGTTAAGCAAGATGGTAAGTTAATATGAGGACCTTGGTACTAAGACACATTGAGTGTTTGTCACAGGACTCAGGAGTTCCCAAAGATACCTAGTTTCATCAGAGAAGGCTCTCAAGGATGGACATATAAATAGGAACAAATTTATTGGGAAAAAATTGCAAAAGTACACTCCTAAAAGGGAGAGAAAAGTAGGCAACTTAGCTGGATAATTGAATTTTTAAGGGTTAGAGAAAAAAACTTTCATTTATCCTATGCATTTGTAAGTGTAATTTTTTCTGGAAACTGGGAGGACATTTTGAGAATCACAGGAGAGGTTTGACTAAACACAAAATGTTTAGAGTCACAGGCAACATCTACACGTAAGTACAGCTATAATTAAATGCTAAAGAAGTTGACGGGGATTTTGGGTCTCTAAATCTCCTAGAGCACAGCTAACTACCCTTGCAGAACACACTATGTTGTGCAGTCTGTATCTGGATGAAGACATACCATGCGGTTGAATTTACATGTAGTGGGGCTGGAGATATAGTTCAGTAGTTAAGAGCATTGACTACTCTTCCAGAGGACTGGGTTAGACTCCCAGCATCCATAGAATGGTTTACAAGCATCTGCTGTTCTAGTTCCAGGGGACTGGATCTCTGGTCTCCATAGACATAAGACAAATAGCTGATACACAGACACAGGCAAAACACCCACACATAAAATAAAATTAAAAATATTTACATTCCATTATCTTGTCTCCCTGATTACTCATGTCATTTTTCTATGATTTCTTAAATTTTCACAATGATACTGCAGGATGGTATTACCATCTCCATTATATACATTCAAAAATTAGTTTTGAGGGACCAGGTTACTTACCTAAGGATTCTACAGCTAAGTAGTAGGGGAAGATATTCAAATTCAACTTTCTGTCTTTCCTATTGAATACCTAGGGATGCATTAACTTTTTCCAATATGTAATCAGCTTTACTCTTTTTGTTTTTAAATGAGTTATCTATTCTTATTTTGTATGCATTGGTGTTTTGCCTGCATGTCTGTCTGTGTGAGAGTGTCACATCCCCTGGAACTGGAGTTACAGACAGTTGTAAGCTGTCATGTGAGTGCTGGGAATTGAACTTGGGTCCTTTGGAAGAGCAGCCATGCTCTTAACCACTAAACCACCTCTCCAGCTCCCTGTCTTTACTTTTCTGAGACAGGATCTCACTTTGTAGCTCTGGCTGGCCTGGAACTCACTGTGTAGACCAGACTGGTCATGAACTGACAGATATCACCTTGTTTCAGTCTCCTGAGTGCGAGGATTAAAGGCATGCACCACCACACCTCACCCGTGATGTGATCAGCATTAAAAGGGATTGTTTTTAAAACAGTAAGGGGTAGGTATAAAAGCAATGGTCTGAGTTTTAACTAATGGAAAACCACTAATCTTTATTCCCATTCCTCAGCAGGTTGATCAAATTATAAATTGATGTCAGCCAGAGGTATTGTCACCACCTATTGTGCCAGGAGCCTGGAATAACACTGTGTTGGTCTCCAGGAGTCTTCTCACCTGGTTGGGTACCATCACTATTAGTATATTATGGTCTGGCAATGTAAACTGTAGCCACTATAGTCAGCACACAATTTCTCTCACTTTTAAATGTTATTATTGTTTAGTTAGCATACAAAGTGTTTCACTATGGCCGGGCGGTGGTGGCACACGCCTTTAATCCCAGCACTCGGGAGGCAGAGGCAGGCGGATCTCTGTGAGTTCGAGGCCAGCCTGGTCTACGAGAGCTAGTTCCAGGACAGGAACCAAAAGCTACAGAGAAACCCTGTCTCGAAAAATCAAAAAAAAAAAAAAAAAAAAAAAAGTGTTTCACTATGATACTTTTATACAAGAGTTTGACTTCTTGGTGGTCATGAACAGCTTTCTTCATCTTCCCCACTCCTTGTTGGTGTTGTAGGGAGGCCACTCATTTGTTCCCAGCTGCTCAGCTGGAAATAATCACACAGAAATCATATTATTTGCCATACTGTTTGGCCAATAGCTTAAAAGCATATTTCTGGCTAACTCATACCTTAAATTAACTCATCTCCATTAATCTGTGTATTGCTAACAGGTTGTGGCTTTCTGGGTAAAGTTCGGGTGTCTGTCCCTGGTGGGGCTACATGGCTTCTCCTGACTCCGCCCTCTTCTTTCTTCAAGCATTCAGCCTAGCTTTCCCCGCCTAGTTCTGCCCTGCACTGCCATAGGCTCAAAGCAGTTCTTTATTAATCAGTGGGATTCACAGCATACAGAGGGGAATCCCACATCATGTTGGTACCCTTCTTTCCCTTTGCTTTCATGCTATTTCTCTTAATAGATGTGAAGATCACATCTGTCAACAGATTCAAAGACATGGAGTTCTGAGAGGGTCAAGTACAAATCTGCTATGTGCGTAGTCCTAGAATAGGAATTGTTTGGCAAAATCAAAATCCTCAGTTTCTAGGAAAGAACCATACGGCATTGGTGCCTTTGATGATACCCAGTAGAAAGCTGAACATACAGACCTGAGCTCCAAAGGTTTGAATTTAACTCACCCCACCACAATCAACTGCTAAAATGCAACTCAGAAGGTTGGGTGTATAGTTTAGGATTAGAGTACTTGCTTAGCTCACAAAGACCCTGCACTCAATCCCAGCAACAGACACATACATACACATCACAAATCACTTCCATTTTCAACCATCAGTTTGACATGAACTTCAGGATTAAAGTCAAATGCATTAGCAATATTCATAAAGGTTCTTCATCATAAGTCTGTCTACTCCTTATTGCATGATGTATCCCCAAATGTGCTAAATTTCTCAATTATCTTTTCTTTTTTTTTTTTTTTTTTTTTTTTAGTTTTTCAAGACAAGGTTTCTCTGTAGCTTTGGAGCCTGTCCTGGAACTAGCTCTTGTAGACCAGGCTGGCCTCGAACTCACAGAGATCCGCCTGCCTCTGCCTCCCGAGTGCTGGGATTAAAGGCGTGCGCCACCACCGCCCGGCTACGCCACCACCGCCCGGCTACGCCACCACCGCCCGGCTATGCCACCACTGCCCGGCTCTCAATTATCTTTAATGTTTGCTTCTGCTCTTTCTTTTACTTGCAGTGACTATGGTAACTATTAATTGCCTGTCTCTTTTGAATTTCTCATTTTTCTAGTTATACATCTTTTAATTATATTTTCAGTGGCTGATCTGGAGATTATAGTCTGGAAATTTAGTATGTTGTAGTATGCTTAAAATTATTTATGTGTGAGTGTTCTATATGCATGTGTATCCTGATGCCTTCTGATTGCCCAGGATTGTGGTTATAGATGGTTGTGAGCTGCCAGGTGGGACTGGGAATTGAATCCAAATCTTTTGGAAAAGTAGGCAGTGCTCTTAACCACAGAGCCATCTCTTTAGCGTCTCCCTTCTCCACACAGGGCTTCTCTGTGTAACTTTGGAGCCTATCCTGGAACTTGCTCTGTAGAACAGGCTGTTCTCAGCACTCAGAGATCCACCTGCATCTGTCTCCCTAGTGTTGGGATTAAATGCATGCACACTACAACCGCCTGGCTCCAGCTTCTATTTCTTAAAGTATTAGTTTTTAAGCCTATATTTGGAATTTCTGATGCTTTTTATTTTTTTGTGAAAATACTCTTTCCACTTGATGTCACTGTTTTCAGCCTAAATATCTTGCCATACAGAGATTCTAGTGAAAAGTTCAATTTGTATTAGCTCTTATTCTTGAAGGTAATTCTGTAGACACAGAATTCTTTACTGAAGAGTTTTTTTCTTCCATTATTTGAACATATCAATCTGAGTCTTTTGGCCTCCACAATTATGTTAGCTGTTAACTGCATAGCTGTTTTCTATGTGCAACATCTAATTTTTCTCTCTGTAAATAAGAAGAGTTTCCTTTGTTTATTCTTCTATGTGTCTTATTTTTTGGGTCTGTACATTAATTCTCCCCCAATCAAATCTGATAAATTTCATCAATAGTTTTTCGAAAACATTTCTCTCATCTATCCCTGCTCCTTTAAGACTCCATTACACACACTTTAGTATCCTATATAACTATGCAGTTACTGAGCTTTATTTACTCTTCCTGCCCATTCTGTTTTTTTTTTTAAATAATTTATTTTTGTTTCATTTGCATTGGTGTTTTGCCTGCATGTATGTCTGTGTGACGGTGTCAGATCTTGGAGTAACAAACAGTTGTGAGCTGCCATGTGGGTGCTGGGAATTGAACCACGGTCTCTGGAAGAGCAGTCAGTGCTCTTAACCACTGAGCCATCTCTCCAGCTCCCATTCTGTTTTTGAACTTGGTGATGTCTGTTGATTTGTCTTGAACTTCCCTGTTTGATTCATCACTGTTTTCCAATTTTCGATGAGTTCATTTAGTATATTTACAAAAACATTCACTCAGTTATGGCAGATCTTCATCTCTTCCTCTCTCCTCCAAATCTAGTCCCCCAGTGTTGCAGCAGACAACTTGCTTCAGCTTCTCACCCACCATGCCCCCATCTCCAGTGGATTACACACACTTCCCCTCCTAACTTCTGCCCCACCTTGCTTTATCCCAGTCCTCAACTTCAACAGGCAATCCCTGGGAACCTGTAGACATCTTCAGCCAGAGAAGCAGCCCCAACTCCAACAGGTAACAGAAGATATCAGAAGACCAAAAAAAGCCGGGCGGTGGTGGCGCACGCCTTTAATCCCAGCACTCGGGAGGCAGAGGCAGGCGGATCTCTGTGAGTTCGAGGCCAGCCTGGTCTACAAGAGCAAGTTCTGGGACAGGCACCAAAGCTACAGAGAAACCCTGTCTAGAAAAACCAAAAAAAAAAAAAAAAAAGACCAAAAGATCACCCCATGCTCATGGATCAGTAGGATGAATACAGTAAAAATGGGCATCCTGTCAAAAGCAATCTACAGATTCAATGCAATTCCCATCAAAATTCCAACACAATTTTTTACAGACCTTTAAAGGACAATTCTCAACTTCATATGGAAAAACGAAAACCCAGGATAACTGAAACAATTCTGAACAATAAAAGAACCACTGGAGGTAACATCATGCCTCATTTCAAGTTGTACTACAGAGCTATGGTAATAAAAACCACATGGCATTAACACAAAAACAGATACATGATGGAGGAAGGTCATTGGTTAAAAAATAAAGAAACTGCCTTGGCCCATTTTATTGGTTAGAACATAGGTGGGTGGAGTAAACAGAACAGAATGCTGGGAGGAAGAGGAAGTGAGCTCAGAGACGCCACGCTCCCCTCTCCTGGGCAGACTCGATAGCTCTGCTCTCTGAGGCACACGCGATGAAGATCCGACCCAGGATGGACATAGGCTAGAATCTTCCCGGGAAGCGCACCTTGGGATGCTACACACGTTATTAGAAATGGGCTAGTCCAGGTGCGAGAGTTAGTCAAGAAGAGGCTAGATATAATGGGCCAAGCAGTGTTTAAATGAATACAATTTGTGTGTTGTTATTTTGGAGCATAAGCTAGCAGGCGGCCGGGGTGCTGGGGACGCAACCCCGCCGCTCCTATTATTACTACAGATACATGTTGAACGATGTAACTGAACTGAAGAGCCAGACATAAATTCACATACCTATGGACATCTGATTTTTGATAAACAAAACAAAACAAAACAAAAAAACAGAAAAACATACTGGAAAAAAAGACAGCCTCTTCAACACATGGTGCTGGTCTAACCAGACAATTGCATGTAGAAGAATGAAAATCGATCCATTCACACATCATTTTGCACAAAACTCAACTCCGAATGTATCAAAGATCCCAATATAAAAACGGATACACTGAACCTGATAGAAGAGAAAGTAGAATATTCAAGGGAATAGCCTTGAACTCATTGACACAGGAGAAGATCTAAGATCAACAATTAGTAACTGGGACCTCATGAAACTGAAAAGCATCTGCACAGCAAAAGACACCATCATTCAGACAAAGTGGCAGTACACAGAATGGGAAAAGATTTTTACCAACTACACATCCAAGAGAGGGCTAATATACATAATACATAAAAGCTCAAAAAACTAGATCAAGGAAACAATCCAACCAAAAAATGGGGTAGCATATATTCCATTGCAAAGAACTTGTCCTACAGACATCCCATTGTAGCTTTCAATAGCAAAATAGATCAGCTGTATCATTTTTTTATGTCAGAATAACATGTAGCTGATAAATTACCAGGATCCATACTATATACAGGGACTAACAATATCAATAAAATGGCCTATAATATGAATGAGGTAGAGATGTTCAATTTAAATGCTCAAAATTATTATGAGATTTTTAAAAAGTTACTACAATCTCAGAATTGGGGAAATATCCCAGTTTGTATCCTGTCTGCCCTAGGTTTGATCCCTCGCACCCCATATATGAAGTACAGTCATACATGCCTGTAGTCTCAATACCCAGGAGGTGGAAGAGGGGGAATCAGAAGTCAAGGTAATCCTCAGCTACACAGCAAATTTGGGGCTAGCCTGAGCTACAGGAGACCCTGTCTCAGAAGAAAAAAAAAGTTTGTACAACCCCATTAGAAAATAATTAGATACTTAAAAGCATTTGTGCACACACAGAGGGAAATTTCCTTGTGGTAACGCACACATAAAACTGTAGCTCTCCAGACAGTGGAAATGGGCAAGTCATTGCTCACAATCCTACAGTTCTTACCTCTACTGTAAAATTATGTTTCTAATCCAAAGTGGTGAAAATTCATTTTCCCAAAGATGACTGTGGACCTTAAGAACAGCAACAAGGCTTCCTTTTGTGGTGAAGTAAATGATTTATGAGAAATGAAGGCTGTACTTTCCAAGGTATTGTATGGATGAATTTTATTATATGGAATCGTACCATACCAAAGGTACTATTAAAAGATGCATTAGAATAAAGATATATTTACAAGCTGATAATACAAAAACACAAATTAAGTTCCTCTCCTACTATGCTGGTTAGTTTTATATCAACTTGTTTCAAGTTAGAGTGATCTGAGAGAAAGGAACCTCAGATGAGAGAATGCCTCCATAAAATGGGGCTGTAAGAAAGACTGTAAGGCATTTTCTTAATTCGTGATTTTTGAAGGAAGGCCCATTCCACTGTGGGTGGGGCCACTCCTGGGCAGGTGGTCTTGGGCTTTGAAAGCAGGCTGAGCAAGCCAAGGGGAGCAAGGCAGTTTGCATCCCTCCTCCACGCCTGTCTCTGCATCAGCTCCTGCCTCCAGGTTCCTGCCCCTCTTGTGTTCCTGTCCTGTCTTTCTGATGATGAACAGTGATGTGGAAGTGTAAGCTAAATAAGTCCTTTCTTCCCCAGATTGCTTTTGGTCATGGTGTTTCATCACAGCTATGGACCCCTAACTCAGACAACCTACGTTTGGGTGTAGGAAATCCCTTCAACTTCCCAAAGGCAACCTAGAATGAATGAGCACTCCAAAAGTGATTATGGGCTTCTGCAGCAGCTGACCTTGATTTAGGACACAGATTAGGTAGAACAGAGAATGACCCCTGCCCCTGGAGTAAGCGAAGCAACAGTATCTGGAGCACGGTAAGGGTACTCTAGATTTCTGTGGAGGGTTCTAGAAAGGCAGAGACCACAAATATTTTCATTCACCACTTCTGGGGCAAGGACAAAGATAAAGGATCTGGAGGAAAAACAAAGGTGCAAGTGCCCCGCCCTCGGGCTTTGTACGTGATTCGCTTTTGCAAAGCGAAATAAACTGTCCTTCTCCACAATTCAAAAATCGGGCCCCTGGCTAGGGAACTAGGCCCCGGAGCGCAGCCGCCCCCGTGCCAAGGGCGGCGCTTTCCTCGCTCGCAGCCGGGGCTCCTGTTACCTCGCTGCACACATCTGTGCCCCATCACAAGCCAAACAATTACGCGCTCCCGCGCGCCCGCCTCGAGGTCTAGCGGCGGCTGCGGCCTGGCCAGGACCCCCACCTCCTCCTCCCGCTGCCAAAGCTCTGGGGCCACCCGGGGCCGCGGGCCACCGCCGGCCACCGCACGGCAGCGCGCACTGGTGCCCACTCTGTCGCCCATGTGCTCGGCCCGCTCGGGCGGCGCAGCCCTGTAGGGCTCCGCGCCGGTCAGCCCGAGGCCTGCCGTGCCGGCGGCGCCGCAGCGCTCCTCGAGGCCAGAGGCCGCCAAAGGCGGGAAGACGCGGCGGCAGGGAACCAGGGTCGCAACCCCGAGGCCAGGAGGAGGCGACGCTCGGGTCCCGTGGGGCGTGGCGAGCCGCAGCGGGCTCACTCACCACAGTTCGGCGGGGCAGCGCGCCGGGGGTCCGGGATAGGGCCCGACGCAACCTCCGCGCCCTGCCCGAGCGGGTCCCGGACGAGCTCTCGGAGCCGCTGTCGTCGGAGATCACGATGAAGTCCTCCATAGCTACGGGCCCGGCTGAGCCACGCGCAAGCGGCCAGCGACCCCGGCGACGGCGACTTCGGTTCCAGCTGCTGAAGCGACTGCGGTGACCGCGTCGCCGACACTGGGGTTAGTACCCCGCCGGCCCCGCCCCCTCCATTGCCCCGCCCCTGCCGCCCGAGCCCCGCCCACCGCTCCTCCGGGAAGTGGCGCCTGGGTGAGGACACAGTCGCGGAGCCCTGGAGGCGCCGCTCTGCCTTTCCCTCCGGGAAAGAAAGAGAGGGAAAGGAGGAAGGGGGGGGGGGGGCGGGAGAAGGAGGTAGAGAACTGAGAGGCTGGGCCGTGCGGTTCGCGGGCGTGAAAAAACGTTGATGTTGAGGGGGTGTCCACCCCAGCTCTCAACTGACCACAGTGTGCGTGCGGTGCTGGTGATTAGCCCCCAGCCTGCAGGTGCAGGAAGGTGTGACCAGCAGCGTGATTCCCACAGAGAGGGGTCACTGGAGGTGAGCCGACCTGGCCACTGATAGAGCCTCTCACTGATGGTGGTGCGGCCTCCTACTGACAGACAGTGTGGGAGATTCCAACAGGTTAAGGAAGCCGCGAGTGGCTGAGATAGGTCACCTGAGCTTGGTGTCTTATTGGCTGAAGCCCTCAGTTGGTTAGAAAGTGACCTGACTTCTGACTGAGGTAGGGAAGAGACCCCACTTCTTCGTATGTGCAGGTAGATCTGTAGGATAAATTCCCAGAAGTGGAATTATTGGATCAAATCTATGTTTTTATTGTTACTTTGGCAAATGTTGCCAAATTACCCTAAGTTGTACCAATCTGCAGTTTCACTAACAACACGTGTCTCAGGAATTTAAACTGTCAGATGTGAAGAGTTATTGAGTTCCTAGTTGGCTAAAACGCAGAAAAGGCACACAGGTAGAGAGAGCTATGGGGTCCCAGAGTGCATGGATACTCCTGCTGGGAACAAGCAGAAGTTATAAGGATAAAATTGTCTCCCACAGAGGGAAGTGTTGGTAAGTAGTGAATTCTTTGGTTTGTTTGTTGGAGGGCAGGGGCATTTAAATAAAAATAGGACCCATGTTTATTTTTAAAATGTGGGATATTGGCAAAATCCTGTCAACTGGGCTCAACTAACTGAAAAATAGAGTAATAGATTCAAATTAATATGTCTTTAGCAAAAAGAGTTTTGTTTTGTTTTTGTTTTTCCCTGCAGGAACAGCTGTTGGGTGCTCTAAGCCATGTCTGGTGCGGTATTTTTAATCTTTAGTAAACTTCTGGGTCACACCAGCATTTTTGACTGAGAAACTGAATTTTGTGAGGTCCCCAAACTAGTATTTCTTTCAGGTTCCCAGGTGACTTTGACATTGCTTAAAGTCTGGTGAACACTTTAAGATTCACTGGTCTGAGCCAGGCACGGTGGTGCATGACTTCAGTCTAGTACTTGAAGGCTGAGATCAGCCAGGGTGAGAGAAAAAAGAGAAGAGGAGGAAGAAGAATAAAGATCACAATGAGGGGAAGAGGAGGGGAAGGAGAGACTGCTGGCCTGGTGGTCAGGTAGTTTTTGATGCATGGATTTCAGACCCAAAAGGTGAATTGCTATGAAGGGACTCAGTAAGCTGAGCTTCCTGGATTGCTATCACACATCCATTTTAGCTCACACACTTGCACACTGGGGCTTGAATCTAGGATGCTGGACTATCGCTGGCTCTCTGGGCCAAAGTCCCCTTTTTTGGAAACCTTGTGTTTTCTAGTCTTTGTGTTTGCATTTCTCTTATCAGTTCTTTGTAGTCTCTCCCAACTCCTATCCCTCTGCTCAGACCTAATATTTTTTCTTTTAGTTTTTTGAGATGGGGTTTCTCTGTGTGTAGCCTTGGTTATTTTGGAACTTGCTCTGTAGACCAGGCTGGGCTCAAACTCACCTAACTCTGCCTCCTGAGTGTGGGGATCAAAGGCATGCAATACCACTGCCCTGCTTAATTTTTTTTTTTTTTTAGTTTCTTGTTTTTAAAAACTATTTTAGATTTTTTAAATTTTATTTTATATGAATGAGTGTTTTGCTAGTATGTATGTATGTATGTACAAACAGATGCCTGGTGGCTTCAGAGGTCAGACAAGGGCACTGAATCCCCTGGAATTGGAGTTATAGGAAGTTGTGAATTATGTGGATGCCGGGAACTAAGCCTGGGTCCTCTGCCATAACAGCAAGTTCTCTTAATTGCTGAGCCATCTCTCCACTCCCAGTTGCAAGGAATCTTTTGTTTGTCCCGGCCGCCCAGAACTGAAATAATCACACAGAAACTGCATTAATTAAATCACTGCTTGGCCCATTAGCTCTAGCTTCTTATTAGCTAACTCTTACATCTTAATTTATCCCATTTCTATTAATCTGCATATCACCACGAGGTTATGGCCTACCAGCAAAGTTCTAGCACGTCCAAATCCAGCAGCGGCTCCATGGTGTCCCCTGACTCTGCCCTTCTTCCTCTCAGCATTCTGTTTAGTTTTCCCCACCAGCTCTGTTCCCCTATAGCTCTGCTATAGGCCCAAAGCAGTTCCTTTATTCATTAACCAATCAAAGCAATACATAGAAGGACCTCCCATACCACCAGTCCTTAAATCTTCATGATGCTCCTCAGCATGTTGACATGGGCCACTTCCGAATGTTACTTTCTCCTCACATAATCTCAACTATTCTCATGGCTTCAGTGATTATCTTAATGCTAACAATACCCAACGTGTTTATCTCCAACCCAGCCTGTCTTTAAAGCTCCATTTGCAAATCTTCAAGTGCACAGTGATGTTTCTCGGCATCTGAATTTACCTTTGTTCTCCCCATAGAAATTATTTTCTTTCAAAAACAAAAAGTTATTAGCTTTCTTGTAGTATTTTCCATTGGTCCTCCTGTCTGTTTTTATGCCAGTACCAGGCAGTCTTCAGTACTGTTACCTCTGTAGTAGAGTTTGAAGTCAGGGATGGTGATGCCTCCAGAAGTTCCTTTATTGTATGGGATTTTTTTGGCTATCCTGAATTTTTGGTTTTTCCATATGAAGTTGAGTATTGTTCTTTTCAGGTCTGTGAAGGATTTCCCTGGGCATTGCATTGAATCTGTAGATTGCTTTTGGTAAGACTGCCATTTTTACTATGTTAGTTCTATCTACCCAAGAGAATGGGAGATCTTTCCATTTTCTGGTGTCTTCTTCAATTTCTTTCTTCAAAGATTTGAAGTTCTTGTCATATAGGTCTTCCACTTGTTTAGTTAGAGTTACTCCAAGATGTTATTTGTGGCTATTGTGAAGGATAATGTTTCTCTGATTTCTTTCTCAGCCTATTTATCATCTTTATGAAGGAGGGCTACTGATATTTTTTTGAGTTAATCTTGTATCCTGCTACATTACTGAAAGTGTTTATGAGTTGTAGAAGTTCCTTGGTAGAATTTTTGAGGTCTCTAATGTAAACTATCATATCATCAGCAAGAGTGAGAGTTTGACTTCTTTTCCAATTTGTATCCCTTTAATCTTCTTTTATTGTTTTATTGCTCTAGCTAGAACCTCAAGTACTCTATTGGATATTGAGTGGACAACCTTGTCTTGTTCCAGATTTCAGTGGGATCACTTTGAGTTTCTCTCCATTTAATTTGATGTTGGCTGTTGGCTGCTGTATACTGCCTTTATTATATTAGGTATGTTCCTTGTATCCCTGTTCTCTGCAAGATCTTTATTGTGAAGGAATATTGTATTTTTTCAAAGGCTTTTTTCAGCATCTAATGAGATGATCATGTGGTTTTTAATTTTCAGTTTGTTTATATGATGGATTACATTGACAGATTTTTGTGTTTCCATCCCTGCATCTCTGTCTGGGTTGAAGCCAACTTGATCATGGTGGATGATTTTTTTTTTTAAAATATCCAGGTTTAATGGGAGATCTGCGCTCTCTGGTGGCCCCGAGGGGGAAACCTAGAAGCTGCAGGAACGCAACGCCCGGGAGGAAGAAAGGGAGACCACTGGTGGATGATTTTTTTCATGTGTTCTTGGATTCGATTTGCCTATATATATATATATATATATATATATATATATATATATTTTAGTTTTTCGAGACAGGGTTTCTCTGTGGCTTTGGAGCCTGTCCTGGAACTAGCTCTGTAGACCAGGCTGGTCTCGAACTCACAGAGATCCGCCTGCCTCTGCCTCCCGAGTGCTGGGTCGATTTGCCAATATTTTATTGAGTATTTTTGCATCAATGTTCATGAATGAGATTGATCTGTAATTCTCTTTCTTAATAATGTCTTTGTATGGTTTGGGTATTAAGGTAATTGTAGCCTCTTAACAAGAGTTTGGCAATGTTCCTTCTGTTTCCATTATATGGAACAATTTGAGGCGTATTGCTATTAGTTCTTCTTTGACAATCTTGTAGAATTCTACACTGAAACCATCTAGTCCTGAGCTTTTTTTGGTTGGGAGACTTTTGATGACTGTTTCTATTTCTTTAGCAGCTATAGGTCTGTTTAATTTTCTTATCTGGTCTTGATTTAATTTTGGTAAGTGCTATTTATCCAGAAAATTGTCCATTTCCTTTACGTTTTCTAGTTTTGTGGACTACAGGTTTTCAAAATATGACCTAATGATTCTCTGGATTTCCTCCATGTCTGATGTCCCCCTTTTCATTTCTGATTTTGTTAATTTGAATATTCTGTCTTTGTCTTTTGGTTAGTTTGGATAAAGGTTTGTCTATTTTGTTGATTTTCTTGAAGAACCAACTCTTGGTCTCATTGATTCTTTGTATTGTTTTCTTTGTTTCTATTTTGTTGATTTTAGCTCTCAATTTGATTATTTCCTGCCATCTAGTCCTCCTGAGTGAACTTGCTTCTTTTTGTTCTAGAGTTTTCAGGTGTTCTGTTAACTCACTAGTGTGGGTTTTCCCCAGCTTCTTTATGTAGGCATTTAGTGCTGTGAACTTTCCTCTTAACACTGCTTTCATTGTGTCCCATAGATTTGGGTATGTTGTGTGGTCATTTTTATTGAATTTTAGAAGGGCTTTAATTTTTTCCTTTATTTCTTCATGGATCCATTGATGATTCAGGTGAGCATTGTTTAATTTCCATGTGTTTGTGGGCTTTCTGAAATTAGTGTTGCTGTTGAATTCTAATTCTAAGCCATGGTGATCTCATAAGCTACATGGGGATTATTCCAATTTTTTTTTTTTTTGGTATCTGTTGAGGTTTGCTTTGTTACCTAGTATGTGGTCAATTTTATAGAAGGTTCCATGAGGTACTGAGAAGATATATTTTATTTATTTATTATTATTATTATTATTTTTTGGTTTTTCGAGACAGGGTTTCTCTGTGGTTTTGGAGCCTGTCCTGGAACTAGCTCTTGTAGACCAGGCTCTTTTATTTTGGATGGAATGTTCTACAGATGTTTGTTAAGTCTATTTGAATCATAACATCTGTTAGTTCCCTTATTTCTCTGTTAATTTTCTGTCTGACAGACCTGTCCAGTGGTGAGAGTAGGGTGTTGAAATCTTCCACTATGAGTGTGAGTGGTTTAATGTGTGATTTAAGCTTGAGAAGTGTTTATTTTACATATGAGAGTGCCTTGTATTTGTTCAGTATTGAGATTTCCTCTTGATGGATTTTTCCTGTGACTAATATGAAATGTCCTTGTCTCTTTTGATTGATTTTAGTTTGAATTCTATTTTGTTAGATATTAGGGTAGCTACATTAGCTTGTTTCTTAGGTCCATTTGATTGGAAAAATTTTCCAAACCCTTTTCTCTGAGGCAATGTCTGTCTTTGAGGTTGAGGTGTGTTTCTTTTATGTAGAAAAAGGATGGATTCTGTTTTTGTATCCAGTCTATTAGTCTGTGTCTAATTTATATTAGGGACATTAATGACCAATGATTGCTAGTTCCTGTCATTTTAGTTTTCATTGTTGGTGATGTTATTGTGTGTGTTTTTCCCTTCTTTGGGATTTGCTGCTGTGAGATCTTCTATTGTCCATTTCTGTGGATGCAACTAACTTCCTTGGGTTGGAATTTTCCTTCTAGTACTTTATGTAGGGTTGGGTTTGTGGCTAGGTATTGGTTAAATCTGGTTCTGTCCTGGTATATCTTATTTTCTCCATCTATGGTGATTGAAAATTTTGTTGGGTATAGTAGTGACTTCCCCAAGGACCGTCTACTGTAGCCTCTTTCAAAGGGATTATTGATGTGACCTCGCTCTAAGTATTAAAACTTCAGCCTGACTCCTTGAAATATTTCTATTTTTATTTATTTATTTGGTTTTTTGAGACAAGGTTTCTCTGTGGCTTTGGAGCCTGTCCTGGAACTAGCTCTGTAGACCAGGCTGGTGTTTTGTTTGGTTTTTCGAGACAGGGTTTCTCTGTGGCTTTGGAGCCTGTCCTGGAACTAGCTCTGTAGACCAGGCTGGTGTTTTGTTTGGTTTTTCGAGACAGGGTTTCTCTGTGGCTTTGGAGCCTGTCCTGGAACTAGCTCTGTAGACCAGGCTAGTCTCGAACTCACAGAGATCCGCCTGCCTCTGCCTCCCGAGTGCTGGGATTAAAGGCGTGCGCCGCCATCGCCCGGCTCCTTGAAATATTTCATCTCCTATTTAATAGCTCCTCTTATTCTAGTACAGGTAAATTTGTACCTACAATTGCTGCTTGCAGTGGAAGGGTTGGTGATATCTCCTCTCTTTCTCTCCCCACTTCTCTTCTAAGTAAGAAACACAGACAAGAAAGAATGCTCTTTGCAAGACTGTCCTTGAATCGTGGCAGTTGTCACTCTGCTTTCTTGAATAACAGATCTCCCATTGTGTCAGTGTTGGCTCTCTCGCCTGCCCTGTGTGCACTTTGTTACGTTCTGGGGCTCCTAAGTTCAGAAACTGCAGGTTCAGACTCTTTCTCCTGGAAACTCCCACCAATGCCTTCCAGGGATAGCTAACAATCTTTTACTGTTGAGGGATCCAGAGGGGTGTCTTGAGAAAAGCCAGCCCCTTTCTGAACTGTGCAAGGGGCTCAGAAACATGGAGAACTTAGCATAGTTCAAGGAGGAAGGGGCTGAAGGAAGCTCCCATCTTGGTTGCTCTCTTTGTTACTCCCATGAGTATCAGAAACTCCTTCACGTCAATCAGTGAGTCAATGAATCGGGAGAGTTCTTAGCTTGGGGAAAGTCGTGAGGAATTCCTTACTCTCTGGCAAGTGAATAGAAAAGGCAGAGCATCTGGTATGGAGAAGTCAGTCACCCATAGATATATTAACTAATTGGAAATTTCAAATGCCCCCTGTTTTGCTAAAGGGTTTATGGTAAAATGACTACAAGTATGAGATTGGTCATATAACTGTAGGGGTACAGCAGTGTTCTGGTTGTACAAATCTTTCTCTTCAGCGATCTGCCTCAACTTGGGAAGCACAGAGTCCCTGACTGCATTGTCTGAGGACTTCTGAAGAACAGCTTGCCAACCAGGTGGGATGAATACCGGCCCCAGAATTACTGTGCCTAACTGTACTTCACATCACTAACAGTTTCTTGGTCATCCTGAGTTTGACCTGAAACAACTTGTTTAATTAAGACTTCAAAAATGATGAGTCTTCTCCAGAAGTGTGTATGTGTGTACTTGCATATATTCTGTGAGGTGTCACTTCTACATAGATTTACCCCCTTAAATAGTAAAATAACCTCCTATCAACTGAGAGACCAGTGTAGTCTTTTGTAGTTAGTAAGATACTTATAAATTCTCTTTGTTTTTTGTTTTGTTTTACAAGACAGGGTTTTTCTGTGTAGCCCTGGCTGTCCTGGAACTCATTCTGTAGACCAGGCTGACCTCAAGCTCAGCGATCTGCCTGCCTCTTAAGTGCTGGGATTTAAGGTGTGCGCCACCACCATTTGGCATTATTTATTTATTTATTTATTTATTCTTTAATGAGTGCCAGTTGTGTGCCAGGTACCATGGAAGAAGCCAGGGCAAAACAATAAGTAATTTGTGTGCAGTGATGTAACCTGTAACCCCAGCACTCAGGCAGCTGGGATAAGAAGGTCACTATCAATTTGAGGCCATCCTGGCCTACAAGGCAAATACCAAGCCAGTCAATGCTAGATGGTGACGCCCTGTCACCAAACCCACAGACAAGCAAACTGAAGCATGAAAGCAGTAAGGCAGCTATTGCCTTATCCAGAGCGTTGCAGCTGAGGAGCTGTCCCTGCTTTGTGATGAAGGAAAGAAAGCCCCTCTCCCCACAAATATGCTGGGTGGTGGTGGCACAGGCCTTAATCCCAGCAGAAGCAGGTAGATCTCTATGAGTTCAAGGCCAGCCTGGTGTGCAGAGCTAGTTCTAGGACAGGCAGGGCTACACACAGACACACAGAGAAACCTTGCCTTTTATATATATATATATTTTTTTAAAAACGATCTTTTCTCATTTTACATACCTATCCCAGTTCCCTCCCCTCCTCCTGCTCCCTCCACCTTCCTCTCCACCCTTTCCCCATCCACTCCTTACAGAGGGTAAGGCCTCCCAAGGGGAGTCAAAAAGTCTAGCACATCACTTTGAGGCAGGACCAAGACCCTCCTCACTATATCTAGGCTGAGCAAGGCATCCCTCCAAAGAGAATAGGTTCCAAAAAGCCAGTTCAGGCAGTAGGGATAAATCCTGGTCTCACTGCCGGTGGCCTCACAGTCTGCCCCAGTCATACAACTGTCACTCACATTCAGAGGGCCTAGTTTGGTCCTATGCTGGTTCCTCCGCTGTCAGTCTGGAGTCAGTGAGCTCCTTTAGCTCAGGTAAGCTGTTTCTGTGGGTATCCCCATCATGGTCTTGACTCCTTTGCTCATATTATCGCTTCTCCCTCTCTTCAACTGGACTTTGAGAGCCCAGTGCTTTGCTGTGGATCTCTGCATCTGCTTCCATTAGTTGCTGGATGAAGGTTCCATGATGACAATTAAGGTGGTCATCAATCTGATTACAGGGGAAGGCCATCCTCTTCAGTATTGCTTAGGGTCTTAGCTGGGGTCATCCCTGTGGATTCCTGAGAATTTTCCTAGTGTCAGGTTTCTTGCTAGCCCCATAATGACTCCTTCAATCAAGATATCTCTTTCCTTGTTCTCCCTCTCTGTCCTTCCCACATCTTGACCATCCAGTCCCTCATGTTCACCTCCCCCCTCCTCCCTTTCCATCTTCCCTTTCCATCCTCCCTTCTACTCCCATCCCCACCCTCACAATTTTTTTCAGGAAATCTTGTCTATTTCCCCTCCCCAGGGGGATCCATGTATGTTTCTCTTAGGGTTCTTCTTGTTATCTAGCTTCTCTGGGCTTGTGGACTATAGGCTGATTATCCTTTGCTTTACATCTAATCTACTCATGAGTGAGTACATACCGTGTTTGTCTTTCTGGGTCTGGGTTACCTTACTCAGGATGAATTTTTCTAGTTCCATCCATTTGCATGCAAATTTCAAGATGTCATTTTTTAAAAAAAAATATTTATTTATTATATATACAATATTCTGTCTTTGTCTATGTCTGCAGGCCAGAAGAGGGCACCAGACCTCATTACAGATGGTTGTGAGCCACCATGTGGTTGCCGGAAATTGAACTCAGGACCTTTAGAAGAGCAGGCAATGCTCTTAACCACTGAGCCATCTCTCCAGCCCAAGATGTCATTGTTTTTAACCACTGAGTAGTACTCCATTGTGTAAATGTGCCACGTTTTCCTTTTCCATTCTTTGGTTGAGGGGCATCTAGCTTGTTTCCAGGTTTTGGCTATTACAAATAATGCTGCTATGTACATAGTTGAGTAAATGTCCTTGTGGTATGATTGACATCCTGCTGGATCTTGAGGTAGGTTGATTCCCAATTTTCTGAGAAACTGCCATACTGATTTCCAAAGTGGCTGTACAAGCTTGCACTCCCTCCAGCAGTGGATGAGTGTTCCCCTTACTCTACATGCTCTCCAGCATAAGCTATCATTGGTGGTTTTGATCTTGGCCATTCTGACTGGTGTAAGATGGTATCTCACAGTCGTTTTGATTTGCATTTCCCTGATGGCTAAGGGCGTTAAGCAGTTCCTTAAGTGTCTTTTGGCCATTTGAAATTCTTCTGTTGTGAATTCTCTGTTTAGATCTGTACCCATTTGGTATTTTGATGTCTAGTCTTGTCTTGAATCCACCTCCACTAAAAAAAGTTCCATTCCCTGCACTTTAAAAAATAATAATAAATCTTAATTAAGTTGAAAATTAAACTTAGAAAAACTATAAAATTCAAATTTAAGTCACAATTAGATACTGCTTCTTAAGATTATTATTGTTATTTATTTATTTTTTAAGACAGTATTTCTCTGTATAGCCCTGGCTGTCCTGGAATTCACTCTGTAGACCAAGCTGGCCTTGAACTTAGAGATCTGCTTGCCTCTGCCTCTCTGGTGCTAGGATCAAAGGTGTGTGCCTCTGCCACGCAGCTAAGATTTATTTGTTTTGTGTGTGGGTACATGTATGCACACATGTGGAGGTCAGACCTCCTACTGTGTGGGCTCCAGGGATCAAATTCAGGTCTGCAGGCTTGGCACATTCTGGCTTGTGTGTTCTCTCTCAAGTGGGATAAGAGCTGTACCTGTCCTTACAGGTTAGTACGCAGATTAACTAAGTTAATGTAGGCAAGCACTTAATGAAAAGTCTCTTTTACTAGTAACGCCATTTATTGGCCTTAGTATGAGCTGTCACATCTGAATGCCTCGGTTGGCCAAGATGGCAAATAAGATAATGATGGGAAGCAGGAACTGTGAAGGTGTCCAGAGGCAAACCTAATAATGTAGGGAGAGGAGGTCCTGACAGAAAGCCAGCCTCCTGCGATCACTGAGGTCCCAAACCCCTTGGGAATGACAGAATAAGTCTATTACAGCTTTAGCAATTGATTCTCTGGCTGCTTGAGGGTCTTTGAGGTTTTGCCCCAGGGCTCTGTGAGACTTGTTTTGTTAGTTCCTCTAATCTCTTCCCATAGGAATTTATGATCTGTATAAAGCTTTGTGGTTCCATCTGCTTTCCAGAGAGTCCATATCACAACTGAAGATTCCCTGGCAGCCTAAGATACCGTGTTATGGGTAATGTCAGTCACACGCCTTTTCCTCTGGGGTTTTTGACAAGTTTTGTCGGTCCTACTGCTGTGCTATCAAAATTTAGTGGAGCAATTAAAATGGGCCAAGATGGCAGAGCTGCTTCTTTAGTTTTTCTTTTTAATGTGTATGAGTGTTTTGCCTGCATGTTTATGCACCACAGTGAGTGCAGTGCCTTCTCAGAAGACAGAAGAGGTCGTCAGATTCCCTGCAGCCAGAAGAGGGTGTCAGGTCCCCTGGAGTTGGAGTTGTGGGCTGTTGTAATTCGGGTGCTGGGGCTCTATAACCTGGATCCTCTATAAGAGCAGCCAGCGCGCTTAACTTGAGGCATCACTCCAGCCCCAAGACGGTGGGGTTTTTTAATAACTACAATGTATATAATTGTGTGGCCAGGTGTGGTGGTGCATGCTTTTAATTCCAGCACTCTGGAGGCAGAGGCGGGGGGATCCCCATGAATTTGAGGCCAGCTTAGTTTGCATGATGAGTTCCAGGACAGCCAGTGATATGTAGAAAGACCCTGTCTCAACAAACAAACAGAAAAGATAAAATTGTGATATGAATACACACAAACAAGAGAAATGGGAGAGGGAGAGAGAGGGGGAGCAGGGGAGGGGGAGAAATGGGAGGGGGGAAGAGAGAGAGAGCGTCCAAATCTTACCACAGTATTTCCGCTTTGATGCAAGCTACTATTTATTTGTCCCATGTACCATTTATCTGTTCTAACTCATGTTTGGCCAGTATTTATTAAGACCAGCATGGTCCCCACTAAGGGTAAAGGCTCGTTTTATCTGTGTTTTGTTTTCTGAGTCACCAAGAGGGGTTCGAAGCTAAAGTTTCAGCTCAAGCATTGAATTTTACCTTAAGTCTTGCTAAGGTCTTGAGTTGGAGAGGAGACAGAACTGAAGCTGGAAAAGAGACTGGAGAGACCTTTGCAAGACTTAAGGTAAAATTCAATGCTTGAGCTGAAACTTTGCCTTTGAGCCCCTCTTGGTGGCAAAGTGAAGATAAATACAGGCTGGGGGATTAGCTTGCTGCACAGGCAGTAGGACCTGAATTTGGATCCCTACTACCCACATAAAAGCTGAGCATGGCCACGCATGCCTGTAACCTGAATGCTGGGGAGTAAGAACCGAGAAGGAAGGCCCACTGGGGCTTGCTGGCCAGTCAGCCTTGCTGGAAAACCGCCAGGAAAATGAGGTTTGAAGCGATGCCAGGGAAGTGACATCTAGTGATTGAGATGAACAACTTCATTGTTTGGTCAATTATTAATTTGTCAGTGTAGATGTACCATGCGGTTCTTCTTAACTGGTAGGAAGCCGGCAGGATGGAGAGGTCAGTTACGGACCAGTAATTGAGTTGGAATGGCCAAAACCAAGGCCGTGCCAAGTTATATCTCTGTTGATTACAGGAATATCCGTATCGCACATTTGTCATTGCTATAATGAAATAATTGACTTACAAAGTAACATAGAGAAGAGGGGTTTTAGCTCACACTCCTGGGGATGGAGAGCCCAAACTGCCTGGCACAGCACTGGCTCAGATGAGGATCCCCCTGCCTGCCTCACACCATGGCAGAGGCAACATGGTGGCAGTGGTTGTAAGAAGGGACCACATGGTGAGACAAGAAGCCATGGAAGGGTTCAGTAACTGGGGTTCTTTTTCAATCTTGCAAGAAGTGACCAGTGTCTGTTAAGTACCACACCAGTTTCCTCTGAGGGTGCTGGCCCCAGTGACCTACTCTGCTGCATATCTGTTCAGTTTCTGCATCATGGTCTTACTCTACAGCCTAGGGACTGCACACTCTGTTTGGTTTCTGCATCAGGGTCTTACTCTACAGCCTAGGGACTGCACACTCTGTTTGGTTTCTGCATCAGGGTCTTACTCTACAGCCTAGGGACTGCACACTCTGTTTGGTTTCTGCATCAGGGTCTTACTCTACAGCCTAGGGACTGCACACTCTGTTTGGTTTCTGCATCAGGGTTTCACTCTAGAACCTAGGGTAGCCTCCAGTTCACAGTCTTCCTATTTGGCCTCCCGTGAGTCCTGGGATCAGGATGTTGATCACTCTACTCAGCTTAGCCCACTTTTTTTTCTTCAGTTTTTCAAGACAGGGTTTCTCTGTAGCTTTAGAGCCTGCCCTGGAACTCACTCTGGAACTCGCCAGACTGGCCTCGGACTCACCGAGATCCACCTGCCTCTGCCTCTCGAGTGCTGGGATTAAAGGTGTGTGACACCACTGCCTGCTGGGTCCCTTGAGGACAGGCCTTCGCACCCCCACTTGATCTGTTTTGCACTCTTGTGGTTGGTTGTTCCGAAAACAAGAACAAAAACAAGAACAATCTGCTGTTTTCAGCAATATTTCTAAAGATGTTTACCCCTTCCTGCTTTTGCTGGCTCGGCCTCCCCTGCTGAGGGCTATATATACTCTGTGAGAAAGTGGAATAAAGGCTTCTCTGCATAACCTGAAGTTGTGCTGTGTGTTAATCCCGACGTCCCTCTCTCAGAGAACTACAGTTGCTGTTCTGGCATGGCAACCGCCCAGCCCACTTTTTTTTTTTTTAAACTTGGGTATTTTGCCTGCAAGCATATCCATATGCCCTGGAACTGGAATCACAGTCAGTTGTGAGCTGCTGGGAATTGACCTGGGTTCTCTAAAGGAGCATCTCGTCCTCTAAACTGCTGAGCCATTGCTCCATTCTGTAAGCCCTACCATTTGACAGGGCCCACTACTTAGTTTTTTTGGGAAAAAGGGTTAAAACAGACATCACAGGTTGGCCTCAAACATACTGTATAGCATAGATGATCTTGAATTCCTGACCTTCCTGCCTCAACCTCACTAAGATCAAGTCACCACACCCATCTTTAGGTCCACCAGCTCTTAACATTGCACGCGGGCATCAAGTGTTCCTCCCTCCCTCCCTCCCTCCCTCCCTCCCTCCCTTCTTTCCTTCCTTCCTTCCTTCCTTTCTTTTTCTTTTTCTTCTTTCTTTTCTCTCTCTCGCTCTCTTTCTTTTTATGGTTTGGGCACAAGGTTTTCAACACATAGATTGGATAATAATGTCCAAAACTATTCTGAAAATCAGTTAAGATTATATGTAGGGCCAACAATTATAATCCAAAAACAACAAGCCTCTGGTATGAACTGCTTCCTTTTGTTTTAATTTTTTTACGAGAACTTTTGTAAGTGTCTCTAGAGCATGTGAGGTGGGATCCGGGAAACCACAAACTGGAGCTCACTGTAGACTCAGAATACCTATGTGCACATGAGCTGTTGCCTTTTCCCCCTCACACTGGCACGGTCCAAGTGACACTTCTTATTCTGAACCTGCCAGTCGTGATGGAGCAGAACCACTTTGATCATGAAGCTATGGACTAATGAGTTCCCTTCCCGCGGGCTGAGAGGACAGGGAAGTGAGGGAAAGTTATGCTTCATAACTCTCTTCCCTAGAGCGAGGTGGGGCAGCTCCCAGTGAGCACAGGGGCTGGCTGCAGAGACCTTGTCCCTCCTGCCCCTCAGCTTGTTTGGTCCTCCCACAGCTGAATGGGCCGCATTAATCACCCAGGGGTGGGTGCTATGGAGAAGGCTCAGCCATCACACCTGGCCCAGTGGGTGGCACACTGACATGGCAGAGGGACTGTTTGCTTGCAGCCTGCTTGGGTCTGTGAGGGATTTGCATGTGCAACTCAATGCTGTGTGCCAGTGGGTGGTATGGGGGAGGAAGGCAAAGCTCCAGGTGGCTGGAGCACCTAGAAGGGGTAGATGTGGGGGAGGAGAGGTCTTGAGTACAGTGGGGTCACATGTGCAGGTGGCAGCACAGCAAGGTATCCTGTGGTGGAGAAGATGGTCAGGTGGAGTGGGGGAGGGGACTGGGTGGGGAGAGAAGTGGGAGTGTCAGTTGGTAGGGTACTGGTAGGCAGGAAGAGATGGGGACCTGGGCTCAAATTCTCTTTCTGGAAGAATCTGGACAAGTTACTTCACCTTCATGATTTTTCTTTCTTTTAAATATTTTTGAATTGTATTTTGTTGTAGCTCAAACCCAAGCCTCACACAAACTGGGCTGTGCTCTTCTACTGAGCCCATGGTGGTCTT